GTTACTTCAAAATGAATGTTAAGATGCACCATGTAGCAATAGAGGTTGATGGGGTCGTTGAAACAGCGAAAACACGCTGCCCCAAAGACGATTAACAACCTCTAATTACATACATGACACAAAGTAACACCACACTTTGAAGCACACATCCCACAAACACAAATGCAAGCGCTCGTAAAAGGGTGCAACACCACGTAACGATTGTGAACGGATCGAAGTGGGTGCTCAATATACACCAATGCTGCAACTGAGATTGATGGGGTCGTTGAAACAGCGAAAACACGCTGCCCCAACGACGATGACAACCTCAAATCACAAACACGGTGCATATCAGCACAACAACCCCCCGTGAAACAACCAACTGACATGAACACAACCGCACAAACCGACCCGCACAAACACACCCGCACATACATGCATACACAAATAGGATTGAGACCAGACAAGCATAACGAAGAGTTGCAATCAATTTATTATGTATCGATCACTGCTAGCTTGACCCCCCTTCCTCCCTCTTTCCGCCTTCCCTCCTCTCCCTGTACCATCAAAATCTCCTCCCACCCTTTTCCACATTGTCTTCTCTCTTGCGTTCCCCTCCTTGCTCCCCAGAATGCGTCTTGTACAACTTGCAAAACAAAAAGGTTTAAGTAAAAATGAATTGTTGTCGGAGAACGCTGTGAATTTTTCAATGACGAGCACATACTAGATTGTGAAACGGAACTCAATAAGCACATGTGTGTTGAAATCTAGCAAGTACAAAATGAAAGTACCGATGAACATTGATACAAAACAGAAATGAAAGGCAAGTCTTGCAACGAAAAACACCGGGTTTGACGACTCACATGCGTGGATTGAAACATAGATCCCCTGAGGTCACGCACACCACGCTGGTGCGCAACGAGGCTCCAGCGAGCAACGAGCTGGGCATCGCCATGCTACAAGGCGTCAGAGAGTTGCAGCAAGGCACCGGCAGGCTGAGAAGAGAAAGAGGGCTGCCGTAGCAAGGCGTGAGCACACGGCAGCAAGGCGTGAGCTCACTGCAGCAAGGCGTGAGCTCACTGCAGCAAGGCGTGAGCTCACTGCAGCAAGGCGTGAGCTCACTGCAGCAAGGCGTGAGCTCACTGCAGCAAGGCGTGAGCTCACTGCAGCAAGGCGTGAGCTCACTGCAGCAAGGCGTGAGCTCACTGCAGCAACGCGTGAGCTCACTGCAGCAACGCGTGAGCTCACTGCAGCAACGCGTTGTCAGAATCCCAGTCACTAACCACTGGGATAAAAGGGCTTTTTTTGTGTAGCGGGTGAGTGCGCCCATAACCCCCCAGGCCAACATGCCTGTAACCCTTCCCTAGGATCATCGGGGATCTCCAGTGGACCTCTGACACGCGTGAGCTCACTGCAGCAACGGGTCAGCGTGCACAATAATTTGCCAGCGCATTGCCGCAACAAGGCAGCAGCGGCGCACAAGCCGCCAGCGGGCTGCAAGGCGCAAGCGCGTTAAGGCGCCAGCGATCAAGGCATCAAGGCGCCTGCGTTTAAGATGCCAAGGCGCCAGCGATTAAGGCACCAGCGTTTAAGGCGCCGAGGCGCAAGCGTTTAAGGCGCCAAGGCGCCAGCGTTTAAGGCGCCAAGGCGCCAGCGATTAAGGCGCCAAGGCGCCAGCGTTTAAGGCGCCAAGGCGCCTGCGTTTAAGGCGCCAAGGCGCAATGAGCGTTTAAGGCGCCAAGGCGCCAGCGTTTAAGGCGCCAAGGCGCCAGCGGTTAACACGCCAAGGCGCCAGCGTTTAAGGTGCCAATGCGCCAGCGCTTAAGGCGCCAAGGCGCCAGCGATTAAGGCGCCAAGGCGCCAGCGTTTAAGGCGCCAAGGCGCCAGCGATTAAGGCGCCAAGGCGCCAGCGTTTAAGGTACCAAGGCGCCAGCGTTTAAGGCGCCAAGGCGCCAGCGTTTAAGGTGCCAAGGCGCCAGCGATTAACACGCCACAGCGCCTGCGTTAAGGCGCCAAGGCGCCAGCGATTAAGGCGCCAAGGCGCCAGCGATTAAGGCGCCAAGGCGCCAGCGTTTAAGGCGCCAAGGCGCCTGCGTTTAAGGCGCCAAGGCGCCAGCGTTTAAGGCGCCAAGGCGCCAGCGATCAAGGCGCCACGGCGCCTGCGTTGAAGGCGCCACGGCGCCAGCGATTAAGGCGCCACGGCGCCTGCATTTAAGGCGCCAAGGCGCCAGCGTTTAAGGCGCCAAGGCGCCAGCGATTATGTGAGAGTACGACGGCTTATGCTGGCTTTGCTAGCTTGCCTTTACTTTATTATGCATTATCTAGCTTAGCTTTGCTTGATTTTGCTTGCTTTTGCTAGATTTCCTAGGTTCGTTGCTTTTACTATATTTATTATAGTTATAGGCACCGAACTAGGTTGAGTGCACCGAATTCTAGGCTTTTCGGTTGCCACCGAATTGCCTTCTACCGAATTCGGGAAGGGTCTGTTCGGGACGCTTCGCGACCCTCGGAACCTTCGCGTAACACCTGGGTTACCTGCTTTGTGTCGAGCCTATATGTAGTCTCGCCTTGTACCCAGGTGCATAATTCAATTTACATTCTCTTTTCTGAGCTCGATCCTAAGATCCTAACAGATTAAGGCGCCAAGGCGCCAGCGATTAAGGCGCCAAGGCGCCAGCGTTTAAGGCGCCAAGGCGCCAGCGTTTAAGGCGCCAAGGCGCCAGCGTTTAAGGCGCCAAGGCGCTAGCGTTTAAGGCGCCAAGGCGCCTGCGTTTAAGGCGCCAAGGCGCCAGCGTTTAAGGCGCCAAGGCGCCAGCGTTTAAGGCGCCAAGGCGCCAGCGTTTAAGGCGCCAAGGCGCCAGCGTTTAAGGCGCCAAGGCGCCTGCGTTTAAGGCACCAAGGCGCCTGCATTTAAGGCGCCAAGGCGCCAGTGTTGAAGGCGCCAAGGCGCCTGCGTTTAAGGCGCCAAGGCGCCAGCGTTTAGGGCGCCAAGGTTTAACAATGACCACCTAGCACTTAACGCGCCTATCACTTTCGTACTCACGAAACATGTCGTTTGTCACGGGCGCTTGTCACGGGCGTTTTCCACGAGCGGTTTCATGGTCACGGGCGCTTGTCACAGAATAAGGAGCTGATGTTCGTACTAGCGTGAGGTATTAGCGTGAGGTAGTACGGGGTAATCCGGGAGGTACTAGCGGTAGCATGAGGTACTAGCGTGATGGTACTAGCGTGATGGACTAGTGTGAGTGGAAAAAACTAGTTTCTTGTTCTTGGGCTGGGTTGGGCTATCGAGGTGGTTTCTTATGTGTGAGCACGTGAATTCAGCTGACTCAGCTGATGCACAACTGTACATTTCATGTGTAGTTTGCGTCAGCTCCAGAAAACGAGACGAAAGCGAAAAACGAAACGAGCGTTTCCCATAAAAGCAGAGTCAGTAAAACACAGATCTATAACATAAGTAACCACATAATACATGCTGATATTATTTAGTCGTAAATTCAAATAATTGAGCATTATGTGTGAGATAAGAGAACCGAATGCAAAAATTACAATGCGACACGACTGTACAGGGTGGGAGAAGAATACAGATATACCTAAGAGGAAGGAAAAACAAACGGACAAAATGACTTTATTATATATATACTGGTGCTGCGTTGATCTTTAGTACTGTATTCAACTTCTACGCAACCCTTACGACGTTCATCGTCGAGTCTTGTTATACTGTCAGCAAGCCAGAGAAGTGGGGAAGCCTGGGTCTGTTCGTGGCGCGTTCAGAAGTGTGAAACATGACGGTTTGAATGTTTGTTGCAATTCTTGAAGTTTGTACGATTGGACTAGATTTGCTACAACGCTTAATACTTTGGGAAAGTCGCGCATGTGTCGAAATCGAACCCAGTTGTGAATAGGTCTTCAATTTCGGGAGCCCAAAATTATATTGGAATTTGTGGTCAGGATTACAATAGGTCTGTTTAATTTGAATTTGAAAAACGCAAGATTTTAGAGAGAGAGAGAGAGAGAGAGAGAGAGAGAGAGAGAGAGAGAGAGAGAGAGAGAGAGAGAGAGAGAGAGAGAGAGAGAGAGAGAGAGAGAGAGAGAGAGAGAGAGAGAGAGAGAGAGAGAGAGAGAGAGAGAGAGAGAGAGAGAGAGAGAGAGAGAGAGAGAGAGAGAGAGAGAGAGAGAGAGAGAGAGAGAGAGAGATCGAGAGAGAGACTGAGAGAGAGTAGAATGAAGGTCTTCAATTACGATAAACGCAATCCTGACGTGACTGTTTTTCATTGGATGCAAAGATTTTTCAAGATCGTCAACACTCTCTGGGTCTGTTCAAGTCATTTTCCATTCCCTGCCAGCACAGCTGTACCGCGCCTCGATGGTGAAATGATCAGGGACAATATTTGCCCGCTTAATCACACCCTCTCGGGCAAAAGAAATCGCGGTTCGGGATTCGGGGCCGTGAAATTATCGAGAACAAGGTGTAGCAACATAGGGTCGCTTAGTTTAAACAGATCAAGGAATCACCCACGGCCGCTTAGTTTGGGGGATGCAATATGCGAAGGATTACCGCAAGTGAATCTAAGCAATATGCTACTCAGGTTCTGCTACTCCAGTCGTTCCCTTCCAGCAATACGTTGTCAGAATCCCAGTCACTAACCACTGGGATAAAAGGGCTTTTTTTTAAGTAGCGGGTGAGTGCGCCCATAACCCCCCAGGCCGACGTGCCTGTAACCCTTCCCTAGGATCATCGGGGATCTCCAGTGGACCTCTGACACCCCCCCGCACTGGGATGCCCGAAGTGCACACACCGGGAATCGAACCCGAGACCTTCGCTCTGATACCATGTCAGAATCCCAGTCACTAACCACTGGGATAAAAGGGCTTTTTTTAAGTAGCGGGTGAGTGCGCCCATAACCCCCCAGGCCGACGTGCCTGTAACCCTTCCCTAGGATCATCGGGGATCTCCAGTGGACCTCTGACATATGTGTGTAAAGCAACTCGTTCCACGTGTCTGGAACGCCCGGTAAGCATCAATGCAGGCAATCTTCGCCCTTGGGCGTATCGTATCGGGGATCCCAGACGGATGGGTGTGCATCACCACGGTAAGCGGACAAGTGCGTGATGTTTAAAAGGTGTACAGATGTCCCCAACACTCCATCCTCCTTCATAGCATCCGTTGTTAGCATAACGGCCACCTCTGCATCTCCAAATGGATGCTGCCATGCAAAGATACGGAACAAAAGCATGATGCCATGCAAAGATACGGTACAAAGTCATGATGCCATGCAGATATGGCAAAGCTGCACAATCCATATCACATATATAAGGTTTCAAAATGAGTGTTGTAGAAGTTAGTATGTGCATTTCGAACCTATATTTACATGATGTTACAGAAGTTGGCATGTACACTGTACTATAAACGTACCTTGAGATGAGTGCATGTGCCGCTCGTGCCCGGCTTCTCCCCAATGAAATGCCTCGGCGAAACCGATCGCAACAACACCATCGGCTTCGTCTCGGGCGTCCCAAAAATCGCCGTGCTCATCTTCGAACCCCCTCCTGCTGCAAAAGCCGGAATCTCCACACCCGCCGAACCCAGCTTCCGCCTCGCTCCCTCTCCTCCTCCCTCTCCTCCTCCCTCCCTCCCCTCTCCCTCTCCCGGCTTCCTCAGCAGATGCTCCTTACTCGTATTCTTCAGCTGCTCATCAATCCACAGAGACAGCGACCGCGTCGCGATTTTAAGCGCTGGCCACGGCCCAATTGGTTGACCTTTCACGAGCGGTGCTCTGCTTCCATTCACGTAAAACTCTAACACATTCCAAGTCATCTCGTCCCGGTACCAGTGATGCCCCGTGTTTAGAACCACCACATCCAGCTGCTTAAGAAAGTCCTTTAGGAAAACGTCGGGTTGGTCTAAGTGCAGCGCCTGGCCCTGCATCCAGTTCCTCTTATTAAACGGCTCGACATCGCATAAGAGCGCCGACCAGCGGAAGATCACTGTAGTGTTGGATGCGACGAATCTAAACGCCTTGTCGATAGGTTGGCGGCCTCCTGGTCCGGTAGCCTTTCTGCTATATTCCTTGCTCACGTCTTGTATGGGGGATGAGGGGTCGGACATGTTTTTGGGCGGGCCTTCAGGGGCGAGCACGCAGAGCAGCGACTGGAACTGCTGCTGGCCTAGGGAGTCCCCCACAAACGCAATGCGCTTGTTGCGCATTCTGACAGTGCACGGGGGTGAAAGTGGGACAGGGGAAACGGTTCAGGGTGAGAGATACAGGCAGAGCAGCGACTGGAACCGCTGCTGGCCTAGCGAGTCCCCCACAAAAGCGATGCTCTTGTTGCGCATCCTGCCAGGAGGAGAGAGAGAGAAGGTGGGAGCGAAGGGGAAACTGGGGAACATAAAGCAACTACTGCTGGCATAGAGGGGAGAGAAGGGAGGAGGGAAGGGGGGTCACTGAGGAACATGAAGCAACTGCTGCTACCCTAAACGGTCAGCTGTGAAGGCAAGCAATGTGCTGGTTGCGCATTCTGAGAGGAAAGGAGGAGAGTTGGGGGTAGGAGGGGGGAAGGGGAAGGGGGAGTGTGTGCATGAAGAGGAACTGTAGCTGGCATGAGTTGACACCCACACAAATAACTCCCCTCTCACCTTTCCTCACCTTCTCTCTCACCTTCCCTCTCGCCTTCCCTCTCGCCTCCCCTCTCACCTTCTATCTCTCACCTCCCCTCTCACCTTCCCTCTCACCATCCTCCACAGATCACACTCTCCCTACCCCTCTCACCTTCCCCGCACACAGACCACGCTCTATCCCGGCCCCCTTCTCACTTTCCTCTCACACGATACACACCCATACCCCTTTTACCTTCCCCTCACACACATCACACTCAATCCCGAACCCCCTCTCCCACACACCTCCATTCCCATTTCCTCTCACCAAAAAACACCCTCTGCACCCATACGTTGTCAAGCCGTTATAGATAACCGCGGACTCCATATTTCACACCATACTCTACCTAACCCACTCCAACCCCTCTCAACAACCTGCATAACCCACCCGACGCCTTCACCTTCGCAAAAACACACCTCGGGAGCTCGTGCTTGCCCGCTTGATTACCCCTCAAACCACCCCAGATCTGCCCCCATTCCATCCCTCCTCACCTCCCGCAAAACCCAAACCATCAAGCCACCCACAGCTCTGCCCTCACCTGCAGAAAAAAGCCATCCTCACTGAAGCATTCGCGCTTGCGCTAGAGAGACGTCCCTATCCCCCCCCAAGCCACCCCAGCTCTGCCCCCATTCCCCCTCACCTGCAGACAAAAGCCCTCCGCGCTGAAGGGGTCGTGTTGCACCCTTTGGGCCGCCATCGCAGGCGCTCGTACTGGCCCTTTGGGACGCATCAGACCACCCCCAACTCTTCCCCCGTCCCCCCTCACCTCTCACAGAACCCCTCCTCGCAGGCGCTCTTACGTGCTGCACTCGTACTCACTTTTTGGAACGCACCAAACCAGCCTCAACTCTTCCCCCGTCCCCCCTCACCTCTCAAAGAACCCCTCCGCGCTGAAGCGGGTCGTGTTGCACCCGTTGGGCTGCCAGCGCAGGCGCTCGTACTGGCGCATGTCGAGCGGGCGGTTGCTGCGCGCGCACGCGTAGTACTCAAACATCCACCCGCACTTCTCCCCCGAATACAGTGCCGCCTGCCGCGTATGCACCCATCGTCCCTGGTACAGGTCGCACAGCGGGCCCGGGCCAGCGGCAGGGAGGGCGAGGCGCGGGGGGACGGCGGCGGCAGGGATGGCGGGGCGCGGGGAAGTGGAGGCGGCAGGGGAGGAAGGGCGCGGGGGGGCCACAAGGACACTTCGAATACTATCACTGCCTTGAGTATCACCCCCACTGGCGTTCCTACCGCTTTCGGCACTGCCATTACTGTCACCACCGCAAGAATCACTGGCTTGGCTTCTATCACATTCTGACATAAGCGGATTAACTAGCACTTTTCTCAAACCGCTCGCTAGTGCCAGTACCGAGTCAGACCTTAGAGGAGATTGAGGCGACTGAACCGCTCCAACCTGGATACCCAAGTCCCCTTCTTGGCTATGCAGGGAGATTCCGTGATTGTACGCGAGCGAACTGTGACTATAAGAGGATGAGGAGACGGATGCGCTTTCTAGAATTGCGAATTGGCTTCCCATCCACCCTATAACGAGGACGGCGAGGGATGGAGGGGATGGATGGGAAGGAGAAATGAGGTTGAGGGAAAAGGGAGAGGAAGAAATTTTTAAGGAGAAAGCATAGGAATACGTGAGAAAGATGAGGGGAAGGGATAGGGGAAAGGGACAGGGGAGAGGGAAGCAGAGGCGAGGAAAAGGGAGCGGGTGGGTGTGCAGGGAGAGGGAGGCAGAGCGAGGCAGAGCGAGCGAAGGAGAGTGGCTGAGAAGGGGGTGCTATGGAGGACGGGGTGACTTTTGAGTCGACTCAAAAGAAGGGGGTGCTATGGAGGATGGAACGAAATGGCGGAGGAAAGTGGAGATTAATGATCGTAGGAGAGAATTGAATCTAGAATAGAGCTAACAACTTAAACTTAGTTCGATACTTAACAGCTACTTTGTTCCAGAAAGCCATTCCGTGAGCTGACTTTTGAGTCGACTCAAAAGTCAACTCGACTCAAAAGTCAACTCGTAAACTTAGTTCGATACTTCACAGCTACTTTGTTCCAGAAAGCCATTCCGTGAGCACAATGACATGCATACGGAAGAAAAGAAACGTAGAAAGGAAAGAAAGAAGAAAAAAAACTCACAATTCGTCCAGAAAACTCCCAGTTCGTCCAATGGCTGGTGCTGGTCGCAAGGGCCAGTATCGTTAGAAGCACCATCGTTAGAAGCACCAGCGCTGCCGAGCATGCCGCGTGCCAAGGAGCTCCTCCGCAAATCCCGGCGCCTCCTGCCTTCCCACTGCCAATGGCCGCCGCCAGAGCTGCGAGGGAGCGAGATTGGATTCGGTTGAAAGGGGTGCTGAGAATACTCCCGCTGGCTGCAGCAGGGCGAGCGCATGGAACAAGCACTCGGAAATCAGGAATTGATTTTATCTAGTAGATATCAGTGTACGTGAATCACACTGTGCGACTTTTGAGACGTCTCAAAAGCAGGGCGAGCGCATGGAACAAGCACTCGGAGATCAGGAATTAATTTTGAGGGCACTACTTGCTCTTCCCGGTACTACCTGCTCTTCCCGGTGCTACCTGCTCTTCCCGGTACTACCTGCTCTTCCCGGTACTACCTGCTCTTCCCCGTACTACCTGCTCTTTCCCGTACTACCTGCTCTTCCCCGTACTACCTGCTCTTTCCCGTACTACCTGCTCTTCCCCGTACTACCTGCTCTTTCCCGTACTACCTGCTCTTCCCCGTACTACCTGCTCTTCCCCGTACTACCTGCTCTTCCCCGTACTACCTGCTCTTCCCGGTTCTACCTGCTCTTCCCGGTACTACCTGCTCTTCCCGGTACTACCTGCTCTTCCCGGTACTACCTGCTCTTCCCGGTACTACCTGCTCTTCCCGGTACTACCTGCTCTTCCCGGTACTACCTGCTCTTCCCGGTACTACCTGCTCTTCCCGTTACTGCCGCAATACCGTACTTGTGACCATACCGTAGCTGAATTACACTGTGCGACCGTACCTGGCGGCCGTCGCGTGTGCGCAACCGCGCTATAGCACACCGACACTGATAGCAGCGCCCTCGGTCGCGTCTTCGCCGACGCTGGGCTGCCGTTGAAGGCAGCCTGAAGGCGATCATCATTTTCGAAACCCAACCCCTCTCGAATGCAATTTTGGGGATGAAGGCGATCATCATCTTCTCGTCGACTCAAGTGACACCGTGATGATGGTGGGATGGTGGTGGAATCCTCTGGGATGGTGGGTGATGACTCTTCGCTACTAAACCGTGAGGCAAAGTTTGCCTTCTGAAGATGGAACATACTCTTCTGTTGCTCAGCGAGGCTCGCTGAGGCGCCGCCTGGAACTGCACGTTTCAAACAATGGGAATCTGTCCTCGCAAACAAGGGGAATCTGTTCTCTCAAAAAACGGAACCACCTGCGGCAGTTGGCAACTAGAAAATGCCTTTGAAAGGAGTTTACTATCGCTTCTCCTACTATGACGACGACAAAGGCTGCTGCCGTTTTGTGGAGGCCAACATCATCGGTTGCCGGCCGTTTTGTGCCCGTCAGCCGTGGGCGGTCACGGCTCACTGCCGTCTCTCCCACTTTCTGACATCGGGCTCTCCCATGACGACGAAGGCTGTTGGAGGTGCACATCGGTTCGCCCATTCTACCGTTTTCAAGCATATTCCACCCGATAAAAGCGCAGTGCGCGCGCGGGATTTCGTCTAGATCCCTGGAAAGTCGCAAATCTGCCCCTAGTGGCCCGACCTATGCCGTGTAGGAGCCCACGGAGGAAAAAAAAATGGAAAAAACTACGCTTTTCGTCGCAGATCTGCGAGTGCGCTTCGGGAGGGAGGGCCTGGCGAAATCACGAAACCTTCAGCTGGAGGCTACAAGAATGGCGGTGGCGATGGTAGGGACATGGCAGCTGGCGCGACACGATGGCTGGTCTTCTCTGTTCACGTTCGCAAACGTCGCCATGGAATTCTTTTTCAAGCGACGATGTCGTTCATATCTCATTGACAGACAGTTTCATCCAGCGTCGGGTATTCCGCGCATCGGCAGTCCCAAGGACGGCAAGTGTGTGAGGGTATGATTTACGATGGCATGCCAGTAAGCCAATCGGCAATTGGGTTTGGGAATTTTGGGTGCGCGGGAAAGCTGCGACAGAGTCCGTGTCGCAGACTCTGACAGACGCCAAAGACTACCGAAGGGTAGGATTTGTTCGCGAACATCCACGATGTGGAACATCCTATATAAGCATATTCAGCGAAATCTGTAATGACGATAACAACATTGTAAAAAAAACACTACTGCTTCTCACAGCTTATGTTATGTTCCTTTCATGTTACAAGCATTGTCATCTTCTGCAATGATTTGACATTTATCGCCAGCAGCTTGCTTCTCCATCGCATCATGAACACTAACGGAATTGACCTTCGCAAGCCGCTACCTTTTGTGGATATCAAATAGCTCATATCTCAATGTAACAAAATTATTCAATAGATTATACTGTATATGATTGCTTACGATATGAAAGTTCAGCTATTTGCTTGCTTACCCTATTGGTGGTGCACCTTGCCTACCCTTGCCTCTTGCTGGTACTTCTTCTCTCCCCTTTCTAGTGATACCCTCCTTTTCTTTCGATACTCTCCAATCTCCTAAAACGTACTCAAGCCCCTAGAGCTCTTCTGACACAACTCTGCTATTTCAGCCCAGCCCACAACCATTCTAGGGGCTTAGTCAGTGTCAGTGGATCTACACTTGTACGTTACCCAAGCTCTGCTTCTGCTATCCTTCCCTTGCCACAATATGTGTGTAAACCAGCTCATTCCACGTGTCAGGAACGCCCGGTAAGCACCAATGCAGGCAATCTTGTCCCTGGGCAGAAACGTATCGGGGATCCCAACCGGCTGGGTGTGCATCACCACGGTAAGCAGACAGGTTTGTGATGTTCAAAAGGTGTACTGATGTTCCGAGCACTGCAGCCTCCTTAATATCATCCCTTGTTGTCATATTGGCCACCTCAGCATCCCCAAACGGATACTGCCATGCAAAGATACGTTACAATAAAGGGGGAAAAAGAAACAAAACAGGGAGGAAAAAGATGCACAGCAAATTTTACAAAACCGCACGATCCCACAGGTATGAGGGATCATATTGAGCGCTGCAGAAGATAGCATGAGCACATCAAATAATAGAAACAACAATCTTACAGAAGTTTGCATGTACACTGTATTACTACGTACCTTGAGCTGGGCGCATCCGCCTGTGCCGTTCTTGTCCCCCTTGGAATGCCTCGGCGAAATCGATCGCAGGAACACCATCGGCTTCGTGTCGGGCGTCCCAAACATTGCTGTCGCCAGCTTCGCACCCCCACCTGTTGCTAAGCCCGGAAGCGTCGCATTTGAACCCAGCTTTGTCTGCTTCAGCTGAGCATCAATCCACAGAGACAGGGACCGCATCGCCGTCTTGAGCGCGAACCACATGAGCATCGGCCTTCGATTCACCAGCGGCGCCATGGTTCCGTTCAGGTAGAACTTGAGCCCGTTCTGGTTCATCTCCACCCGGTCCCAGTGATGCCCCGTGTTGAGTACCACCACATCCAGCTTATTAAGATTATCTCTTAGGAAAGTGTCGGGCCGGTCTAAGTGCAGAGCCTTGTCCTGCGACCCGTTCCCCTTATTGAGCGGCTCGACTTCGCATAAGGTCGTTGACCAGCGGAAAATCACTGTAGTGTTGGACTTAACGAATCTGTACGCTCTATCAGGCCGGTGGCTGTCTTGGGGCGTCGGGAGAAGGCCGTAATCCTTGCGCGCGTCTTGAATGGGAGATGCGGGGTCGGACATGTTTTTGGGCGGGCCTTCAGGGGCGAGCATGCAGAGCAGCGACTGGAACGGCTCCTGTCCTAGCGAGTCTCCCACAAAAGCAATGCTCTTGTTTTGCATCCTGACAGTGCATAGGGGTGAAAGGGGGGCAGGAAAAACCGTTCAGGGGAGAGCAACTGGAAAACAGAGCAGCAACTGGAACTGTTTCTGTTCTAGAGAGTCCCCCATTAAGGCAAAGCGCTTGTTGCGCATTCTGACGGGCGAAGGAGGGGAAGGAGAGGGGGGGGGGGGTAGATGAGGTAAGGAAGCAGGAAGGGAGTAGATGAGTAACTGTGGAACATGAAGCAACCGCTGCTGGCATAGAGGGTCAGCCACAAAGGCAAGCAAGGAACTTGTTGCACATTCTGCCAGGAAGGGAAAGTGAGGGGGTAGGAGCGGGGAAGAGGAAGTAAGGGGGAGTGTGCGGGAGCAGGAATAGGAACGGTAGCTGGCATGAGTTGTAGGTGGCAGCAATAACTCAATCACTAAACTTCTGACCTCCCTTGGAAAAGGAACAGCTCTGTACCTCGTGTGCTTGTGCGCTCGTACACCCTGCAAACCACCCCAGCTCGGCCCCCATTCCATCCCTCCTCACCACCAGGAGAACCCGGACTCTCACCTGCTGAAGAACCCGTCTGCACTGAAGCGCGTCACATTACACCCGTTGGGCTGCCAGCTCTCAAGCCATTCCTCAAGCCACCCCTCAATCCACCCCTCAACTGCCACCCCAGCTCTGCCTCCATTCTCCCTCACCTGCTGAAGAACCCGTCTGCGCTGAAGCGCGTCATATTACCCCCCTTTCGGCTGCCAGCTCTCAAGCCATCCCTCAACCCCTCACCTGCTGAAAAAGCCGTCCGCGCCGAAGCGCGTCACGTTGCACCCGTTGGGCTGCCAGCGCAGGCGCTCGGACTGGCGCTTATAGACCCCTCAGGCCATCCCAGCTCTGCCTCCATATCCCCTCACCTGATGAAGAAGCCAGACCCTCACCTGCTGAAGAACCCGTCTGCGCTGAATCGCGTCACATTGCACCCGTTGGGCTGCCAGCGCAGGCGCTCGTACTGGCGCATGTCGAGCGGGCGGTTGCTGCGCGCGCACGCAAAGCTGGAGGAGATCCACGCGCACTTGTCCCCCGAGTAGTACGGCGGCTGCTGCGTCGGCACCCACTGCCCGTGGTATAGGTCGCATTGGGGGGGCGAGCTGGCCGCAGGGAAGGCGAGGAGTCCCCGCCGAACACTTCTAATAGCATCACCCAAGCTAGCGTTCCCTGTAACGAGGACGGAAAGGGGTGGGGGAGAGGGACGGGATAGAGGGATGGGGGAGAGGGACGAGGGAGAGGGAAGAGGGAGAGGAAGAAAAGATAAGGAGGAGGCATATGGATGGTTGAGAAAGATGAGGGAATGGGATAGGGGAGAGTGACAGGAGGGAGAAAAGAAAGTGAGGAAGGGAGCAAAGGGATAGGGGAGGGGGATGAGGGAGACGGAGGGATGAGGGAAGGAAGGAGTTGGATGAGGGGGAGGGAGGAAGGAAGAAGGAGCGAGCGAGTGTGGAGGGTGAGGGAAGCAGAGGCGAGAAGAAGAGTGGCCGAGAAGGGGGGGGCATGGAGGAAGGTAGGAGATGGCGGAGGAAGTGGAGGCTAATGGTCCTGAGGAGAGAACTGAGTAATCCAAATTGAAGCTAAACTACTCAAACATAATTGATACTTCACAACTAATCACTTTGTTCCTGAAACCCATTTCATAAGCACAAAGACATGCATACGGAAGAAAAAACTTCAAGAAACTCACATCTTTTCCCAGAGCTCGTTAGAAGCACCATCGTTACAAGCAACAGCGCCGCCGAACAGGTCGCGCGCCACCGAGCTCCGCCGCAAAACCCGGCGCCGCCTGCCTTCCCACCGCCCATGGCCACCGCCAGAGCCGCGAGGGAGCGAGATGTGGAAGAGGTGCTGAGAGGAGAGCCGGCAACATCCCCTCTAGGAGCTGACGCCACCGACATGATCTTCTCCGACGTTTGCGCCGTCGTTTGCGCCGTCGTTTGCGCCGACGTTAGCGCCGGCATTGGCGCCGACGCGCCTGAGCCCGAGACTGCCTCCGACTCACCCATGATCTTCTCCGAGAAGCTCTATGAGTTGTCGCCTGAAGCGACAACGGGTGGCGTCGCCTGAAGCGACAACGGGTGGCGTCGCCTAGCGACAACGGGCGACGTCGCCTGAGGCTTCAACGGTGTGACTTTTGAGTCGACTCAAAAGTCACTCCGAGAAGGATGAGTTGTCGCCTGAAGCGACGCCAGTGTGCGTTTGCTCTGAAACTGAACTGCGGTCGGCAAATGCGCCTGTTTTGGAACATGTTTGCTTTTTAAGAGTTTGCTCGTGATTCCGACGAGCATGCTCGTGCCACAAGGTCAATATCGGCTCTCCCATTCTACCGTTCTGAAACGTCGTTTCACTGGACAAAACCGCAGTGCGCGCGCCGGATTCCGTCTACTTCCCTGGACGTCACAGATCTGACTGTACTAGGCCGACGCGTGCCGTCTGAGAATTTCGTAGGAACAAACAAAATCACGAGTCCTTCAACTGCACTCGCTAACGGCAGATCTGCCGTTTTTCGTGGCACTAGCGAACTCGTTTCGGGCGGGAAGAATGGCGATCGCTCGGCTGCACGTTTCTGGAAAGAACGGAAGATAGGGACAAGGCGGTGCGACACACGTGGCCGGCCTTCTGTTCGCGAGCGTCGTCGTGGGTATTTTGTCAAGCGACTATGTCATTCATCTTATTGACAGACAGCTGGATTCGGATTCCAGAGTCGGCTTTTGCGCGCTTCGACATTCAGACGGCATGTGTCTGATGGTGAGATTCTCCCATAGCATGCCAATTAGCCAATCGGCAATCGGTTCTGGCGAACCTCGATGCGCGCGGGAAAGCCACGAACAGAGTCCGTGTCGCGGGCTGTGACTGACACGCAGCAGGCCAGAGCATTCACCAGAATCTGGAATTTGTCGTCGCGACGAATGATGTCTCGCGAAACCACGATGCGTTACACCCCACGACGCGGAACATTATGTACGGAAAGCTCAGAACTGGTGAAACCTGTAAGGAGGATAACTATTAGTACAAAGATAAAAATCAAGTAATTCTCACAGCTTATGTTACAAGTACTGTAATTTCTGTTGCGCTACTAAATTCATCACCTGGTGCTTGCTTCTCCTTCAAATCACCTGGCACAGTTTGGCTTGTGATCATTACCGTACCAAAACTATACCAGACGCCTATTCGTTTGTGGATAATAGGGATTTGATATCGGAAATATAAGGGCTAGCTAGACAAGTGTAGAGCACTCCGTGAGGGACAAATTCGCTCGCACTTAGCACACAAGTGCTGCTTCTCCTATCCATATCTTGCCACAATATGTGTGTAAACCAGTTCATTCCACGTGTCTGGAATGCCCGGTAAGCACCAATGTAGGCAATCTTGATATACCTTGGGCGTATCAGATCGGGGATCCCAGATGGCTGGGTGGGCATCACCACGGTAAGCGGTAAGGTGTGTGATGTTTAAAAGGTGTATTGAGGTTTCGAACACTGCGTCTTCCTTTGCAGCATCCCTTGTTGAAATATTGGCCACCTCAGCATCCCCAAATGCATGCTGCCACGCAAAGATATACGTTACAAAACATGAAAGTAAAATTATAGATTTGAAAGAGCACAGCAAATATTACAAAGCTGCACGGTAGAATGTCACAGATGTGAGGTACCATATCGAGTGTAACAGAAGTTAGCATGTACAAATCGATTTTCCCAAGATGTTACACGCCTCCACGTACCTTGAGATGGGCGCAACCGCCTTTCGAGCCCGACTGCCTGCCCATGCCATGCCTCGGCGAAATCGATCGCAGAAACACCATCGGTCTCGTGTCAGGCGTCCCAAATATCGCCGTCTTCAGCTTCACACCCCCAGCTGCCGCAAAAGCCGGAAGCACCCCAGCCGAACCCAACCCCCCCCTCACTCCCTCTCTGCCTACCCCTCCCCCTTCTCCCTCTCCTCCTCCCTCTCCCTCTCCCTCTCCCTGCTTCACCGGCAGATGTTCCCTCCTCGTCTGCTTCAGCTGCCACAGGGACAGTGACCGGACCGCGATTTTCAGTGCCAAGCCCATAGACATGTGCCGTTTTTTCAGTGCCAAGCCCATAGACATAGACATGGGCTTCGGCGCCCAGGTTCCATTCAGAAAAAACTCCAACTTGTTCTCGTTTATCTCCTCCCGGTGCCAGTGATGCCCCGTGTTTAGAACGACCACGTCCAGCTCCCTAAGAAAGTCTCTTAGGAAAGTGTCGGGCCGGTCTAAGTGCATTGCCTGGCCCTGCTTCCTGTCCTCCTTATTGAATGGCTCGATTTCGCATAAGAACGAATTCCAGTGGAAAATCACTGTAGTGTTGGACTTAACGAATCTGTACGCCCACCCAGTCGGGCGGCGGGCCCCGGGCAGCGGAAAAAAACCGTAATCAGTGCCCACGTCTTGGATGGGGGATGAGGGGTCGGACATGTTTTTGGGAGGGCCTTCAGGGGCGAGCATGCAGAGCAGCGACTGAAACGGTTCCTGTCCTAGCGAGTCCCCCACAAAGGCTATGATCTTATTGCGCATCCTGGGAGGAGAAGGGAGAGGGGTGGGGGAGGAGGGGGGAAGAGGAGGCGAGGGAATGGGGCAGGCAAGGGGAGTAACTGGGGAGCACGAAGCAACTGTTGGGCTGAACCGCTTCATGTCGCACCCGTTGGGCTGCCAGCGCAGGCGCTCGTATTTGCCCTTTCAACTCTACCAACCCCAGTTCTTCCCCCATTCCCCCTCACCTCTTTAAAAAACCCTCAGCACTGAATCTCTCCATGCTGCACCCGTTGGGCTGCCAGCGCAGGCGCTCGTACTGGCGCATCTCAAGCGGGCGGTTGCTGCGCGCGCACGCAAAGCTGGTAGAGATCCACGCGCACTTCTCCCCCGAGTATAGTGGTGGCTGCTGCGTGCGCACCCACCGCCCCTCGTACAGGTCGCACAGCGGAGCGGCAGGAACGGCAGAGAAGGCGGGGACGGCAGAGAAGGCGGGGACGGCAGAGAAGGCGGGGATGGCAGAGAAGGCGGGGACGGCAGAGAAGGCGGGGACGGCAGGGGTGTCAGGGGCGGCAGGGCCGGCAGGGCCGGCGGGGGCAGCGGGGGCGGCGGTGGTGGCAGGGGCGGCGGGGACGGCGAGCGCGGCGGCAGGGAAGGCGAGGCGCGGGGGGGCGGCGTAAACACATTCAGGATCACTGCCTTCAGTATGATTCCCACTGCCATTCCCACCGCTTCTGCCACTGTCACTGCCGTTACTGTCGCCGTCACTGTCGTTTGCGTTAAATTCTGCCCTAGACTAGCCCTTTCCACAAACCGCTCGCTAGTACCACTACAGAGTCAGCTCTTAGAGGGGATTCCGACTGCACCGCTCCAACCTGGATACCCAAGTCCCCTTCTTGGCTAGGCAGGGAGATTCCGTGATTGTATGAGAACGAACTGTGACCATAAGAGGGTGAGGAAACGGATGCGCTTCCTGGGTTGGCGAATTGGCTTCTCATCCACCCTATAGCGAGGACGGCAAGGGGAGGGGGGGAGGGAAAAGGGAGAGGTAGAAAAGATAACGCGGAAGCATAGGGACAGTTGAGAAAGATGAGGGAAAGGAATAGGGGAGAGGGACAGGAGAAAGGAAAGAAGAGGGGGAGGGGACAGAGGGATAGGGGAGGGGGATGAGGGAGAGGAAGGAAGGAGAGGGAGGAAGGAGAGGGATGAGGGAGAGAGAAGCAAGAAGGAACATTCTCAGGAAGATGGCGAGCGAGAGTGTGTGGAGGGAGAGGAAAGCAGAGGCGTGGATTTTAGTAATGAAAACAAACCTCAAAGCGAACAAACTGAATCACAGCGTATTCCTTTGTTCCAGAAACCCATTGCGTGAGCACATGGAAGATGAAACATAAAAAAATATATATAAGATAATAAACTCACATAATTTCGTCCGATGGTTGGCGTATGTCAAATCCCGCGCCACAAAGCCCAGTATCGTTACAAGCACCATCGTTAGAAGCACCAGCGCCGCCGAACAGGTCGCAACCCACCGAGCTCCTCCGTAAATCCCGGCACCGCCTGCCTTCCCACCGCCCATGACCGCCGCCAGAGACGCGAAGGAGAGAGATTGGAAACGGTTGGAAAGGGTGCTGAGAGGTGAGCCGAGAACATTCCGGGTGGCTGCAGCAGGGAGAGCGCATCACACGGAGCAAGCAGGAACGGACAATAGAGCAAACGAGGAATGGGCAAGCAGGGGGTAAAGGAACGAGAAGCAGGAATATTCAGTAGAAGCAGCCTGAGGCTTTTCAGTAAAGGAACGAAGACCAACGATCGAGCGAATTAGATGGACGATGAGGATGTGGAGCATAAAATAGGGTTTACGAATGGATTTTGAGGATACGGAGCGAGGAGCAGGGCTTTCCAGTGATAAGGCTTCCACTCGACCCCGAAGGAGGAAGAAACGATGATCGCGGAGCGCCGCACTCGCCGTACCTGGCGGCCGTCGCGTGTGCGAAACGTACGCGAGTCGCGTGTGCGAAACGTACGCGAGTCGCGTGTGCGCAACCTCGCTATAGCGCACCGACACTGATAGTAGCACCGTTGGACGCCGCGTCTGCGCCATGACTGAGAAGTTCTCGTCGCCTGAAGCGACAACAACAGTATGAGTTTGATTTTAAAGGCGCCTCACAAGGAGCGACGGCAGTAGGAGTTTGCTACTCGAACAGCCAGTCGAACTGCACTTGGCAATTGAGTCTGCTCTGCGCCGCAGTTTGCTTTTGATGACGAGCCTACTGCTAGCCAGGTGACTTTTGATGACGAAAGTCTGTTCTGCGCGGAAGTTTGCTCTTTGATGACGAGCCTGCTGCTAGCCATTCACTTGAAATGTATTCCACCCGATAAACCGCTGTGCGCGCGCGGGATTCAGTCAGGGTTCCTCGAAGTATCAACCCGTAGTAGTGCCGTCTCCCGTCCTAAAAGATGCCCCAAAGGAACCAAAGAAAGAACTCGTTTTCCGTCGCAGACTCGCAGCTTTCGCGAGCACGTTTCGAGCGGGAGGCTTGGCGATTGATTGCGACATGGCAGCTGGCGCGACACGGATGGCCGGCCTGCTGTTCAGATCCGCGAACGTCGCCATCATGGGTATGTTGTGAAACGACGATGTCCTTCATCTCATTGCGAGACGGTTCCACTCCATTGGGCATCTGGGTTTTGCGCGCTTCGACAGTCCCTAGGACGGCATTTGTGTGATGGTATGATTTATCCTGGCATGCCAATTAGGGCGTGGGCAGCGCGTTCATTTTCTCCACTTTTCCAAAATTTTGACGCCCGTCGAATCAGGAAAATACTGTAGCATTTTTGCACCGCGCTTAGTTTGTGTCCCAGGTGGGACACGCGCGTCCAGAATTAGGCACAGGTCCCGCCACACTTTTGCCCAACCGCCCACCCAATGAGGTAACCCTGTGCTAGTGGATCTGGTGACGGGGAGCAGTACGAAGCTGTATTTGTGAACCCATGAATTTGCGAGGGTCGTACGCGCTTGACGAACTCGTGGTGCGGTTTCGCTGACCTGCACACAGGCATTCTCGAATGATGCGCGTGTTGTTCGCGGCCGTCGTGGGAACGGGCTCTGTTCGGTTGACGGCACGGAAAACAGCCACCGTTCATCCACTGTATACTCCATCGTGTCCACTCGTTACTCTAAATCAGGGTTACAAACCGCTGAATCTGGTAACTGTTTCGGGCTAAGCCAAGAAAATGAACGCGCTGCCCCCGCCCTTAGCCAATTGGCAATCGGCTTTGGAAAACTTTGCTGCGCGGGAAAGTTGAATGATTGGGTCCGTGTCGCGGACTGACAGGCACCAGAGCGCCCACCACGGAATGGTGAGATTTGTTATTCGCGATTGAAGATTTGTTATTCGCGATTGATGATTCGCGAATTTCGACGATGGTAGATAACATCAGATTCAGCGAAACTTGTAATGAGGATAACAACTATCTGCACAAAAAAAACACGCCCAATTCTCACAGCTTATGTTACGAGATTCATTACCTAGAATTTGCCTCACACATGTTCCACGCCATTTCTCCAGCACTCGTCCGTCGCGCCCCTTAGGGCGTGTTCGTTTTGTCGAGGGGGTCAGAAATTCGAATTCGAATTTTAAGGGTTTGCAAAAATCGAATTGTACTATTCGAACATGGTCCCCTATTATGTCACCCGAGCTGGAAACCTTGACCAACAATCTGGTCCCAAATATGTCACACCTCGATATTCGGATTTCAGCGGGCCGATGAGCAGAATTGCAAAGTGTCGCAGCCAAGTCAGCAAAGTCGCACATTTCCAGCAAACATGTGACCAGCCAATGAAAGCCATGCACCAAACAACTCACCAACATCGAACCGCACAAACATCGAAGCGCCCAGACAAAACATTCTTGACATGCAGAGTGCTAGCAACATTGCTCAAGTACAAAGCATGCACAAACTCACTCGACAATGCACAACACATCTCTAGTGGCACTAGAGGGACCACTTCTCACGCCATGTCTCTCCGCCGCCTTCTCCAGCTGCTTGCCATCATGTGGCAGGGCTACGTGCATTCGTTCGTGCTCCCCCTCGTAGTGGCGCTGCCCAACGCCATCGCCGACATGGTTGTCGTGGCCACCATGATGACGACTCGAGTCTTCGTCCGTGGGGACCGTTTAGACGCCCGATGGCGTTGGATGCGACTGCTGCAACAGCTTCCCGACGCCCGCTTTTACGATTACCTGCGCGTTGACCGTCGCGTTTACGTCTACCTCGTACGGCATTACGAGGTCAGTGGATTCGGGCGACCGAACCAGCCCGACGGCAACTTTGTGAAAGTGGCGTTGGCACTCACTCGGATGGGACATGGATGGAGCTACAGGGAGCTCGGCCTTCACTTTGGATTCAGTGTCTCCTACGCCAAAAAAGTCTACGACATCTTCATCGTGTTTGTGACGACCTGGCTGGTTCCGAAGTGGGTTAAGTGGCCAACGCCCGACGACTTGGGGCGTATGGCGGCGGAATTTCGCATGAGAGGAGGCATCCCCGGAGTCGTGGGCGCCATTGATGGAACCTACATCCGAACGCGGGGCTGGGGCATTCACCGAGAGGACTTCCGCAATCGAAAAGGCCTTTTCTCCATCATTTTACAAATCATATGCGACTCTGCCGGCTACATTTGGGACTTTTTTGCAGGATGGCCGGGCTCCGTCAATGATGCCCGTGTGTTCAACAATAGTCCTGCACATGCTAGGATCGAAGCGGGAGACCTACATGACTACGTTATTGTGTCCGATGCCGCATATGGTCTACATTCCTACACATACACTCCATTTCGTGCTACTCCCGGCAGGCCCCTACCTAGTGCTATGCATGTTTGGAACTTGCAACAGTCTCGGACCAGAATGGTAGTGGAGCAGGTCTTTGGCCGACTCAAAGGCAAATGGAGGGTGTTGGACGGCCGCATGGAGAGTCACATCGGGCGGGTTGTGGCCACGGTTTCAGCAGCCGTGGTGATTCACAACATCGAGCTTGTGCTCGGCGAACGCCCTCGCCTCGGTGTCCCCCGCGAGCGCAACCTCTGGTGGCTTGCGGGTCCGGTGGCGAACGCACCGCATTACCGCCCCTCCACGCCCGGCTTCACTCCGAATCGTCGTCGGAGTCGACTGGCGGGGTACTTTTACGCTTCCTGGAGGCTCGGTCATCCCTCCTTGAGCCGGCCAATTCTCGGGTAAGACGTTCAAACTCCACCCACTGTTCTGCAAGTACGCCCTTGACCGTTCGAGCCATACGCTCTGCCATTTCATCAATCATCCCCTACCTTTCAGCCTTGCCACGCTCGCGATGCATCCCATAGTCACGCGGGTCCGCATTCCCCTCTCCCACAGGAGGCGTCCCCGTCCGGCGGACGACGCTACCGCCACGGATCGCAACACCCGTCGCCGCGGCGGGAGCAACTGACGAGCGGGTCCCGGGAGTAGGCGACGCCTGCAGGTTCACATGACCCTGAGGGCGAGTAGGATTGGCAGCCGTAGGAGCTGCCACTGGTGCTGCCACGGGCAAGGGGGTAGTTGACATGGGGGGCAGTATGTTAGTGTAAGGTGTATGTGGTGGTGGAATGATAATTGATGTGAGTATTTCTAAAGTTCTAGTGATAATTCTCACCGGGATAATTGACGCGCGGTGCACGGGAAGACCCTTCCCCAGCCATGGCATTCGTCAATGCAGTACGATTTGCAGCATGCAGAGGCGGAATGCCTGCAAGGGCAGAATGTATTGCATACGTGGTCCTCTCATGATCCCGGGTTAGGAAACATGATATCTTAAACTACAAATATACAGAAACGCAGCCCTTACCGCTGATGATCTGGCCGCCACGCCTTGGGGTTTGCTCGTTTGTAGCAGCCCGCGGAGGGGCAGTCGTGCTGGCCGCAAGATGGGTGGGGTTTACGTTCTCCCGTTCGCCAAAAATGACATCAAACAGCTCATACCAGGGCGGGAGCTTCAACGGGCGACCGCGACCGCTCTTCTTGAGAATCTTGTCACGGATTTTGCGGTAGCGAGCCTCCATGCGGAGAAGCTTGGCTTTGACCGCCTGCCATGTGTGACGCCACTCCGGATGCCGCTTCTTAAGCTCCTCGGTGACAGTAGTGTAGATGTTCTGCCCCTGAAGCCTATTCTGCGCCTCCACTTGGGTGTGGAGATCGTGGCGCACGATTGCGAGCTGATGCTCTTCTACCGGCACCCAGCGCGCACCAGTGGCGACCGGACGTTTGCCATTATCGCCACGGCGCGCCAGAGTGTTAGCCGCAGCAGTCCCATCCGGAGCCTCGTCGTCAGACAAGTCGACGTCGTCGAGGTCGTCTAGGTCGTCATCAACGTCGCCGTAGTCACTAGCAGCAAACGCCGCGTCTTGATCACCTAGGTCGTTACTATAGGCTGGCATGTCGAGGATTAATAGCAGTGCTTGGGGCAGTGCCGGTGGCACGAGCAAGGGGTGGCGCAGATGGCGGCTGAGGGGGTGAGTTGTTGGAGTCGTCTGTAGCGTCAGTGGGCTGATTGGTAGCCATGGCTGTGCTAGGAAAAATCAACTATCGAGCGGACTGAACTGGCACAACTATCGACGAGGTTTGCAGCTGTATTTGTACGAGGGTGACGTGTGGGCTGGCCTAGACAATTTCGCAATGCCTGTTTCAGCCGCGCCGCACATGTCAAGATTGACCGTACACATTTGGTTTCCCTCCAATTCTGGATTGCATGTCGCAAAGGTCGCAGAGTCGCACACCAAAGTTGTGGCGTCGCACATAGCCAGGATTCGAATTCGTGCAATCGTGCCTAGTTCGAACGTTGGCAACAGATGCGTTGGCACTGGATTCGAACCCAGAGCGTGTCCCAAAGCGGATACTCTCAAAACGAGGTCTTGGCGAACACTTTATGCGACATTCGCGACAGATGGTTACCACAAAAGTTCGAACATTGTAGGGAAAAACGAACACGCCCTTACCAGCGCCCGCGATCAAGCCTCTCATTTCGCGTACAACCACTCAACCTGCGATCTAGCCGTTCATTTCGCGATATAGCCACTCAGCCCGCGATCTAGCCTCTCATTCGCGATATATCCGCTCAGCCCGCGATCTAGCCACCTCGCTCGCCCCTTCACTCGTGCGTCGACCACGGTAGCGCTAGACTCCATTCCCCGTCCATAGTGTTCCCCCTCTGTTTGCCACCACGGCTAATTCGTTGCCTTTCCAATTAGGCGCCAGTCGGCTCAGTCGTCTCCTCATTGGTTCAGCCCGTCCTCCCACTGCCGCTCCTTTCACGGCATCCCTCCTCCTTCCACGCAAACTTGTTTTTTACGCTCGGCTTTTTAGCCAGAATCAGCGGTATCCCCGCGGGACGAGATCGATGGCGTCCACGTCAGACGCGCCACCAGCCACGTCAGCCGCGCCGGCTGACACGTCAGCGACGAAGCTGAAATTCGGGCGGTGGGATTTGGACTCTAGAGAGGTGTTTGCTGAGACTGAGCTTTCCCTCGCTATAGTCAACCTCAAACCCGTCGTGAAGGGTGAGTAGAATGTCACTGTATAAATCAATCAGCTTGCTAAACCATCCCTCGCTTATAGTCATCTTTAAACCAATAGTGAATGGGCGGGGTTTTTTTACATTGGTCTCAAATCCGCTGGTGTTGCCTTTAGCAGGGCATGTGCTCGTGATGCCCCGTCGCATGCTGCCCCGCTACAAGGAAGGCACGATTCAAGGAGCTCACGTTCCTCAACTAGCAGGGCTTGTGCTCGTGATGCCCCGTCACGGAGCTCACTTTCCAGACACACGAGTCCCCACGAGGCCACCAACATGTGGCTGGCTGCTACGTTGCACACACTTGACTTTTGAGTCGACTCAAAAGTCAATTCAACTCAAGGAGCCCACGTTTCAAGCACATGAGTCCCCACGAGGCCACCAACATATGGCTGGCTGTTACGTTGCACAAAGCGCTCAAACCCTAACCCCGGCTGCCACTACCTCGCAGGTCATGAGCTCGTGCTCCCTCGGTGCGTGGTGCCTCGTTCCGTGCACATGAGTCCCCACGAGGCTACCAACATGTGGCTGGCTGCTACGTTGCACACAGCGCTCAAACTTAAGCCCCAGCTGCCACTCCCTCGCAGGTCATGTGCTCGTGCTCCCTCGGCGCGTGGTGTGCCTCGTTTCAAGCACATGAGTCCCCACGAGGTCACCAACATGCGGCTGCTACGTTGCTCCCAGCCCTCAAACTCTAACAGACTAACACCTCTACTTGCTGCCGCTCCCACTCCTCGCAGGTCACGTGCTTGTCCTTCCTCAGCGCGTGGTGCCACGATTAAAGGACACGACTACTCACGAGGTCACAGACATGTGGCTCTTCTTGCTTCGGACTTTCTGAACCCCATGTGTCTGCCGCTCATATACTCTTGCAGGTCACGTGCTCGTCTTTTGAGGCGCCTCAAAAGTCTTTCTTCGGACTTTCTGAACCGCATATGTTTGCCACTCATATGCTCTTGCAGGTCATGTGCTCGTGCTCCCTCGGCGCGTGGTGCCACGATTCAAGGACATGACTCCTCATGAGCTCACAGACATGTGGCTGCTGAGTGGACTCAAATGCCCCCCTCTTCTCCTCGTTACCGCTGTGGCTATACACTTTTGGCTTGCAGGTCACGTGCTGGTGCTTCCTCGGCGTGTGGTGCCACGATTCCAGGACATGACTCCCCACGAGGTCACAGACATGTGGCTGCTGGCGCAGAGAATTGGACAGGCGCTCGAATCCCACCATGGGTGCACTTCATCTACGTATACTATCCAGGTAGGGTGATGGGGTGCGTCACGTATGCCTATCTCGTTCTGCGTCTGTCGTGACAGCAGCAGCAAGCGCTCGAATCCCACCACGGGTGCACATCATCTACGTATACTATCCAGGTATGGCAATGGCATGTCAGTGGAACATTCATTCAGGTATGGCAATGGCACATCAGTGGGTGCATGTCACAGATATGTGGCTCTTAGCTCAGAGGATTGGACAAGCGCTTGAAACTCACCACGGCTGCACATACACCATCCAGGTAGGGTAATGGCATGGCGGTGGTTGCATGGCGGTGGGCGCAGGTCACAGACATGTGGCTGCTGCTGGCGCAGAGGATTGGACAGGCGCTCGAATCTCACCACGGCTGCACCTCCTTCAGCTACACCATCCAGGTAGGGCAAAGGCATGTGGGTGGGGTGGGGCATTCAGGTGTGGTAATGGCTTGACTCCTCACGAGGTCACAGTTACGTGGCTCTTAGCACAGAGGATAGGACAGGCGCTCGAATCCCACTGCGGCTGCACCATCCAGGTAGGGTAATGGCATGGCGGTGGTGCATGGCGGTGGTGCATGGCGGTGGTGCATGGCGGTGGTGCATGGCGGTGGTGCATGGCGGTGGTGCATGGCGGTGGTGCATGGCGGTGGTGCATGGCGGTGGTGCATGGCGGTGGTGCATGGCGGTGGTGCATGGCGGTGGTGCATGGCGGTGGTGCATGGCGGTGGTGCATGGCGGTGGTGCATGGCGGTGGTGCATGGCGGTGGTGCATGGCGGTGGTGCATGGCGGTGGTGCATGGCGGTGGTGCATGGCGGTGGTGCATGGCGGTGGTGCATGGCGGTGGTGCATGGCGGTGGTGCATGGCGGTGGTGCATGGCGGTGGTGCATGGCGGTGGTGCATGGCGGTGGTGCATGGCGGTGGTGCATGGCGGTGGTGCATGGCGGTGGTGCATGGCGGTGGTGCATGGCGGTGGTGCATGGCGGTGGTGCATGGCGGTGGTGCATGGCGGTGGTGCATGGCGGTGGTGCATGGCGGTGGTGCATGGCGGTGGTGCATGGCGGTGGGCGCAGGTCATAACATGACATGTGGCTGCTGCTGGCGCAGAGGATCGGACAGGCATTTGAATCCCACCACGGCTGCACCTCCTCCACTTACACCATCCAGGTAGGGCAATGGCATGTGGGTGCAGTTCATATTATGGCATGTTGGTGGTTGCATGTCGATGGGACATTCGCAGACATGTGGCTCCTGGCACAGAGGATCGGACAGGTGCTTGAATATCACCACGGCTGCACCTCTTCCACTTACACCATCCAGGTGCGGCAGTGTGGTGGTAGCGATGGTAGCATGTGCCCATGCACATGTCTGCCTGTGTCTGTGATTGCACCAGCAGGCGCTTGAATCCCACCACGGGCGCTCCTTGTCCACTTACACCATCCAGGTGCGGTTCTGTGTTAGCATGTGGGAATCACTTTTGAGAATTCTCAAAAGTCATCCAGGTGCGGTTCTGTGTTAGCATGTGGGCTTGGTTTTCTGGTTTGCCTTGATAGAGTGTGGCCGTTGAGCCTCACCACGGCTATACCTCATCCACATACACCATTCAGCTGCGGTGGTAGAATGTGGATAGAGGGCAGTGAATTATAGAGGGCAGCAGCCCACCTGCATGTGCATGCACATGTGGGTATGTGGTATGGTGGCATGTGGGATGTCTATATGGGTGAGGTGCATGCTGATTTGACATTCCTCAGACAGAGGAAAGGGCAGCCCTGCATTTGCACATGCGTTTGAGGCATCATCTGAAAGTATACTTACTCGCTCTCTCACTCCTCCCTCTATCTGCCTTTATCACATCTCATGCTGGACGGTCCAGCAGCAGGAAATGAGTCCTGTTTTGTTTCAACTCGATTTAAAGCACAAATCACTTGACTCGACTCAAAACACGACTCGCTTGCTCTCCCACTCACCCCTCCTTCTACCTTCCTTTATCACATCTCATGCTGGACGGACCAACAGCAGGACCGACAGAGGTGCATGCCCACATGCCTTTTGACATGCACCTCTGTCGGTCCTGCTGCTGCTGCTGGATGAGATGCTGCTGGACCGTCCACACGCCTCAGAAGTTGACAGCAGGACCGACAGAGGTGCAATCACTCCACATGATTTTTTAGGAATCATACCAAAGTTCAATCGTTCTCGCCTCTCTTTTTTCTCTACATCCATGCCTTGTTCTCCTTCCAGGACGGGCCAACAGCGGGGCAGACATTAGTGCACGTGCATGTGCCTTTTGAGGCGTCATCCGAAGTATCATCTTCCTCTCTCTCACCCCTCCCTCTTTCTCTGCCTCTGTGGTTTGTTCAGGACGGGCCAGCAGCGGGGCAGACGGAAGCGCATGTGCATGTGCACGTGATGGTGAGGTATCTTCTAGAAAGTATCTCCTCTTTCACCCCTCCTCTCCCTGTGTGTCCGTGTCTGGTTGCTCTCATCCCAGGACGGTCCAGCAGCGGGGCAGACAGTGGCACATGTGCACGTCCACGTCATGCCACGGAGGGAAGGGGACTTTGTACCCAATGATAAGATCTACAATGAGGTGTGTTTGTGGTGAAACAGCTGCGAGGTGTATTTGTGGTGGGGCGACAGTGAGGTGTGTTGGTGCTCATGCTCGTGCCCACATGCCAACTGTTGAGAGAAGGGAGAGTATTGTTCATGCCACGGAGGGAAGGGACTTTGTACCCAATGATAAGGTGTACAATGAGGTGTGTTCATGCTCACAAGAAGTTTTCTGTTGTACTCGCACATAACCTTTTTAGGCGCCTCAAATGTGTGTATCATGCTCACACACACTGCACCGTCTTGAGTCGAGTGATGTGAAACACAGGATCTGTATTTTTGGGAATTCCAGAAAAGAACAGTTTTTTTTGTTCTTTTCCTGTTTTGTGCTTGACCGTTCCTGTCCGTATATTCCTCTCTATCCTCAGCAAGGCCAGCTTGAGGAGAATGAGAAGGAGGCAAAGCAGCTGAGGACGGATTTCGAGGAGAAAAGCCTTCCCTGAGTGGTGTTTGGCTGTCCCTCTCCCTGCCCTTGTTCACGAGAAACAGATTGAGGAGAACGAGAAGGAGGCAAAGAAGCTGCGGATGGATGCTGAGGAGATTCGACCAGAGCGCATGATGGATGACATGGCTGTCCCTGTCCCCATTCCTGCTTGTCCCTACCCCCGCCTGTCCCTATCCTTGCCTGTCCCTGTCCCTGCCCCTACCCCTGTTGACGAGGTACAGATTGAGGAGAATGAGAAGGAGGCGAAGAAGCTGAGGATGGATGTGGAGGAGAACCGACCAGCCCGCACCATGGATGGCATGGCTGTCCCTGTTCTGCACCCATGAGTGTCCCCATCCCGCACCCATGACTGTCCCTGTCCCTATCCCTGCCCCTGCCCTTGCCCCTGGTCATGACATGCAGATAGAGGAGAACGAGAAGGAGGCGAAGAAGCTGAGGATGGATGCGGAGGAGAACCGACCAGCCCGTACAATGGATGACATGGAAGCTGAAGCCAAGGAGCTAAGGAGAGTGCTGGAGGAGTTTGAGAAGAAGGGAGAGGAGAAGGCGGAGTGAATGGCAGAGGAGAAGGCACTGTAAGAGGCCAGCCCGCACGATGGATGATATGGAAGCTGAAGCAAAGAAGTTAAGATGGGTGCTGGAGGAGTTTGAAAAGAAAGAGGAGGGAAGGGAGAAGAAAGCAGAGGAGGAAGCGGAGTGAAAGGCGCTGTAAGAAGCCAGCATGCACGATGGATGACATGGAAGCAGAACCAAGCAGCCGAGACGCGTGGTGAAGGAGTTTGAAAAGAAATTGGAAGGGGGAGAGACGGGAGAGAAGAGACGAGGAAGGGAGATGGGAGGGGCGAGTAGAAGGTCACTTGGTCGGCCAGCCCGCACGATGGATGATATGGAGGGCGAGGCCAAGGAGCAGAGGCGATTGCTGGAGGAGTTTGAGAAGAACGGGGGGAGCGAACGAGGTGTATGAAGTGGAGAGAAGAGAATGTGACGCGAAGTGAAGGCAGATTGTAGCGTACGGCCTTGTGCTACTAGGCCGTTGGTTGTTTCAGAAGGCCATTTGTTGTTTCAGCTAATGTGATCCACTATTGGTGCTAGCTTTTTAGGATTTTGGAACACCTCACAGGAGCCGTTTCTGTGCCAATCCAGTAGGGCCAACCAAGCACACAGCACCCATCGCTGATATGTGCAATGTTGTAACACTTCGACGACACTCTTCTCAAATTTAACCGTCGCAGCGTGCTACCGCGCAGTACACACTGCAGGGTTGTTGTTACATCTGTGACAGGGCCAAGCACAGAGCACCATCGCTGACATGTGCCACGTTGTAACACTTGAGTGACTCAGCTAGCCGAGTGGCGAGTAAATGCTTGCACTGAAAATCCCGCAGGGGAAGTGAGGGGGGATAAGGATGGGGGAGAGGGAAATACCGGGGAAAATAGTGGGAATAAGGGGGAAGAGAGAAGGGATAAGGGAAAAGAATGGGGGGATAAGAGGAAAGAGAGTGGGGATAAGGAGGAAGAGAGGGGGGATAAGGGGGAAGCGAGGGGGGCTAAGGGGGAAGAGAGGGGGGATAAGGGGGAAGAGAGGGGGGATAAGGGAATGCACCTCAGATGAGGAAACGAAAAATGGCATTGGAAAACGAGAAGAAAATGGCTGATAACCGAAATTCATGGCTCTTATAGATGAGTATGACACTGTAGCGCACAACACCTGTGCACTCATGGTGAGTATGACACTGCAGCTGCACGCAGCTCAAATGTTCTGACTATGACTTTCCTATATCTGCAAAATGGAGAAATGCAAGTACATGGTTGGCTCGGTGACCTTTGAGTTGACTCAAAAGTCACTTCGCAGCTCAAATTTTCTGACTATGACTTTCCTATATCTGCAGAATGGAGAAATGTGAGTACATGGTTGGCTCAGGCAGCAATGGTGTGAGAGTCAGTTGTCGAGTGTCACAAAATTTGCAGAGTTTCGCTATAGGCTGCTGCAGCACAGTGTCATACTCACCATGAGTTGTTCGCCGCGAGACACTGCGTCATAGAAGAATGACTGGCACGGGCAGTAGTGGTGTGGCAGGCAGATGTGAAAGGCGGAGCTCCTGGGGTTGCCACGAACCTGCAGGGATGTCAAATGCAGAATGTCCAAAGTACCAACCCAGCAGCCTACAACCATGAAAACAGAAATTCGTCTAAAGAGACTGAAAACCATTTATTATTTCAAGTACCACACGAGAGGGCTGAAACCATTCCTTCATTATTTGTTCTCACCTGAAACGCACTTCTGCCGCTGGGTTGGGCTATTAGCTTGGTCACTCCGCCATGGTCCAAAATGGCCATGGCTCGGTCCAGCTGAGACTGAAACAGAACCCTCAGGCTTAAGTGGTGGACGTGCAGGGAAAGAGCCAAAACGTGGTTTAATTATAGCCACCATTTGGACAGTTTTGGTTGCCTTAATTACTGAAGGAGTAACTGGTGATTTGACCACCGACAGACACTAAATGACAAAGTGTTCGTTTGAGAGATTGACAGGAAACTGAGGAAAAAACATTTGACCAAAAAGGGCGTGTGAGAGTGTGGAGAAGAGAACGAGAAAGGGAGCAATGCAATGGAAACAACGATGTCTAATGCAGCAAATCAGGATGATTGGGAAGGGAAAAAAGACATGCAGACAGCCTTTGGGAATAATGACGTAATAACTCATAAAAAGTGAAGAAAGAAAGGAAAAACAGACATGGCTGGATCCGACAGAACTTAATCAAAGAGTGTAACAAAAAGAACGCGACATGTGCTTTGTAGCTTCTGAACCAGAGGCGAGACGTCATGTGTAACCCATACCATGTGACCGTGTTGAGACCTGAGTGTTTTGTGTCATAGATTGTGCGTGCGTGTGTGTGTGTGTGCGTGTGTGTGCGTGTGTGTGCGTGTGTGTGCGTGCGTGTGTGTTTTCAAGAAGGGGCTAATGACTCACGATCCGAGGCTGCTGTCAGAAGCTGCACATACGAAGCCAATGGGCAGAGCGAAGTATGGGAAGAAGAAAGGAGGAAAATGAGGACAACAAGGTTTCAAAATACAGAGACAGGGAATACTAACGAACGGCTTATAATGGACCCGATGAAGAGAAAATAATGAAACAGAAACGCACATCCAGAAAAGGGTACAAGACGTGCCAGTGCTCAGAGGTAAACAAAAACCTCTATTTTCCATTCTTTCTTTTTCCTTTTACAACGAACGTACAACGGAAAGCACTATCAGTTCAGTGCTACACCAAACTATCATACCAAGCTTAGCCGCCGTCGCTGCACTGGTAGTGAACTCGGTTTCGTCATTGTCACTCGACGCGTCTCTCGCGCCCTTGACTGTCATTGCATCCACATCCCTTCCGTCAATGCTTCTGTCCCTTGCTTCCGTGAACGCGCCTCGCGCTTCCGTCGCCGCGCCTCTCATGGCAAAGTCTGATTCAGTACACCTTTCACTGGGTTCGCTAGAAGTGATTCTAGTAGCAGCAAATTGCTTCGCGAGGTCGTTAAACAAGGCTTCCGTGAGGGTCGCCAGTGGTGGCACTAGCAGATCCTGCTGAGGCGCGTCGGAAGCTGCCAGTGGTGGCACTGGAGTTTCCGTCGAAGCTGCAGGAGGTTGTTGCTCGAAAGAACTTGATGCCATTAAGGAAGGTGCAGAAGGATTTAATATCACTGAAGCGAAGTCCGTTGGATGCGGTGGCTTGCCTAACTCGATCCTGTCAAATTCTCGTCACCCCGACGCTACGTATGTTATCCTTCTCTAAATCTGCTAAGTTGTAGGAGGACATTCGTACCAGACATTCGTTTCGTTGCGGTTTAGTGCGTTAAAAAAACATGTAAAACGGTTGAGTATTTACATGGATGGACATCCTAGTTGGTCCCGCATATGTTCTGCATTACCACACCATCAAACATACCGTATCCATTTTTTGAAATCGTACTACTGTAATTTAGGTACAAGAGAGCAACTACTTAGTCTCTAAACTCAACCTTTCTCAGCCTCGTTGCATACGCCAACGAGGCAGGTGGCTCAAGAATCTTATCGGACGATCTTACAATGAGAACTTCTAGCGATTTGAGGAGACCCAAATCCTCCGGCAACCCAGTCAATTCCGCACACCCCGAGACCAGCAGGTAGGAGAGAGTTGGCGCTTGGGCCAGAGATTCGGGCAGGGCTGTTAAAACCTTGCAGTTTTCTAAGGAAAGTGTCCTTAGAGATGACAGCTGCCCGATATCTGCGGGCAGGGAGGATATTGATGGGCAGGAGGAAATTATGAGTTGCTCCAATGATGTTGACGCGCAAAGAGAGTTTGGAAGCTCTTTCAGCGCAGTGCAGCGAGACAGCTCCAGGTACGAAAGTTTCTTAAGCTGACCGATATCTTCGGGCAGCGTAGAAAGGGCAGTGCAGCTGAACAAAACTAGGCGAGAGAGCGAGGGAAGAAGGAGGTGCAGCGAATCCGGGAGCTGTGTCAACTTCTTGCAAAACGCAATCCTCAATTCCTGGAGCTTCGCCAGCTGGCACGCTGCCATTTGGTCCGACACCTGGCAAGGCGCCAGCTGGCACAAGAGGCAGCTGGAAGGGAGAGTGAGTGATGGACAGCTGGCAATGGAGATGTTTGTTGTGGGGGGGTGGTGGTTTAAGTCAGAGAAGGGGAGGGAGCGGAGGGAGGAGAAGCGGCGAATGGACAGGGTTTGGAGGCTGGTGAGGCGGGAGAGGGAGTGAGGGAGGGCTGAGATGCTGCTGCTGCGGGCGAGCTCAATGTGAGTGAGGGACGGTGGGAGGAGGAGCGATGGGGCTGTTGCTGGCAGATGGGTTGGATCTGGACCAGCAGTAAGGAACTGGGGAGTGTCAGGCAGTGGGGGGTTCTGAGCAGCAGTTGCAGCAGCAGGAGGGAAATGGGGAACAGTAGGAGCAGGAGGAGTTGCAGTGGATGTAGCAACTACAGTGGCTGTGGCGGCTGTAGCGCCCATATCCAGCAGCAGTTGGTCTAAGCACGGAAAGTGATCCAACATGAGGTGCTTCAAACGAGGCTGCTGCTGCAACAGCAGCCTTGGCACACTTGCAAGCGATTTGCACCCCTTCAATATAAGCACCTGTAGGTTTCGCAGATCCTGTGCAGAGGAGGGTAAGGCGGTCAGCTTGGCAAGTTTTAGGAGCTCTAGATGAGACAAGGAGGACAGGCTTCCTAACGCTGTAGGGAGACACTCTATGCTGAAGCATTTTTGGAGAGAGATGAGTTTCAGGTTGGGTAGAGAGCAGATGGAGTCTGGAAGGCGGTTGATTTTCAGGCAGTCAGTCAGTCTCAGCTCCTCTAGTTTCTGCAGCTGCCCGATTTCTTCGGGCAGATTCTTGAGCCAATTGCAGATGCTCAGGTCAAGGGAATGAAGGTTTTGGAGAGATGAGATGGACGACGGGAAAGTGTCGAGCCAATAGGCATGCCGCAATGTGAGTTTGCTAAGATCGGGCAGCCTGCAAAAAGAATCAGGCAAGTCCGTTGAAAAAGATCCCCCAGCTAATGTGAACGTTTGCAGAGCCTTCAACTGCCCAAAATTGTGGGGCAGGTCGAACAAATTGGAGCAGTGGGAGACGTTGAGGGTAGTGAGAGCGGGCAGTTGGGTGAGAGATTCGGGCAGCTGAGGAAGACTGGAACAATAAACTAGCTCCAACTTTGTCAGGGACGACAACTTTCCAATAGATTCGGGCAGAAAGGAAAGTTTCCAGCACCAAAGAGAGAGCTCTTGCAAGCATGACAGGGAGCTTATATCCTCAGGAAATTCGAGCAGACAGCTGGACTGAATGTGCAGTAAACGAAGGGAAGAGAGGACTGTAAGGGAAGCTGGCATGGCTGTGATTTTATTGATGCATCCGTCCAAATACACCTCCCTCAGTTGCGACCTGAACGCCTGAAAAAACGCGCTAAGATCTGATTCGGTAATGGACAAATGTGGATATGTGAGCGGGGAGAATAAAAAGGAGGTTAGGGCTGGGCAGGAGTGAGGGAGGTTGCTGAGGAAGCTTCCTTGGTAGGCTTCAAAGCAGTGGGGTGACGTGGTAAGGCGAGTGAGATAAGGGAACCTGGAGAGGTATTTAAGGAGGTAAGCGACTCTATTGGGGCGTTCTAGACTGCTGTAGTTAAATCTTGAATTGTCGTTGCCTCTAAGATTGTCGTGAACGGTAACCGTGCTGCTGCTGGTGCTGCTGATGCTGGTGTTAGAGGTGCAAGTGGTGGCGCTGCTGCTGGTGCTAGTGATAGTGGTGGTGCTGCTGCTACTGGTGCTAGCGATGGAGGTGGTGCTGCTGCTGCTTCCGTTGACATTGCGGCTGACGCTTCTGCGCGGGGAAGAGGACTTCTGAGCGCCAAGGGAGGCGAAGAACGCGGAGGGAATGGAGGTCTGAATGAGACAAGCGAGGCGAAGCCATCGCTTGCAGACAAGCGAGAGCCGTAACGGGGGAGAGTCGTCGACGGAAGCCAGACGGAGGACGGAGCACAGGAGGTCGTCCGATAAACGGTCGACCGGCGGAGATGCCGCGTCAGGAGATGTCGGGAGATCGTCAGGCAAACAGTCGGAAACAACGGTCGAAAATTCGTCTGACGACGTCTCGCAACAACGCGGCATCTCAAATTTAGAGATAGGCGGGTGCGGGAGATACTAAATTACGGCCGACGCGAGACCCGCGGAGGGAGGTAACTAAAGTTTTGATGCGCTTGGACCAGCTAACCTAGATGGTGGTTACAGTAGACGGGGAAGGAATGCGAGCAGGCTTCGTTTGGTGTCAGAGAGGGAATGGTGTGTCACACGATGCCTGTGGGTTTTTCCAACGACTGTGACTGTATTGATGCCATGAAAGGCTCTTTGCTCTACTGCGCCTTAGTCACAAGCCAACTTCGAGAAAACATGAATCTAGGAGTGTTACACAAGGAAGAGCCCACCATACACAAAGGAAAGGGCCAGCCTCCATTAAAGCGCAAAAGGCTTGCACTGAAGTCACATCTTGCATTGCACATTCAAGTACGGTAGATAGGTACCTCCATGGTGTTGGCACCAGCATTCTCAACAAAGCCTAAGAAACTAGACCACTTTACACCGCACCATTCAGAGAGCGCCACTGAATAAGACCATTATTTATACTCTGCAGTACTCAACTCACATCATTTTCAGCACCAGAGCCCACATCATTCCCAACAGCAGGGGCCCCACTCCGCCATCCAGCAAACGACAGCTGCCCCTCAAGCGTGGGAGAGTCATCCATTGATGCTCCTAGCGGAGAGAAGATTGCCGACTCACACCGCCGAACCAACGGATCAGATGTTACCAGCGCATCAGGTGCAAGCACTGCCGGCCTGCGCATAGAACTAGCAGCAGTGCCGCTGCCACCAGCAGCAGCAGCAGCAGCAGTGGCAGCAGCAGTGGCAGCAGCAGCCACAGCAGCAGTAGCAGCAGCACTAGCAGATCCATCAGCTGCAATATTGCCATCAGCTGTAGCTACTCCTCTCTCTACCCTCCCTCCCCTACCTCCCCGCCCTCTACTCCTCCCTGTCCTATCCCGCCCCCCTCCCCCTCCCCTTCCATTTCCACCTCCTGCTGCCCCTCCTCCTCCCCTCCTCCTCTCCTCGCTTTCCCTCTTCTTCTCCTCCCTTGCATCCACCTCCCCCACAGCCAGACCTGCCATACCAGCCATGGCAGGCGAGCTTCTCGACCTATCAAACTCCGCCACGCGGGCCCGCAGGTTCGGCGACCGGTTCGGCGACAGGTTCGGCATGAGGTGCAGCTTCGGCAGATCAACCCTCAGCCTCCGCATCACATAAGCCAAAAGCTCTTCTTTATGCGCAAACGTGAAGTCTAGATGCGCATATTCAAACTCTCTATAAGAGGCCTGCCGCCCAGCGGCCTTCAGCGTCTTGTAGTGCCAGTGGACCATCTCGCGCGGAATAAGACGGTCGCGCCGCCCCGCGACAACATCAATGGGGATATCGATGAGACGGTAAAACGCTCCGATGTCGACAGGTTCTGGGGAGCCGTACGCTGCGAGGTTTGCTGCGGGGGAGCCGTAATCGAACATGATGAATCGGCGCTCGCGCTTGGTGAGAGCTAGGTGTTTCATGACGTTGTATGCGATGCCAGGCATGTTGTACATGTTGTAGTGGGGTTGCCTCAAGGCCCCCACCCAGTCGGACGAATCTCCTCCCACTATGATGTTTGAGATGAGCACCTGTGGGCAAGTAATGAGCAGAGGAGAGAGAGGAAGCAATGGTACCAAAGGCACGCATGCATAATGTATGCAACAAACACGCACACTTGAGGCGCGTCAAAAGAGGAAGGAACGGTTTGAAGAAGTGTTCTCAAAACAACACACACGCACACTTGAGGCACACGCACACTTGAGGCGCCTCAAAAGATACGAGCTGGTTTTTGAGAACCTTCTCCTCTCTCCTCTCCTCAAAAGATACCTGCTCTCCTCTCTCCTCTCCTCAAAAGATACCTGCTCTCCTCTCTCCTCTCCTCAAAAGATACCTGCTCTCCTCTCTCCTCTCCTCAAAAGATACCTGCTCTCCTCTCTCCTCTCCTCAAAAGATACCTGCTCTCCTCTCTCCTCTCCTCAAAAGATACCTGCTCTCCTCTCTCCTCTCCTCAAAAGATACCTGCTCTCCTCTCTCCTCTCCTCAAAAGATACCTGCTCTCCTCTCTCCTCTCCTCAAAAGATACCTGCTCTCCTCTCTCCTCTCCTCAAAAGATACCTGCTCTCCTCTCTCCTCTCCTCAAAAGATACCTGCTCTCCTCTCTCCTCTCCTCAAAAGATACCTGCTCTCCTCTCTCCTCTCCTCAAAAGATACCTGCTCTCCTCTCTCCTCTCCTCAAAAGATACCTGCTCTCCTCTCTCCTCTCCTCAAAAGATACCTGCTCTCCTCTCTCCTCTCCTCAAAAGATACCTGCTCTCCTCTCTCCTCTCCTCAAAAGATACCTGCTCTCCTCTCTCCTCTCCTCAAAAGATACCTGCTCTCCTCTCTCCTCTCCTCAAAAGATACCTGCTCTCCTCTCTCCTCTCCTCAAAAGATACCTGCTCTCCTCTCTCCTCTCCTCAAAAGATACCTGCTCTCCTCTCTCCTCTCCTCAAAAGATACCTGCTCTCCTCTCTCCTCTCCTCAAAAGATACCTGCTCTCCTCTCTCCTCTCCTCAAAAGATACCTGCTCTCCTCTCTCCTCTCCTCAAAAGATACCTGCTCTCCTCTCTCCTCTCCTCAAAAGATACCTGCTCTCCTCTCTCCTCTCCTCAAAAGATACCTGCTCTCCTCTCTCCTCTCCTCAAAAGATACCTGCTCTCCTCTCTCCTCTCCTCAAAAGATACCTGCTCTCCTCTCTCCTCTCCTCAAAAGATACCTGCTCTCCTCTCTCCTCTCCTCAAAAGATACCTGCTCTCCTCTCTCCTCTCCTCAAAAGATACCTGCTCTCCTCTCTCCTCTCCTCAAAAGATACCTGCTCTCCTCTCTCCTCTCCTCAAAAGATACCTGCTCTCCTCTCTCCTCTCCTCAAAAGATACCTGCTCTCCTCTCTCCTCTCCTCAAAAGATACCTGCTCTCCTCTCTCCTCTCCTCAAAAGATACCTGCTCTCCTCTCTCCTCTCCTCAAAAGATACCTGCTCTCCTCTCTCCTCTCCTCAAAAGATACCTGCTCTCCTCTCTCCTCTCCTCAAAAGATACCTGCTCTCCTCTCTCCTCTCCTCAAAAGATACCTGCTCTCCTCTCTCCTCTCCTCAAAAGATACCTGCTCTCCTCTCTCCTCTCCTCAAAAGATACCTGCTCTCCTCTCTCCTCTCCTCAAAAGATACCTGCTCTCCTCTCTCCTCTCCTCAAAAGATACCTGCTCTCCTCTCTCCTCTCCTCAAAAGATACCTGCTCTCCTCTCTCCTCTCCTCAAAAGATACCTGCTCTCCTCTCTCCTCTCCTCAAAAGATACCTGCTCTCCTCTCTCCTCTCCTCAAAAGATACCTGCTCTCCTCTCTCCTCTCCTCAAAAGATACCTGCTCTCCTCTCTCCTCTCCTCAAAAGATACCTGCTCTCCTCTCTCCTCTCCTCAAAAGATACCTGCTCTCCTCTCTCCTCTCCTCAAAAGATACCTGCTCTCCTCTCTCCTCTCCTCAAAAGATACCTGCTCTCCTCTCTCCTCTCCTCAAAAGATACCTGCTCTCCTCTCTCCTCTCCTCAAAAGATACCTGCTCTCCTCTCTCCTCTCCTCAAAAGATACCTGCTCTCCTCTCTCCTCTCCTCAAAAGATACCTGCTCTCCTCTCTCCTCTCCTCAAAAGATACCTGCTCTCCTCTCTCCTCTCCTCAAAAGATACCTGCTCTCCTCTCTCCTCTCCTCAAAAGATACCTGCTCTCCTCTCTCCTCTCCTCAAAAGATACCTGCTCTCCTCTCTCCTCTCCTCAAAAGATACCTGCTCTCCTCTCTCCTCTCCTCAAAAGATACCTGCTCTCCTCTCTCCTCTCCTCAAAAGATACCTGCTCTCCTCTCTCCTCTCCTCAAAAGATACCTGCTCTCCTCTCTCCTCTCCTCAAAAGATACCTGCTCTCCTCTCTCCTCTCCTCAAAAGATACCTGCTCTCCTCTCTCCTCTCCTCAAAAGATACCTGCTCTCCTCTCTCCTCTCCTCAAAAGATACCTGCTCTCCTCTCTCCTCTCCTCAAAAGATACCTGCTCTCCTCTCTCCTCTCCTCAAAAGATACCTGCTCTCCTCTCTCCTCTCCTCAAAAGATACCTGCTCTCCTCTCTCCTCTCCTCAAAAGATACCTGCTCTCCTCTCTCCTCTCCTCAAAAGATACCTGCTCTCCTCTCTCCTCTCCTCAAAAGATACCTGCTCTCCTCTCTCCTCTCCTCAAAAGATACCTGCTCTCCTCTCTCCTCTCCTCAAAAGATACCTGCTCTCCTCTCTCCTCTCCTCAAAAGATACCTGCTCTCCTCTCTCCTCTCCTCAAAAGATACCTGCTCTCCTCTCTCCTCTCCTCAAAAGATACCTGCTCTCCTCTCTCCTCTCCTCAAAAGATACCTGCTCTCCTCTCTCCTCTCCTCAAAAGATACCTGCTCTCCTCTCTCCTCTCCTCAAAAGATACCTGCTCTCCTCTCTCCTCTCCTCAAAAGATACCTGCTCTCCTCTCTCCTCTCCTCAAAAGATACCTGCTCTCCTCTCTCCTCTCCTCAAAAGATACCTGCTCTCCTCTCTCCTCTCCTCAAAAGATACCTGCTCTCCTCTCTCCTCTCCTCAAAAGATACCTGCTCTCCTCTCTCCTCTCCTCAAAAGATACCTGCTCTCCTCTCTCCTCTCCTCAAAAGATACCTGCTCTCCTCTCTCCTCTCCTCAAAAGATACCTGCTCTCCTCTCTCCTCTCCTCAAAAGATACCTGCTCTCCTCTCTCCTCTCCTCAAAAGATACCTGCTCTCCTCTCTCCTCTCCTCAAAAGATACCTGCTCTCCTCTCTCCTGCCCACATACTCGCTGCTCCCATGCCTGCATCTCTTCCTTTCTGGTTTTTGAGAATTCTCAAACACCTGCTCGCACACTTGAGGCGCGTCAAAAGAGGAAGGAACGGTACCAAAGGCATGTATGTATAATGCATGCAACACACACGCACACGAACCAGCGCCAATACACATACTTGCAGCTTGTTGAAATATACAGAATCAATGCAGGGAGGTTCTGAAAGTCCTGGGCGAGCTTGTTGAAGAGCAGACGCAGCCCCTGGGTGGGTGGATGGGTGCCTCCTTAACCACAGGCGCGCACACATACCAACACAGCACACAGAACACACCTGCACAAACATACCTGCACCAGGCAGCGCAATGCAGGGAGGTTCTGAAAGTCCTGAGCGAGCTTGTTGAAGAGCAGACGCAGGCCCTGCGTGGGGATGTAGACTGCTGGCACGGCTTAAACAAACACACCGCACTGCACATACCCTCACCCACACATACCTGCACACTCACACTGTCACATCCTCACATGAATGTAGCTGCACCAGACATACCTGCACCAGGCAGCGCAATGCGGGGAGGTTCTGAAAGTCCTGGGCGAGCTTGTTGAAGAGCAGACGCAGGCCCTGGGTGGGGATGTAGACGGCTCGAACACACATTTACCCTACACTGGCACACACATAGATGTACCCTTGCACTCACACCCTCACACGAATGTACCTGCACCAGGCAGCGCAGTGCGGGGAGGTTCTGAAAGTCCTGAGCTAGCTTGTTGAAGAGCAGGCGCAGGCCCTGCGTGGGGATGTAGACTGCTGGCACGGCTTCAACCACCGCACCGCACTGTACATGCCCTCACCCACACATACCTGCACTCACACCCACACACGAATACACCTGCACCAGGCATACCTGAACCAGGCAGCGCAGTGCAGGGAGGTTCTGAAAGTCCTGGGCTAGCTTGTTGAAGAGCAGTCGCAGACCCTGGGTGGGGATGTAGACGGCTGGTACACACAACTACCCTACACAGGCACACGCATAGATCCACCATACACGCACCTGCACCAAACACCTCAGCGCGGGAAGATTCTGGAAGTCCTGGGCGAGCTTGTTGAAGAGCAGTCGCAGGCCCTGGGTGGGGATGTAGACTGCTGGCACTGAGTGGAAGAGCCACGAGTCGACATAGGGCATGAGGAATAGCATCACGTCAAACAGGAGAGGGGTCTTCTCGTGGTAACCTGGCGAGAGTAAAAGGGGGGGGGTGGAGTGGGATGAGGAGGTGCTGGGAGTGGGAGAGCCACGAGTCGACGTAGGGCATGAGGAATAGCATCACGTCAAACAGGAGAGGGGTCTTCTCGTGGTAACCTGGCGAGAGTAAAAAGGGGGGGGTGGAGTGGGATGAGGAGGTGCTGGGAGTGGGAGAGCCACGAGTCGACGTAGGGCATGAGGAATAGCATCACGTCAAACAGGAGAGGGGTCTTCTCGTGGTAACCTGGCGAGAGTAAAAGGGGGGGGGTGGAGTGGGATGAGGAGGTGCTGGGAGTGGGAGAGCCACGAGTCGACGTAGGGCATGAGGAATAGCATCACGTCAAACAGGAGAGGGGTCTTCTCGTGGTAACCTGGCGAGAGTAAAAGGGGGGGGGTGGAGTGGGATGAGGAGGTGCTGGGAGTGGGAGAGCCACGAGTCGACGTAGGGCATGAGGAATAGCATCACGTCAAACAGGAGAGGGGTCTTCTCGTGGTAACCTGGCGAGAGTAAAAGGGGGGGGGGGGGAGTGGGATGAGGAGGTGCTGGGAGTGGGAGAGCCACGAGTCGACGTAGGGCATGAGGAATAGCATCACGTCAAACAGGAGAGGGGTCTTCTCGTGGTAACCTGGCGAGAGTAAAAGGGGGGGGGGTGGAGTGGGATGAGGAGGTGCTGGGAGTGGGAGAGCCACGAGTCGACGTAGGGCATGAGGAATAGCATCACGTCAAACAGGAGAGGGGTCTTCTCGTGGTAACCTGGCGAGAGTAAAAGGGGGGGGGTGGAGTGGGATGAGGAGGTGCTGGGAGTGGGAGAGCCACGAGTCGACGTAGGGCATGAGGAATAGCATCACGTCAAACAGGAGAGGGGTCTTCTCGTGGTAACCTGGCGAGAGTAAAAGGGGGGGGGGTGGAGTGGGATGAGGAGGTGCTGGGAGTGGGAGAGCCACGAGTCGACGTAGGGCATGAGGAATAGCATCACGTCAAACAGGAGAGGGGTCTTCTCGTGGTAACCTGGCGAGAGTAAAAGGGGGGGGGTGGAGTGGGATGAGGAGGTGCTGGGAGTGGGAGAGCCACGAGTCGACGTAGGGCATGAGGAATAGCATCACGTCAAACAGGAGAGGGGTCTTCTCGTGGTAACCTGGCGAGAGTAAAAGGGGGGGGGTGGAGTGGGATGAGGAGGTGCTGGGAGTGGGAGAGCCACGAGTCGACGTAGGGCATGAGGAATAGCATCACGTCAAACAGGAGAGGGGTCTTCTCGTGGTAACCTGGCGAGAGTAAAAGGGGGGGGGTGGAGTGGGATGAGGAGGTGCTGGGAGTGGGAGAGCCACGAGTCGACGTAGGGCATGAGGAATAGCATCACGTCAAACAGGAGAGGGGTCTTCTCGTGGTAACCTGGCGAGAGTAAAAGGGGGGGGGTGGAGTGGGATGAGGAGGTGCTGGGAGTGGGAGAGCCACGAGTCGACGTAGGGCATGAGGAATAGCATCACGTCAAACACGAGAGGGGTCTTCTCGTGGTAACCTGGCGAGAGTAAAAGGGGGGGGGTGGAGTGGGATGAGGAGGTGCTGGGAGTGGGAGAGCCACGAGTCGACGTAGGGCATGAGGAATAGCATCACGTCAAACAGGAGAGGGGTCTTCTCGTGGTAACCTGGCGAGAGTAAAAGGGGGGGGGTGGAGTGGGATGAGGAGGTGCTGGGAGTGGGAGAGCCACGAGTCGACGTAGGGCATGAGGAATAGCATCACGTCAAACAGGAGAGGGGTCTTCTCGTGGTAACCTGGCGAGAGTAAAAGGGGGGGGGTGGAGTGGGATGAGGAGGTGCTGGGAGTGGGAGAGCCACGAGTCGACGTAGGGCATGAGGAATAGCATCACGTCAAACAGGAGAGGGGTCTTCTCGTGGTAACCTGGCGAGAGTAAAAGGGGGGGGGTGGAGTGGGATGAGGAGGTGCTGGGAGTGGGAGAGCCACGAGTCGACGTAGGGCATGAGGAATAGCATCACGTCAAACAGGAGAGGGGTCTTCTCGTGGTAACCTGGCGAGAGTAAAAGGGGGGGGGTGGAGTGGGATGAGGAGGTGCTGGGAGTGGGAGAGCCACGAGTCGACGTAGGGCATGAGGAATAGCATCACGTCAAACAGGAGAGGGGTCTTCTCGTGGTAACCTGGCGAGAGTAAAAGGGGGGGGTGGGAGTGGGATGAGGAGGTGCTGGGAGTGGGAGAGCCACGAGTCGACGTAGGGCATGAGGAATAGCATCACGTCAAACAGGAGAGGGGTCTTCTCGTGGTAACCTGGCGAGAGTAAAAGGGGGGGGGTGGAGTGGGATGAGGAGGTGCTGGGAGTGGGAGAGCCACGAGTCGACGTAGGGCATGAGGAATAGCATCACGTCAAACAGGAGAGGGGTCTTCTCGTGGTAACCTGGCGAGAGTAAAAGGGGGGGGGTGGAGTGGGATGAGGAGGTGCTGGGAGTGGGAGAGCCACGAGTCGACGTAGGGCATGAGGAATAGCATCACGTCAAACAGGAGAGGGGTCTTCTCGTGGTAACCTGGCGAGAGTAAAAGGGGGGGGGTGGAGTGGGATGAGGAGGTGCTGGGAGTGGAAGAGCCACGAGTCGACGTAGGGCATGAGGAATAGCATCACGTCAAACAGGAGAGGGGTCTTCTCGTGGTAACCTGGCGAGAGTAAAAGGGGGGGGGTGGAGTGGGATGAGGAGGTGCTGGGAGTGGGAGAGCCACGAGTCGACGTAGGGCATGAGGAATAGCATCACGTCAAACAGGAGAGGGGTCTTCTCGTGGTAACCTGGCGAGAGTAAAAGGGGGGGGTGGGAGTGGGATGAGGAGGTGCTGGGAGTGGGAGAGCCACGAGTCGACGTAGGGCATGAGGAATAGCATCACGTCAAACAGGAGAGGGGTCTTCTCGTGGTAACCTGGCGAGAGTAAAAGGGGGGGGGTGGAGTGGGATGAGGAGGTGCTGGGAGTGGGAGAGCCACGAGTCGACGTAGGGCATGAGGAATAGCATCACGTCAAACAGGAGAGGGGTCTTCTCGTGGTAACCTGGCGAGAGTAAAAGGGGGGGGGTGGAGTGGGATGAGGAGGTGCTGGGAGTGGGAGAGCCACGAGTCGACGTAGGGCATGAGGAATAGCATCACGTCAAACAGGAGAGGGGTCTTCTCGTGGTAACCTGGCGAGAGTAAAAGGGGGGGGGGTGGAGTGGGATGAGGAGGTGCTGGGAGTGGGAGAGCCACGAGTCGACGTAGGGCATGAGGAATAGCATCACGTCAAACAGGAGAGGGGTCTTCTCGTGGTAACCTGGCGAGAGTAAAAGGGGGGGGGTGGAGTGGGATGAGGAGGTGCTGGGAGTGGGAGAGCCACGAGTCGACGTAGGGCATGAGGAATAGCATCACGTCAAACAGGAGAGGGGTCTTCTCGTGGTAACCTGGCGAGAGTAAAAGGGGGGGGGTGGAGTGGGATGAGGAGGTGCTGGGAGTGGGAGAGCCACGAGTCGACGTAGGGCATGAGGAATAGCATCACGTCAAACAGGAGAGGGGTCTTCTCGTGGTAACCTGGCGAGAGTAAAAGGGGGGGGGTGGAGTGGGATGAGGAGGTGCTGGGAGTGGGAGAGCCACGAGTCGACGTAGGGCATGAGGAATAGCATCACGTCAAACAGGAGAGGGGTCTTCTCGTGGTAACCTGGCGAGAGTAAAAGGGGGGGGGTGGAGTGGGATGAGGAGGTGCTGGGAGTGGGAGAGCCACGAGTCGACGTAGGGCATGAGGAATAGCATCACGTCAAACACGAGAGGGGTCTTCTCGTGGTAACCTGGCGAGAGTAAAAGGGGGGGGGTGGAGTGGGATGAGGAGGTGCTGGGAGTGGGAGAGCCACGAGTCGACGTAGGGCATGAGGAATAGCATCACGTCAAACAGGAGAGGGGTCTTCTCGTGGTAACCTGGCGAGAGTAAAAGGGGGGGGGTGGAGTGGGATGAGGAGGTGCTGGGAGTGGGAGAGCCACGAGTCGACGTAGGGCATGAGGAATAGCATCACGTCAAACAGGAGAGGGGTCTTCTCGTGGTAACCTGGCGAGAGTAAAAGGGGGGGGGTGGAGTGGGATGAGGAGGTGCTGGGAGTGGGAGAGCCACGAGTCGACGTAGGGCATGAGGAATAGCATCACGTCAAACAGGAGAGGGGTCTTCTCGTGGTAACCTGGCGAGAGTAAAAGGGGGGGGGGTGGAGTGGGATGAGGAGGTGCTGGGAGTGGGAGAGCCACGAGTCGACGTAGGGCATGAGGAATAGCATCACGTCAAACAGGAGAGGGGTCTTCTCGTGGTAACCTGGCGAGAGTAAAAGGGGGGGGGTGGAGTGGGATGAGGAGGTGCTGGGAGTGGGAGAGCCACGAGTCGACGTAGGGCATGAGGAATAGCATCACGTCAAACAGGAGAGGGGTCTTCTCGTGGTAACCTGGCGAGAGTAAAAGGGGGGGGGTGGAGTGGGATGAGGAGGTGCTGGGAGTGGGAGAGCCACGAGTCGACGTAGGGCATGAGGAATAGCATCACGTCAAACAGGAGAGGGGTCTTCTCGTGGTAACCTGTGGGAAGGAGGGAGGGAGAGAGGGAGAGAGAAGAGATGGAAAGAGAGGGTGAGATGGAGAGGCATTAAGCACGGTAGGAGAGGATGGGTTGGAGTCGGTTAGAGTGCGAGAAGGTGGGTGCGAAAGGGGTGATTGAAGAGCAGAGCAGTCGCAGGCCCTGGTTGGGAATGTAGACGACCGGCACTGAGTGGGAGAGCCACGAGTCGCCGTAGGGCATGAGGAATAGCATTGCATGAGAGAGAAGGGGGGTCTTCTCGTGGTAGCATTTGCTCAGGAAAGAGAGAGGGAAAGGGGGTCATGCGCGGTGAAAATGAGGGGACTGCAGGAAAGCAGATGGGACCCAAAAGGAGAGCGAGGAGAACTACCCGCGGGAGGGGATTCACTGGCGTGGCACTCACCCGCGGGGGAGAGGAGGATGAGGCGGGAGAGGCGGTGGGGCTGTCTCCTGATGAGCTGGGTGACGAGGTTATTTTTGAGTCGACTCAAAAATAGGCTGAGTGACGAGGTAGATCATCATGGCCGCCCCTCCCAGGCTGTGCGCCACTGCCTGCAGATGGTACGGCTGTTTGCATGCCCCAACCTGCCTGTACTGCTAGCACTACCCACACTCACCAGCGGGGGAGAGCAGGATGAGGCGCGAAAGTCGGTGGGGTTGCCTGCGGATCAACTGAGTGACGAGGTAGATCATCATAGCCGCCCCTCCCAGGCTGTGCGCCACTGCCTGCAGGTGGTATGGCTGCTCCTCACTCCACGGCACCCCCTGTGGCTGCTGCTGCTGCCCCTGCCCCTGCCCCTGCCCCTGCTGCTGCTGCTGCTGCTGCTGCTGCTTTTGTTCCGAGGCCTCTGCTGCTCCAGCTGCTGACGTTTCTGTTGCAGTCGTGCTTTCCGCTCCCCCTCCATCTCCTCTCCCCCTCACTGCTTCTCCCCTTCTCTCTTCCTCCCTCCTCTCCTCTTCCATCCTCTCCTCCTCTCTCCTCTCCCTCAGGGCATCTATCAGCGACACAGGAGCAGGCCGCACCTCGTGCCAGCCTGGCTGCCACGTCATCACGCCATCCTGCATCGTCTGACTGCCAGGTGTCCACCCAGAACCACCCGTACCCGTTTGAGGCTTGTGCCGATACAGCGTATCAGCACCTCCTGCTCCTCCACCTGTATCGAAACCGCTACTATGTACAGCAGGCCTTGGGAGGAGTGAAGAATCGCTGTGGACAAGTCCCAGGGCGTCTAGTGCTGCTGAAGGCTTTTGAGTCGACTCAAAAGCAGAATCGCTGTGGACAAGTCCCAGGGCGTCTAGTGCTGCTGCTGAGGGACTGGGTTGCCGCCACTGGTGATGCTCCTGCCTCTGCTCCTGACTCTGCTGGGGGTTCACGGGTTGCTGCTGCTGCTGCTGCTGCTGGTTGAAAGATTGCTCATTTGAATGTACAGGGAGATTAGGAGTAGGAGGGGAGAGTGAGGGAGGAGGTGGGACGAGAGAGGGGCGGGGAGGCGGGGCGAGGTCACGGATCTTGGTGTGATGGATACAGTCAATCATGGCTCGGATGTCACACATGCCATGCTCGTTCACGCTGTAGCGCCAATACCTGGTGGTGGGGAAGAGAGTTACAGATGTTAGAGACTCTATTCCGAAGGAAGACACACACGACCAGATGTTACTCGTGCTCATGCCCCTGCCCGTGCTTGTGCCCCTGCCCGTGCTCGTGCTCGTGCTTGTACCCCTTTCCGTGCCCCTGCCCGTGCCCGTGCCTGTGCCCCTGCCCCTGCCCGTGCGCCTGCCCCTGCCCCTGCCTCTGCCCGTGCCCGTGCCCGTGCCCGTGCCCGTGCTCGTGCTTGTGGTTTCGCGATCTCGTGCTCTCCACCCCACCTGCTGGCAGAAATGCGCAGATCCACGTGCTGCCTGGTGACATAGCCCCGCATGGTGCTCTCAACACATGGCCTCACATGCACCCCACCCATCCCACCACCTACCCACCTGCTGGCGGAGATGCGCAGATCCACGTGCTGCCTCGCAACGTCTTCCCACTGCCCTGACATACAGCTTCATATGGCCTGACATGGCTTTAACACACCTCAAGTCGCCACTCACTCACCTGCTGGCAGAGATGCGCAGATCCACGTGCTGCCTGGTGACATAGCCCCGCATGTTGCCCAGAAACACGTCGAAGCCTGGGGGAAGGGTATAAGCAGGAATCAAAGGGGGAGGGGGGGAGAAGGGCGGAGTAGGGTGAACGGAATGCACAGGCTGATCCACACGCTGCCTGGTGACATAGCCCCGCATGTTGCCCAGAAACACGTCGAAGCCTGGTGTGAGAACGAGAGGTGCGGAGAAAAGGGAGGAGGGATTAGAGCAGTGTTCAGGAAGATCCACATGCTGCCTGGTGACATAGCCCCGCATGTTGCCCAGAAACACGTCGAAGCCTGGGGGAGCATGAGAGGGAGGCAGGGGGAAGGGAAGGGTGAATAGGGGACAAGCAAAGTGACGCACTGCCTGGTGACATAGCCCCGCATGTTGCCCAGAAACACATCAAAGCGTAGGGGAAATGAGCGGGGAAAGCAGGAGGGAGGGGCGGAGTGGGGTGAACGGGATGCACAGGCCGATCCACGTGCTGCCTGGTGACATAGCCCCGCATGTTGCCCAAAAACACGTCGAAGCCTGGGGGGTAGAAGAAAAGAGAGGAAAAGCAGATGAAAGGGAAGGGGAACGAGGGAAAGGGAAGGGAAGGGACGGTGAGGGAAAGGTGTTAAGAGACAGGAAATTGGAATGTCACTATTGCACAGAAACACATTAAATTGTGCAAGCACAGGGTCATAGAGTCAAAAAACGAGGAAAACCGAGTGAAGATCCTGACAATAAGACGACAATTAGACTCACGAGATCGATGAAAGAGCGGATGAGAGGAATAGGGCAAGAAAATGGACGGAAACAAACAGACAAATGGAAATGAATGACGAGTGAGATACATGGGCCTCTTACCATTGAGATGTGTCAAGCATAACAGCGAGATTCACTAGCCTCTCACCTTGGTCGTAGGCTGCAAAAGCTTGAGATCCCACCACACCATTCGACACCCACCTGTGAACAGATTCAGAGAGAGGCAAGAAGGATCACAAGGCACACGAGGAAGGGTAGATTTGAATTTTAAGATGACTCGAATTTCACAAAGAGCAATGCCAACAGAGGGTCAGCAAAATTAGAACAACCAATATGGAGACTCAACAGTCACATTGAAGTTCAACCCCCTCGCGCTCACCCAATGGAGCTATCCAGAATGCCAGGCTGCAGAAACACCACCCTGGACGAGTCCTTTCTCGGAATTTGCTCCAACGTGAGTATGTACCCAGGTGAACTGGCTTTTGAGTTGACGTAACAGTCACATTGACATTCAACCCCTTAGTTCTCAGCTCACCCAATGGAGCTGTCGAGAATGCCGTGCTGCAGGAACACCACCCTGGAAGAGTCCTTCCTCGGGATTCGCTCCAGTGTGAGCACGTACCCGTCCTCTGTCACCACCTTGATCGCCTCATAGGGGTACCTGGTGGGGGGTTAGAAGCAGAGAGATTAAGGAGACACCACGTAACCAACGTGAGCACCAAGGATTCTCCTCGGATCGGAATGCGCTCCAGTGTGAGCACATAGCCGTCCTCTGTCACCACCTTGATGGCCTCGTAGGGGTACCTGGTGGAGGGGTGGGTGGATGGGAGACGAGGGAAAAATGTGGAAGAGCGCGCGTGCATTGCATGCGTGAGCATGTTTGGTCCGCATCTGTCCTTCCTTGGGATTCGCTCCAGTGTGAGCACGTACCCATCCTCTGTCACAACCTCGATGGCCTCTCATAGAGGTACCTGGTAGGGGTAGAGATAAGAGAGCACAGAGGAGAAAGATGAGGCAGGCACATATTCAATAATGCCTGCATGTGAGTGTGTCCTTCCTTGGAATGGAATGCGCTCCAGCGTGAGCACGTGGCCATCATCACTTTGAGAACTTTCGAGACGTCTCAAAAGTCGCTCCAGCGTGAGCACGTGGCTGTCCCTTGTAAGAAGGGAGCACTCACTCACCCGGCGCACCTGATAATATCTTCACATGTCCGAGCACCCATGAGCCGTGGCCCATGCAGCGCCTCAGCCTGCCAGCCTTTTGGTTACGAGGACTTTTAATAAGCCAAAAACAACAACATTGCAATCTGATTCGATTCTCACCCAGCATCTCGAATAATATCTTCGCACGTCCGAGCATCCATGAGTCGCGGCCCGTGCAATGACTCAGCCTGCAGCAGCCGCTGCTGCTGACTTTTGAGTTGACTAATAAAAAAGAACACACCCCAGCACTCACCCGGCGTCTTGGATAATGTCTTCACATGTCCGTGCATCCATGAGTTGGGGCCCATGCAGCGCCTCAGCTTGCCACGATATACCACTAACTGCAGCACCAAGAACAACAAGCCAGCACTCACCCAGCATCTCGGATAATATCTTCACATGTCCGTGCGTCCATGAGTCGCAGCCCATGCAGCGCCTCAGCCTGCCGCAGCCGCTGCTGCTGCTGCCACCGGCTCTGCCCCTGCTGCCTGTCGTTCAGATACAAGGACCCCTACTAAGAACAATACACCACCACCAACAGTAAGCCCTTTCTCACCCAGCGTCTCTGATAATGTCTTCACATGTGCGGGCATCCATGAGCCGTGGCCCATGCAATGCCTCAGCCTGTCGCAGCCGTTGCTGCTGCTGCCACCGGCTCTGCCCCTGCTGCTGCTCGTTCTGCTGCTGCTCGTTCTTCTGCTGCTGCCGCTCGTGCTCCTCCTGCTGCTGCATCTGCAGCTGAGACAAATGCGCCGCAGACCTGCTTTCTGGCACCAAATCAGCTGCTGCTGCTGGTGCACTGAACGCAGCAGCACCCCACCCCCCACCAGCAGCAGCACCAGCTTCAGATGAGGGCTGATGGAGGCCCTGTGAGGGGGCGACTGGGAGGCCTAGGAGGCGGAGCAGCGGAGCGAAGAGGAAGGAGAGGAGCCTCCAGGGGAAGAGGCAGAAGAGCAGCACCGACCGCACGGCATCAAAGAAGCGTTCAATGACCAGCTCCCAGAATAGTTGTAAATCCTCTAGAACTCCGTGCCTGCACGGACCACACATATCATACAAAGGAGCAGCAGTGGAGTGAAGAGAAGGGATAAGACTCTTATCAGAGGAGCCTCCAGGGGAAGAGGCAGAAGAGCAGCACCGACCGCACGGCATCAAAGAAGCGTTCAATGACCAGCTCCCAGAATAGTTGTAAATCCTCTAGAACTCCGTGCCTGCACGGACCACACATATCATACAAAGGAGCAGCAGTGGAGTGAAGAGAAGGGATAAGACTCTTATCAGAGGAGCCTCCAGGGGAAGAGGCAGAAGGGCAGCACCGAGCGCACGGCATCGAAAAACCGTTCAATAACGAGCTCCCAGAAGAGCTGTAAGTCCTCCAACACACCGTGCCTGCACGGTTCAGTCGTTACATACACAGACGGGTATGTGGAGGTGGTGGTGAGTTACTTATTATAACACATGCAGCTTGTGGCAATCACAAGCATCGACCGTGCACACGGCATCAAAGAAGCGCTCGATGACCAGCTCCCAGAAGAGCTGTACATCCTCTAGAACCCCATGCCTGCACAGACCACATGAGGGTATGTATGGAGAAGATTGGTCATTCCCACCTGAGACCATCATACCCCAAGACAATTCTCCAGTTGACCTAGAGGGAGAAGAAGGCCCATCACCTTCGGAACACGTGCGCACCTGGATAACCACATGCAGCACCCTCAAACAGACAAGCTACCTGCAAAATGTTTTCAGGTGGTCTATGTTGGTGCGTCATGTACTCAAACACGTCCCCAAGTCGCTTCCCGAGATCTGCACTCCTTATGGACACTCATTCAGTTGACTCAAGGAGGGCATACATACACAGATGCACACACACATGCATCACCTGTGGAAGTCATTGAGGTGGTTCATGTTGAGGTGCGTCATGTACTCAAACACGTCTCCCAGTCGCCGACCAACATCCACACTCTGGATCGATAACCCAGTCGAATCAAGGACACATACATACTCAGATGTACCTGCGGAAATCGTTCAGGTGGTTCATGTTGAGGTGCGTCATGTACTCAAAGACATCCCCCAGTCGCTTCCCGAGATCCGCACTCCTCATGGACACTCATTCAGTTGACTCAAGGGCATACGTACATAGATGCACACACACATGCATCACCTGCGGAAGTCATTGAGGTGGTTCATGTTGAGGTGCGTCATGTACTCAAACACGTCTCCCAGTCGCCGACCAGATCCGCACTCGCGATCGACAGCCTTGCAGTCAAGTCAAGGGCTTCAATACACAGACCTACACACAGATGTACTCACCTGCGGAAGTCATTGAGGTGGTTCATGTTGAGGTGCGTCATGTATTCAAACACGTCTCCCAGTCGCTTCCCCAGATCCGCACTCGCGATTGACAGCTGGCGCGAGAGACTGCTGGAGCTGCTGCTGCGGCTGTGCGGCCCGAACCTAGGGCTGAAGATCGGGTAACCGGGGCTGAAGGGCGGGTTATCAGGGCTGGGAGGAGTGGCAGGACCGGCAGCAGTATCAGCAGCAGCTGCAGCAGTATCAGTAGCAGCAGAATCAGCGGCAGCATTGCCTTCACCCGCCCAGTCTCTTCTCCTGCCACTGCTACTGCCGCGGGCGTGTCCCAAAGGCTCTCTAGCTTTGTACATGTCAGGTGCTGCTGCTGCGGTTGCTGCTGCAGCTGCAGATGCTTGTGCAGAAGGCGTTGCAGCAGCCCCAGCAGCCACGGCAGCTGCTGCAGCAGCAGCAGCGGCAGCAGCAGCAGAAGCAGCAGCAGCAGCGGTGGTGGCAGGGGCAGAAGAGACGGTGGATGGATCGTACGAAGAGGAGAGGGGGGTTTGGGGTGGTGCAGAGGGGTCGAGGGAGGAGAAGGACGGGGGATGGGGCATCTGGCGACGAATGGCAGGATCTATGGTGCTGGGAGGCCTTTCTCCAACATCCAACGGCTGCTGTTGATTCAGATGATGGTTCCCCAGATGTTGCTGCTGCTGATGCTGATAATTGTGGTGGTGGTGGTGGTGGTGGTGGTGGTGGTGGTGGTGTTTCTTCCCATGCCCATCTGTAACCCTGAACCCAAACACCCACAGCAGCGGCCACAGGAAAAACAAAACCCACCGCCACAGCCACCCCCAAACCCCTGTAGCATCCCCCACCCCACTCCTTTCCCTCAAAAACGGACTGGGCGACCTGCTTCTGTCGAAGCTGCTGCTGCTGCGACTAAGGGGACTCGCAGGAAGAGAGTCAAACGCACCCCTCCTTCCTCCTCCTTCACCTCCACCCACGCTCCTTCTCCTCCTCCTTCTTGCTGCGCCTCCCCTCCTCCTCCCCGGCTGCTGCTGCTGCCAATGCTGTGTACCGACGCCCTGTCATCCTCATCCTCGTTATTGTCCTCCTCGCTATCCGCGTCGCTGTCCTCGTTTTCATCATCCCCGTTACCGTAGTTGGAGCTGGAGTCCAGGTGGAACTCGTCTATAGTGTCTACGAACTCGTGCAGAAAGGCGTTTAAAGAGGACCCACCTCTGTTGGGTTGAGGGGGAAAAGAACAGAGCGTGGGAGGGGCGGCAGTTGAGGGGGAAAAGAACAGAGCGGGGGAGGGGCGGCAGTTGAGGGGGAAAAGAACAGAGCGGGGGAGGGGCGGCAGTTGAGGGGGAAAAGAACAAAGCGTGGGAGGGGCGGCAGTCAGACGAGGTGGAACGCGTCTATAGTGTCGTGTCGACAAACTCGTGTAGGAAGGCGTTCAGGGAGGAACCACCTCTGGTTTACGGGAGAGCGAAGCAGAAGCGGGAAGAGCGGAGCAGAAGCGGGAAGAGCGGAGCAGAAGCGGGAAGAGCGGAGCAGAAGCGGGAAGAGCAGAGCAGGGGAGGGAAGAGCAGAGCAGGGAGGGGAGAGCAGAGAAGGGGAAGTGAAGAGACAGAAAAGTAAACCATTGGAGCAGGGGTTGGCGCTGAAATTGAGGAGGAAATCGTGTAAATCCCAGCCTCCCCCCTCCCCCACCCAGCTACTATTCTTCGTACTGGCCCATCCAGGCGGGGAGGCGCCGCGAGCGGAAGGTCGAGTGGAAAGTACACTAGGTGTACTGCACCAGCCCAGTAGCATAGAAAAACAGATTCGACCTGGATCCAGTGGAAAGTACACTAGGTGTACTGCACCAGCCTAGTAGCCTACTATGAATGAAACGTACTGGGCCATCCAGGCGGGGAGGCGCGGGGAGCGGAAGGTGGGGCGGAGGTCCCAGGATCCATGGAGCCCTTCCGTGATGGGCGACTTGTTGGGCAGACACGCCAGCACCAGCGCTGACGCCGAGTTGACGAAGTTGGCCGTGTTGTGAAACGCCTCGCGGGATGCGGCTTTGACGGACCTGTAAGCGTTGACAGAAAACGTGACGGAAAACGCGACGGAAGGAAGGGGTGAGATTCCCAATGTCAAGGCGTTGGACAGATGACATCCGGTGGAAATGGATTGAAAACGGTAGTTCTGACACTTTCACAACTACCAGAAACTTAGATGGCCGATCCCACGTCGCGAAACTCTTGACGATAGAACGAGGAAAAGGAGCAAGGAGGAAGAAAGGAATTGAACGGCTCCGATGACGACATACATGAAACTGGATCAAATATTTCACGAATTCTCTCCTCTCGCTCGCAGCGGCTCTAAGAAACGGTGTTTTGGGACGTCTCAAATGCAACAAACGGCGAATCAAGCAAGTTACATAATTCCTTTATTCCCAGTCGAGACGGCTCTAACGGCGTGATGAGGGTACGGATTAAAGCGGAACTTACTCCTTGGCCACCCCGACGGCGTGATCCACTATCCTCTGCATCCTTCCCTGCTGAGAGAGGTGTCCTGAAACCAGGAATCAGGAAAATCAACGACGCTGACCTCGGGTCTGCAGTCTACCGACTAAGTCAATGTCTGCAGTCTACCGACTGGGAGGGATTCGTCGTAATACTTTGAGCATTTTTCCAAACGAAAAAGCCTCGATAAAAAAGAGTAAGAAACAACTTGTTACGCACGAAACGAATACTAAGAGACAGCTCGCGGCGGGAGGCGCGAGAGACGTCGTCAAGTTCTCAGCTACTCCATGACAGAATTGCGGAATCAAGGATAAGGCTCCCGTGATCAAGATGCGGGGAACGCGTACCGCAGGAAGTTCCGAGCTATGGCTCCGAAAAGTGCTTGGTGCGACTGGCTGGAATGATCACCTCACCACCTAAAGGTCTGGGCTGGATGATCGAACAGACAAGAACTGTATGGGAAAGGCGTGTTTCCGTCTGGGATGCGGAGGCCGTAACACGTAGATGTCGAGATTTTCAAGGTTTAATAGTCTATCAGGTTGGCTTCTAAACAGTGTAGGTCTTGCACTACCACCCACGGTACTGCAGAAAACACTGAGGTCCCTAAGTTCCGATATGAGTAGATGTGAAGTAAAACACGCCCTCATCTAGACCAGCAGTACCTAGCTTCGAGAAGCCCCGTTTCATCCGAGCCTACGTAGTCGCCTTCCGTTCTCCAGCTAAGCCAATCGTGACCAGCACATCACACTGGACCGTCGCCAGCAGTGCTGGTTCGGCATGCACGAGAGAGGTGAGGCGAGAATTAACTGTGCGCGCTGGCGCTGACATGGATGTTGCGGAGACACGCTGTCAGAACTCTGATCTGGCAATTTTTTTAGCCTCGATATGAAAACTCCTTCAACAGTTTCAAGCGCTTTCGGAGTGCAAATAAGAATTTTCATTATTATTTCACAGGGCGTTCGATCAAATCCAATTTTCCCAGCCAGTTCCTCGTCATAATCTCGTTGCCTGGTATCTCAAGCTTGCCACACGCCTTGCCTCGAATCGCACCTTGTCGAAGCCAGGCGAAGTGACTTGGCAGCTTATGTAGAAGGACGTTTCGCTTACTAATTCCTCTCACAGCGTAATTAGGCCCACACTTCCACAGTCCGTCTTCCTCTTGCGTGAAACCATTCGCGCATTGCGAGCTGCAGTTGCGTGTGACAGTTACGATTTGCGACATTAGCAGGGGCTACTAGGAGCAACCATGTCGAGCATTTACGTGCTCGAGCCACCGACGCAAGGCAAGGTGGTGGTAACCACCACGTTGGGCGACCTAGATATCGAGCTCTGGCCTCGGGAAGCCCCGAAAGCGGTACGATATTCTTTTCCCGGCAGCATATTTCTGACGGTAACCAGTGCCACCTGTAACAAACGGTGGTTACCACCACCTTGATATCGAGCTCTGGCCTCGTGAAGCCCCGAAAGCGGTACAATTTTCATTTTCCAAACAGCAGAACCCTGGTAACCAGTACCATTGTAACAGACGGTGGTAACCAGCACCTTGGGCAATCTAGATCGAGCTCTGACTGCAGTAAGCCCCGAAAGCAGTATTATTCTCCTTTCCCGGCAGGCAGCACGACTCTGGTAACCAGTTCCGTTGTAACAGCCATGGTTACCATCGCTGCACTCGGGTGATCCTGATATTTCCCTGCTTCCCGTTAAGCCGCCGAAGCGTGCAGCGTTCGGAGTCCACCATTGTGGTAACGTGACTGCGGTAACGTGACTGCGGTAACGTGACTGTGGTAGCGTGACTGCGGTAATGTGACTGCGGTAACCAGAAATCAGCCTTGCGGGGCCTTGACATTGAACTTTCAGGGTAGCTGAATTGCACAATTGCAACCACGTGAAGCCGCGAGAGTGGTGAGGCTCTCCTTCTTTATCCTCCTTGTTTTCCTTCGCCCCTCTCCGCCTCTTACCGTCACCCCTCATTGCCCCTTGGTGCCCCTCATCTCCTCTCATCGCCCTTCATCACCCCTCATCACTCCTCATCATCCCCTGTCAGGTGCGGAATTTCGTGCAGCTGTGTCTGGAGGGGTATTATGACAAAACCATCTTTCACCGCATCATCCCTGGCTTCATGGTGCAGGTGCGACCTGGTGCAGGTGGAATCTGGCGCAGGTGGGATCTGGTGCAGGTGGGTTCTGGTGCAGGTGGAATTTGGCGCAGGTGGGATTGGTGCAGGTGGGTTCTGGTGCAGGTGGGTTCTGGTGCAGGCGCAGGTGAGATCTGGTGCAGGTGAGTGGTGCAGATGGAATCTGCGCTTCGGTGAGATCTGGTGCAGGTGGGATCTGGTGCAGGTGAGTGGAACTCATCTGCAGATGAGTTCCACTCGCGCCTGCGCTTCTCCCACCGCTGTCATTGCCTTATTCGCTCTTCCCACTCGCACTCTCTTCTCTTCTTGCATCCTGCAGGGAGGCGACCCTACAGGAACCGGGACAGGAGGCGAGTCAATATACGGAGAGCCTTTCAAGGACGAGTTCCACTCGCGTTTGCGCTTCTTCCACGCTTCTCCCACCGCTGTCATACCTCATTCACTCTCTCTAATCTCACTCCCGCATCTCCCTCTCCTCTTTCTCCACAGGGAGGCGACCCTACAGGAACCGGGACAGGAGGCGAGTCAATATACGGAGAGCCTTTCAAGGACGAGTTCCACTCGCGTTTGCGCTTCTTCCACGCTTCTCCCACCGCTGTCATACCTCATTCACTCTCTCTACTCTCACTCCCGCATCTCCTTCTCCTCTTTCTCCACAGGGAGGCGACCCTACAGGAACCGGCACAGGGGGCGAGTCAATATATGGGGAGCCCTTCAAAGATGAGTTTCACTCGCGCCTGCGCTTCTCCCACCGCGGCCTCGTGGCCTGTGCCAACGCGGGGACTCCACACAGCAACGGCAGCCAGTGGTTCTTTACCCTGGATAGATGCGACTGGCTGGACAAAAAACACACCATCTTTGGCAAGGTGGGTCAGTGTTCAAGTGAGGTGCCAGTGCAGGTACGCCTAACAGCGATCTAGACTAGAGTGAAGAATCGCTGGCCCCGCGCGCCCCACAGCAACGGCAGCCAGTGGTTCTTCACTCTGGATCGCTGCGAGGCCTTTTTTTAAACGTGGTGCGACTGGGGGAGGTGGTACTGATGGCTATTGCAGACCTCTTTCCCCTCTTTCACCTCGTTTCCCGCATCACCCGGTGCGGCCAGCGGTCTCCCTATTCTATCCGTCTCTAAAGGTGTAAACGAATACCAGCATATTCGTATTCGTATTCGGTATTCGACAAATACCAAATAAAAAACGAATACGAAATCACTGCCTATTCGACTTTTATTCGATAACTGACTATTCGACATATTCGGTATTCGCCAGCCGAATATTCGGATATTCGTATAAGCATTCGACTATTTCAATCGGTATGCTCCTAGATTTCTGAAGGTGCGTTTCTTATGTTTCACTCATATCATCAGCAATGGAAGCACCGGCGGTGCTTACGGCCTATTAAGAACCCTGCCCAAGGTTCTGTGTATGGTAAAAACCGTATTCGTATTCGTATTTGACACAGATCCATGTATTCGAGCAGTATTCGTGAACCAGCTATTTGAACCGTATTCGGATTCGGTGGAAGATGGCTATTCGGCCAAATACGAAATTGCCTACTATTCGAAAAATATTCGTATAAAAAACCGTATTCGAAACCGTATTCGTTTTTACACCTTTATCCGTCTCTTTTTCTCTCACACACGTGCAGATCACAGGAGACACCGTATTCAATGCGGTGCGACTGCAGGAGGTGAATAGCAATGGCTATGACATACCTCTTTCCCTCTCCGTTCCCACATCACCCCCAGCTCCCTACCGAATTCTATCCATCTTTCTTTCTCTCACACATGCACATGCAGATCACAGGAGACACCATATTCAACGCGGTGCGACTGGGGGAGGTGGATACTGACGACAACGACAGGCCGTTTGACCCACCGTCGATAATCAGCGTGGAGGTGAGTCAGCATGAGTCAGTGTGAATCAGCATGAGTCAGCATGAGTCAGTGTGAAACAGCATGAGTCAGCATGAGTCAGTGTGAGTCAGCATGAGTCCGTCAACACCATGCGGCATGTGTTCTCAAGAAAGAGTCCTTGTTACATAGTGCTCTGTTGTGTGGTTAATCAATGAAATAGTGTGGCGTGTGAAACAGCACTGTCTTTGTTACGGTAGTATGCTACCTGTTGGCAGTGTTTCTCCCAGGACAGACGAATTCGTCTTTATTTTTCCAAGTCATCTGGAACACTTTCGAGGGCATCGTTCCCATCCCAGGACACTGCCTGCAAGACAGCAGCAGATTGTTCCAAACATTACAATGCCATTGGCTCGACAAGACATTGCAATCGCATACGCTCTCCAAAACCCTCTCTCCCTTCCTTGCATTACAGGTCATCTGGAACCCATTCGAGGACATTGTTCCCCTGACACTGCCTGCAAGAGAGCAACAGATTTTCTTACCCCAGACGTTGACAACTCTCTCCTCTCTTCCTTGCAGGTCATCTGGAACCCTTTCGAGGACATTGTTCCCAGGACACTGCCTGCAAGAGAGCAGCACCAGATGGGCTCACCCAAGTCATCCCCATCGCAACCCCCCTCTCTCTCTCTCCACAACCCTCCCCTCCTTGCATTACAGGTCATCTGGAACCCATTCGAGGACATTGTTCCCAGGACCTTGCCTGCAAGAGAGCAGCAGATTGTCCCAAACAGCACAGTGTCGCCGTATCGTCTACATGAACCTCCCTTCCTCGCATTACAGGTCATCTGGAACCCATTCGAGGACATTGTTCCCAGGACCTTGCCTGCCAGAGAGCAGCAGATTGTCCCAAACAGCACAGTGTCGCCGTATCGTCTGCATGAACCTCCCTTCCTCGCATTACAGGTCATCTGGAACCCATTCGAGGACATTGTTCCCAGGACCTTGCCTGCAAGAGAGCAACAAGAAACCACGGCGAAGAGCCGAGGCAGGGATAAGGAGAAGCGAAGGCAGCAGCAGTCTCAGGTCAAGGGAACCAAGTAAGTTGACCTCTGGCTGTTGTATTTATTTACCCGCTGTTGACAATATTAAGTCCTGACCCGTGCCTGCCTCCGTTTACTTGAAAAGCCGTTTCCAAGCCCATGCGCCCATGTACCACCGATTGCCACTCAACTGCCTGTCGGTTTCACCCTGGTCTTTGTTCGTTCACCAGGCAGTTGAAGCTCCTGGCGTTTGGAGAGGAGGCGGAGGAGGAAGAGGCTCAACTGGAAGAAGTGAATTTGAGAAGAAGAAGCAGCCACGACGTGCTCAAAGACCCGCGCGGGCGGGCGGTGAGGAGAGGGGGGAAGAAGTGCAGGGTGAGACGAGGGGGCGCAAAACAGGGCCACACGCGCCGCCCCCGCCGCACAGGGGGTGAGACGAGGGGGCGCAAAACACGGCGGCAAACACGGCGGCAACACGGCGGCAAACACGGCGGCAAACACGGCGGCAAACACGGCGGCAAACACGGCGGCAAAACACGGCGGCAAACACGGCGGCAAACACGGCGGCAAACACGGCGGCAAACACGGCGGCAAACACGGCGGCAAACACGGCGGCAAACACGGCGGCAAACACGGCGGCAAACACGGCGGCAAACACGGCGGCAAACACGGCGGCAAACACGGCGGCAAACACGGCGGCAAACACGGCGGCAAACACGGCGGCAAACACGGCGGCAAACACGGCGGCAAACACGGCGGCAAACACGGCGGCAAACACGGCGGCAAACACGGCGGCAACTACGGCGGCAAACACGGCGGCAAACACGGCGGCAAACACGGCGGCAAAACACGGCGGCAAACACGGCGGCAAACACGGCGGCAAACACGGCGGCAAACACGGCGGCAAACACGGCGGCAAACACGGCGGCAAACACGGCGGCAAACACGGCGGCAAACACGGCGGCAAAACACGGCGGCAAACACGGCGGCAAACCACGGCGGCAAACACGGCGGCCAAAACACGGCGGCAAACACGGCGGCAAACACGGCGGCAAAACACGGCGGCAAACACGGCGGCAAAACACGGCGGCAAACACGGCGGCAAAACACGGCGGCAAACACGCGGCAAAACACGGCGGCAAACACGGCGGCAAAACACGGCGGCAAACACGGCGGCAAACACGGCGGCAAACACGGCGGCAAACACGGCGGCAAACACGGCGGCAAAACACGGCGGCAAACACGCGGCAAAACACGGCGGCAAACACGGCGGCAAACACGGCGGCAAACACGGCGGCAAACACGGCGGCAACACGGCGGCAAAACACGGCGGCAACACACGGCGGCAAACACGGGCCCAAAACACGCGGCAAACACGGCGGCAAACACGGCGGCAAACACGGCGGCAAAACACGGCGGCAAACACGGCGGCAAAACACGGCGGCAAACACGGCGGCAAAACACGGCGGCAAACACGGCGGCCAAACACGGCGGCAAACACGGCGGCAAAACACGGCGGCAAACACGGCGGCAAACAGCGCAAAACACGGCGGCAAACACGGCGGCAAACACGGCGGCAAAACACGGCGGCAAAACACGGCGGCAAAACACGGCGGCAAACACGGCGGCAAACACGGCGGCAAAACACGGCGGCAAACACGGCGGCAAACACGGCGGCAAACACGGCGGCAAACACGGCGGCAAAACACGGCGGCAAAACACGGCGGCAAACACGGCGGCAAAACACGGCGGCAAACACGGCGGCAAACACGGCGGCAAACACGGCGGCAAAACACACGGCGGCAAACACGGCGGCAAAACACGGCGGCAAAACACGGCGGCAACACGGCGGCAAAACACGGCGGCAAAAACACGGCGGCAAAACACGGCGGCAAACACGGCGGCAAACACGGCGGCAAAACACGGCGGCAAACACGGCGGCAAAACACGGCGGCAAACACGGCGGCAAAACACGGCGGCAAACACGGCGGCAAAACACGGCGGCAAACACGGCGGCAAACACGGCGGCAAACACGGCGGCAAACACGGCGGCAAAACACGGCGGCAAAACACGGCGGCAAACACGGCGGCAAACACGGCGGCAAACACGGCGGCAAAACACGGCGGCAAACACGGCGGCAAAACACGGCGGCAAACACGGCGGCAAAACACGGCGGCAAACACGGCGGCAAACACGGCGGCAAACACGGCGGCAAACACGGCGGCAAACACGGCGGCAAAACACGGCGGCAAAACACGGCGGCAGCGGCAAACACGGCGGCAAAACACGGCGGCAAACACGGCGGCAAAACACGGCGGCCAAACACGGCGGCAAACACGGCGGCAAACACGGCGGCAAAACACGGCGGCAAACACGGCGGCAAACACGGCGGCAAACACGGCGGCAAACACGGCTCAAACACGGCGGCAAACACGGCGGCAAACACGGCGGCAAAACACGGCGGCAAAACACGGCGGCAAACACGGCGGCAAACACGGCGGCAAACACGGCGGCAAACACGGCGGCAAAACACGGCGGCAAACACGGCGGCAAACACGGCGGCAAACACGGCGGCAAACACGGCGGCAAACACGGCGGCAAACACGGCGGCAAACACGGCGGCAAACACGCGCAAACACGGCGGCAAACACGGCGGCAAAACACGGCGGCAAACACGGCGGCAAACACGGCGGCAAACACGGCGGCAAACACGGCGGCAAACACGGCGGCAAACACGGCGGCAAAACACGGCGGCAAACACGGCGGCAAACACGGCGGCAAACACGGCGGCAAAACACGGCGGCAAACACGGCGGCAAACACGGCGGCAAAACGGCGGCAAACACGGCGGCAAACACGGCGGCAAACACGGCGGCAAAACACGGCGGCAAAACACGGCGGCAAAACACGGCGGCAAAACACGGCGGCAAAACACGGCGGCAAACACGGCGGCAAACACGGCGGCAAACACGGCGGCAAAACACGGCGGCAACACGGCGGCAAACACGGCGGCAAACACGGCGGCAAACACGGCGGCAAACACGGCGGCAAACACGGCGGCAAACACGCGGCAAAACACGGCGGCAAACACGGCGGCAAACACGGCGGCAAACACGGCGGCAACACGGCGGCAACACGGCGGCAAAACACGGCGGCAAACACGGCGGCAAAACACGGCGGCAAAACACGGCGGCAAACACGGCGGCAAACACGGCGGCAAACACGGCGGCAAACACGGCGGCAAACACGGCGGCAAACACGGCGGCAAACACGGCGGCAAACACGGCGGCAAACACGGCGGCAAACACGGCGGCAAACACGGCGGCAAAACGGCGGCAAACACGGCGGCAAACACGGCGGCAAACACGGCGGCAAACACGGCGGCAAACACGGCGGCAAAACACGGCGGCAAACACGGCGGCAAACACGGCGGCAAACACGGCGGCAAAACACGGCGGCAAACACGGCGGCAAAACACGGCGGCAAACACGGCGGCAAACACGGCGGCAAACACGGCGGCAAAACACGGCGGCAAAACACGGCGGCAAACACGGCGGCAAAACACGGCGGCAAACACGGCGGCAAAACACGGCGGCAACACGGCGGCAAAACACGGCGGCAAACACGGCGGCAAAACACGGCGGCAAACACGGCGGCAAACACGGCGGCAAACACGGCGGCAAACACGGCGGCAAACACGGCGGCAAACACGGCGGCAAACACGGCGGCAAACACGGCGGCAAACACGGCGGCAAACACGGCGGCAAACACGGCGGCAAACACGGCGGCAAATCACGGCGGCAAAACACGGCGGCAAAACACGGCGGCAAACACACGGCGGCAAACACGGCGGCAAACACGGCGGCAAACACGGCGGCAAACACGGCGGCAAACCACGGCGGCAAAACACGGCGGCAAACACGGCGGCAAAACACGGCGGCAAACACGGCGGCAAACAAAACACGGCGGCAAACACGCGGCAAACACGGCGGCAAACACGGCGGCAAAACACGGCGGCAAACACGGCGGCAAACACGGCGGCAAACACGGCGGCAAACACGGCGGCAAACACGGCGGCAAACACGGCGGCAAACACGGCGGCAAACACGGCGGCAAACACGGCGGCAAACACGCGGCAAACACGGCGGCAAACACGGCGGCAAACACGGCGGCAAACACGCGCAAACACGGCGGCAAACACGGCGGCAACACGGCGGCAAACACGGCGGCAAACACGGCGGCAAAACACGGCGGCAAACACGGCGGCAAAACACGGCGGCAAACACGGCGGCAAACACGGCGGCAAACACGGCGGCAAAACACGGCGGCAAACACGGCGGCAAACACGGCGGCAAACACGGCGGCAAAACACGGCGGCAAAACACGGCGGCAAACACGGCGGCAAACACGGCGGCAAACACGGCGGCAAACACGGCGGCAAACACGGCGGCAAACACGGCGGCAAACACGGCGGCAAAACACGGCGGCAAAACACGGCGGCAAACACGGCGGCAAACACGGCGGCAAAAACACGGCGGCAAACACGGCGGCAAAACACGGCGGCAAACACGGCGGCAAACACGGCGGCAAAACACGGCGGCAAAACACGGCGGCAAACACGGCGGCAAAACACGGCGGCAAACACGGCGGCAAACACGGCGGCAAACACGGCGGCAAAACACGGCGGCAAACACGGCGGCAAAACACGGCGGCAAACCACGGCGGCAAACACGGCGGCAAAACACGGCGGCAAACACGGCGGCAAACACGGCGGCAAAACACGGCGGCAAAACACGGCGGCAAACACGGCGGCAAACACGGCGGCAAAACACGGCGGCAAACACGGCGGCAAACACGGCGGCAAACACACGGCGGCAAAAACACGGCGGCAAAACACGGCGGCAAACACGGCGGCAAAAACACGGCGGCAAAACACGGCGGCAAAACACGGCGGCAAACACGGCGGCAAACACGGCGGCAAACACGGCGGCAAACACGGCGGCAAACACGGCGGCAAACACGGCGGCAAACACGCGGCAAAAACACGGCGGCAAAACACGGCGGCAAAACACGGCGGCAAACACGGCGGCAAACACGGCGGCAAACACGGCGGCAAACACGGCGGCAAACACGGCGGCAAACACGGCGGCAAAACACGGCGGCAAAACACGGCGGCAAACACGGCGGCAAACACGGCGGCAAACACGGCGGCAAACACGGCGGCAAAACACGGCGGCAAACACGGCGGCAAACACGGCGGCAAAACACGGCGGCAAACACGGCGGCAAACACGGCGGCAAAACACGGCGGCAAAAACACGGCGGCAAACACGGCGGCAAACACGGCGGCAAACACGGCGGCAAACACGGCGGCAAAACACGGCGGCAAAACACGGCGGCAACACGGCGGCAAAACACGGCGGCAAACACGGCGGCAAAACACGGCGGCAAACACGGCGGCCAAAACACGGCGGCAACACGGCGGCAAACACGGCGGCAAACACGGCGGCAAAACACGGCGGCAAAACACGGCGGCAAACACGGCGGCAAACACGGCGGCAAACACGGCGGCAAAACACGGCGGCAAACACGGCGGCAAACACGGCGGCAAACACGGCGGCAAACACGGCGGCAAACACGGCGGCAAACACGGCGGCAAAACACGGCGGCAAACACGGCGGCAAAAACACGGCGGCAAACACGGCGGCAAAACACGGCGGCAAACACGGCGGCAAAACACGGCGGCAAAACACGGCGGCAAACACGGCGGCAAACACGGCGGCAAAACACGGCGGCAAACACGGCGGCAAACACGGCGGCAAAACACGGCGGCAAACACGGCGGCAAACACGGCGGCAAACACGGCGGCAAAACACGGCGGCAAACACGGCGGCAAAACACGGCGGCAAACACGGCGGCAAACACGGCGGCAAACACGGCGGCAAAACACGGCGGCAAACACGGCGGCAAAACACGGCGGCAAACACGGCGGCAAAACACGGCGGCAAAACACGGCGGCAAAACACGGCGGCAAAACACGGCGGCAAACACGGCGGCAAACACGGCGGCAAAACACGGCGGCAAACACGGCGGCAAACACGGCGGCAAAACACGGCGGCAAAACACGGCGGCAAACACGGCGGCAAACACGGCGGCAAACACGGCGGCAAACACGGCGGCAAACACGGCGGCAAAACACGGCGGCAAACACGGCGGCAAAACACGGCGGCAAAACACGGCGGCAAAACACGGCGGCAAACACGGGGCAAAAACACGGCGGCAAACACGGCGGCAAACACGGCGGCAAACACGGCGGCAAAACACGGCGGCAAACACGGCGGCAAACACGGCGGCAAACACGGCGGCAAACACGGCGGCAAAACACGGCGGCAAAACACGGCGGCAAAACACGGCGGCAAACACGGCGGCAAAACACGGCGGCAAACACGGCGGCAAACACGGCGGCAAAACACGGCGGCAAACACACGGCGGCAAAACACGGCGGCAAAACACGGCGGCAAAACACGGCGGCAAACACGGCGGCAAAACACGGCGGCAAACACGGCGGCAAACACGGCGGCAAACACGGCGGCAAAACACGGCGGCAAACACGGCGGCAAACACGGCGGCAAACACGGCGGCAAACACGGCGGCAAACACGGCGGCAAAACACGGCGGCAAAAACACGGCGGCACAAACCGGCGGCAAACACGGCGGCAAACACGGCGGCAAAACACGGCGGCAAACACGGCGGCAAACACGGCGGCAAAACACGGCGGCAAAACACGGCGGCAAACACGGCGGCAAACACGGCGGCAAACACGGCGGCAAACACGGCGGCAAAACACGGCGGCAAAACACGGCGGCAAACACGGCGGCAAAACACGGCGGCAAACACGGCGGCAAAACACGGCGGCAAAACACGGCGGCAAAACACGGCGGCAAACACGGCGGCAAACACGGCGGCAAACACGGCGGCAAACACGGCGGCAAACACGGCGGCAAACACGGCGGCAAACACGGCGGCAAAACACGGCGGCAAAACACGGCGGCAAACACGGCGGCAAAACACGGCGGCAAAACACGGCGGCAAACACGGCGGCAAAACACGGCGGCAAACACGGCGGCAAACACGGCGGCAAACACGGCGGCAAAACACGGCGGCAAACACGGCGGCAAAACACGGCGGCAAACACGGCGGCAAACACGGCGGCAAACACGGCGGCAAAACACGGCGGCAAACACGGCGGCAAAACACGGCGGCAAACACGGCGGCAAACACGGCGGCAAAACACGGCGGCAAACACGGCGGCAAACACGGCGGCAAAACACGGCGGCAAAACACGGCGGCAAACACGGCGGCAAACACGGCGGCAAACACGGCGGCAAAACACGGCGGCAAACACGGCGGCAAAACACGGCGGCAAACACGGCGGCAAACACGGCGGCAAACACGGCGGCAAAACACGGCGGCAAACACGGCGGCAAAACACGGCGGCAAAACACGGCGGCAAACACGGCGGCAAACACGGCGGCAAAACACGGCGGCAAACACGGCGGCAAACACGGCGGCAAACACGGCGGCAAAACACGGCGGCAAAACACGGCGGCAAAACACGGCGGCAAAACACGGCGGCAAAACACGGCGGCAAACACGGCGGCAAAACACGGCGGCAAACACGGCGGCAAACACGGCGGCAAAAACGGCGGCAAAACACGGCGGCAAACACGGCGGCAAACACGGCGGCAAACACGGCGGCAAACACGGCGGCAAACACGGCGGCAAAACACGGCGGCAAGGCGGCAAAACACGGCGGCAAACACGGCGGCAAACACGGCGGCAAAACACGGCGGCAAACACGGCGGCAAACACGGCGGCAACACGGCGGCAAACACGGCGGCAAAACACGGCGGCAAAACACGGCGGCAAAACACGGCGGCAAACACGGCGGCAAAACACGGCGGCAAACACGGCGGCAAACACGGCGGCAAAACACGGCGGCAAACACGGCGGCAAACACGGCGGCAAACACGGCGGCAAAACACGGCGGCAAACACGGCGGCAAACACGGCGGCAAACACGGCGGCAAACACGGCGGCAAACCACGGCGGCAAAACACGGCGGCAAACACGGCGGCAAACACGGCGGCAAAACACGGCGGCAAACACGGCGGCAAAACACGGCGGCAAAACACGGCGGCAAAACACGGCGGCAAACACGGCGGCAAACACGGCGGCAAACACGGCGGCAAAACACGGCGGCAAACACGGCGGCAAACACGGCGGCAAACACGGCGGCACAACACGGCGGCAAACACGGCGGCAAAACACGGCGGCAAACACGGCGGCAAACACGGCGGCAAAACGCGGCAAAACACGGCGGCAAAACACGCGGCAAAACACGGCGGCAAACCACGGCGGCAAACACGGCGGCAAAACACGGCGGCAAAACACGGCGGCAAACACGGCGGCAAACACGGCGGCAAAACACGGCGGCAAACACGGCGGCAAACACGGCGGCAAACACGGCGGCAAACACGGCGGCAAACACGGCGGCAAACACGGCGGCAAAACACGGCGGCAAACACGGCGGCAAAACACGGCGGCAAACACGGCGGCAAAACACGGCGGCAAACACGGCGGCAAAACACGGCGGCACAAACACGGCGGCAAACACGGCGGCAAACACGGCGGCAAACACGGCGGCAAACACGGCGGCAAACACGGCGGCAAACACGGCGGCAAAAACACGGCGGCAAACACGGCGGCAAAACACGGCGGCAAACAACACGGCGGCAAACACGGCGGCAAACACGGCGGCAAAACACGGCGGCAAACACGGCGGCAAACACGGCGGCAAACACGCGGCAAAACACGGCGGCAAACACGGCGGCAAAAACGGCGGCAAACACGGCGGCAAACACGGCGGCAAAACAGGCGGCAAAACACGGCGGCAAACACGGCGGCAAAACACGGCGGCAAAACACGGCGGCAAACACGGCGGCAAAACGGCGGCAAAACACGGCGGCAAACACGGCGGCAAACACGGCGGCAAACACGGCGGCAAACACGGCGGCAAAACACGGCGGCAAACACGGCGGCAAACACGGCGGCAAACACGGCGGCAAAACACGGCGGCAAACACGGCGGCAAACACGGCGGCAAACACGGCGGCAAAACACGGCGGCAAAACACGGCGGCAAACACGGCGGCAAAACACGGCGGCAAAACGGCGGCAACACACGGCGGCAAAACACGGCGGCAAACACGGCGGCAAACACGGCGGCAAACACGGCGGCAAACACGGCGGCAAACACGGCGGCAAAACGGCGGCAAAACACGGCGGCAAACACGGCGGCAAAACACGGCGGCAAAACACGGCGGCAAACACGGCGGCAAACACGGCGGCAAACACGGCGGCAAACACGGCGGCAAAACACGGCGGCAAAACACGGCGGCAAAACACGGCGGCAAACACGGCGGCAAACACGGCGGCAAAACACGGCGGCAAACACGGCGGCAAACACGGCGGCAAAACACGGCGGCAAACACGGCGGCAAACACGGCGGCAAACACGGCGGCAAACACGGCGGCAAACACGGCGGCAAAACACGGCGGCAAACACGGCGGCAAACACGGCGGCAAACACGGCGGCAAAACACGGCGGCAAACACGGCGGCAAACACGGCGGCAAACACGGCGGCAAACACGGCGGCAAAACACGGCGGCAAAACACGGCGGCAAACACGGCGGCAAACACGGCGGCAAAACACGGCGGCAAACACGGCGGCAAAACACGGCGGCAAACACGGCGGCAAACACGGCGGCAAACACGGCGGCAAACACGGCGGCAAACACGGCGGCAAACACGGCGGCAAACACGGCGGCAAACACGGCGGCAAAACACGGCGGCAAACACGGCGGCAAACACGGCGGCAAACACGGCGGCAAACACGGCGGCAAACACGGCGGCAAACACGGCGGCAAAACACGGCGGCAAAACACGGCGGCAAAACCGGCGGCAAACACGGCGGCAAACACGGCGGCAAACACGGCGGCAAACACGGCGGCAAAACACGGCGGCAAAACACGGCGGCAAAACACGGCGGCAAACACGGCGGCAAAAACACGGCGGCAAACACGGCGGCAAAACACGGCGGCAAACACGGCGGCAAACACGGCGGCAAACACGGCGGCAAAACACGGCGGCAAACACGGCGGCAAAACACGGCGGCAAAACACGGCGGCAAACACGGCGGCAAACACGGCGGCAAAACACGGCGGCAAAACACGGCGGCAAACACGGCGGCAAACACGGCGGCAAACACGGCGGCAAACACGGCGGCAAACACGGCGGCAAAACACGGCGGCAAACACGGCGGCAAAAACACGGCGGCAAACACGGCGGCAAACACGGCGGCAAAACACGGCGGCAAAACACGGCGGCAAACACGGCGGCAAACACGCGGCAAACACGGCGGCAAACACGGCGGCAAACACGGCGGCAAAACACGGCGGCAAAACACGGCGGCAAAACACGGCGGCAAAACACGGCGGCAAACACGGCGGCAAAACACGGCGGCAAACACGGCGGCAAACACGGCGGCAAACACGGCGGCAAACACGGCGGCAAAACGCAAACACGGCGGCAAACACGGCGGCAAAACACGGCGGCAAAACACGGCGGCAAACACGGCGGCAAACACGGCGGCAAACACGGCGGCAAAACACGGCGGCAAAACACGGCGGCAAAACACGGCGGCAACACGGCGGCAAACACGGCGGCAAAAACACGGCGGCAAACACGGCGGCAAAACACGGCGGCAAACAGGCGGCAAACACGGCGGCAAACACGGCGGCAAACACGGCGGCAAAACACGGCGGCAAAACACGGCGGCAAACACGCGGCAAAACACGGCGGCAAACACGGCGGCAAAACACGGCGGCAAACACGGCGGCAACACGGCGGCAAACACGGCGGCAAACACGGCGGCAAAACACGGCGGCAAACACGGCGGCAAACACGGCGGCAAACACGGCGGCAAACACGGCGGCAAAACACGGCGGCAAACACGGCGGCAAAACACACGGCGGCAAACACGGCGGCAAACACGGCGGCAAACACGGCGGCAAAACACGGCGGCAAACACGGCGGCAAAACACGGCGGCAAAACACTGCGGCAAAACACGGCGGCAAACACGGCGGCAAAACACGGCGGCAAACACGGCGGCAAACACGGCGGCAAACACGGCGGCAAAACACGGCGGCAAACACGGCGGCAAAACACGGCGGCAAACACGGCGGCAAACACGGCGGCAAACACGGCGGCAAAACACGGCGGCAAACACGCGGCAAAACACGGCGGCAAACACGGCGGCAAACACGGCGGCAAACACGGCGGCAAAACACGGCGGCAAACACGGCGGCAAACACTGCGGCAAAACACGGCGGCAAACACGGCGGCAAACACTGCGGCAAACACTTCGGCAAACACTTCGGGCAAACACGGCGGCAAACACTCGGCAAACACGTCTTCAAACACTTCTTCAAACACGGCGGCAAAACACTTCGGCAAAACACTTCTTCAAACACTTCTTCAAACACGGCTTCAAACACGGCTTCAAACACTTCTTCAAAACCACGGCGGCAAACACTTCTTCAAACACTTCTTCAAAACACTTCTTCAAAACACTTCTTCAAACACTTCTTCAAACACTTCTTCAAACACTTCTTCAAACACTTCTTCAAACACTTCTTCAAACACTTCTTCAAACACTTCTTCAAACACTTCTTCAAACACTTCTTCAAACACTTCTTCAAACACTTCTTCAAACACTTCTTCAAACACTTCTTCAAAACACTTCTTCAAAACACTTCTTCAAACACTTCTTCAAACACTTCTTCAAACACTTCTTCAAACACTTCTTCAAACACTTCTTCAAACACTTCTTCAAACACTTCTTCAAACACTTCTTCAAACACTTCTTCAAACACTTCTTCAAACACTTCTTCAAACACTTCTTCAAACACTTCTTCAAACACTTCTTCAAACACTTCTTCAAACACTTCTTCAAACACTTCTTCAAACACTTCTTCAAACACTTCTTCAAAACACTTCTTCAAAACACTTCTTCAAACACTTCTTCAAACACTTCTTCAAACACTTCTTCAAACACTTCTTCAAAACACTTCTTCAAAACACTTCTTCAAACACTTCTTCAAACACTTCTTCAAACACTTCTTCAAACACTTCTTCAAACACTTCTTCAAACACTTCTTCAAACACTTCTTCAAACACTTCTTCAAACACTTCTTCAAACACGCTTGCTGGCTGTGAGTATAGGGTTGAGATTGAAGGGAGGGGAAAATGGCCGAGGGCTTCCGGACACTCAAGTGGAGGAGGTTCAACTGGAAGAAGCGAATCTGAGAATAAGAAGCAGCCACGATGTGCTCAAAGACCCTCGCCTGCTGGCTGTGAGTGATTCAAGGGGAAGGGGAAGAGCGGACAGGGTAGGTGGTAGGGTGGAGGAGGAGGCTTAACTGGAAGAAGCGAATATGAGAATGCGGAGCAGCCACGATGTGCTCAAAGACCCTCAGCTGCTGGCTGTGAGTCAGTTGGGGGAAAGGGGAAAGGCGAGGGAAGGAAGGGCGGGAAGGGGAAGGGCGAGGGAAGGGAAAGCAGGGGAAGGGAGGGGAGGGGAAGGGCGAGGACGATTGGCACATGAGAACGGTACAAGAGAGAGACCCATCATCCGTACCCTAACTCTCATCCCCTTTTCCCCTTCCCCCATCCTCCATCCCTCATCGCCTATCCCCCATGCCCCATTCCCATTCCAAATCTCCCATGACCCTTCCCACGTCCCTCAGCATCTGCCGCCCTAACTATTGGTCTGGCCATCACCCAGAGCATGGCGGGAGCTTCTCTTTTTTCATGCTGTTCTCTGTTCTAAAACTCTAACCCTCCTTTTCCTGGCGATCGTTTTATTTCATTCTCTTTCACTTCGCTTTGTTGCACACAGGAAACAGCGGAAGCAGTTCAACAGAAGCTGGCTGGACGGGGAGGGGACGCAGAAGGGGAAGAGGAAGAGGAGGAGAATGGGCGAAGAGAGGGAGGAAGAGAAAGGGAGAGAGAAGAGGGGATAGAACGGGATAGGCTTGTTAGAGGGAAAGACAATGACAGACACAGGGAGGGAGCTGGTGGTGAGGGTGAGATCATGAGAGGTAAGAAGGGAGAGGAATGGGGAAGGGAGAGGAGAGGCAGGGAGGAGAGAGGAGGTGAGGGAGAGAGGGGAGGTGAGGGGGAAGGGGAAGATGAGGGGGAGGAAGCGAGTTTTGATGAGCTGATGAGGAGAAGAGTGTTGGAGAAACAGAGAAGGTTTGGGAAGCATGGGGGAGCGAGTGAGGGTGGGCGGAGAGGGGAGAAAGCAGGGAGAGGGGATGTGGGAGATAGAGAGGAGAGGGAAGGGAAAGGTGCAGCGAAAAAACAAGCTGGGGCTGATGCGCGGGAACGAGCAAAGGAGGAGGATGAGGTTGAGAACGGGAGTGGTGGCAGTGATGATAGTGATGGGAGTGATGAGGAGGAGGGGAGAGGAGGGAAGGGGAGGGTGAGGGTAGAGAAGCTGCGATTGAGGAAAGGGGTGAAGGGAGTGGGGAAGGGAGGAGGGGAGGGGGGAGGAGGGGGAGGGGCAGTGGGAGGGGGGTTGCTGGGGGAGGAGGAGGAGAGACGGCAGCAGATGAGACAGAGGAAGCGAGCTATGGGGTCAAGGCAAGAGAAGGTGAGTGAGTGAGAGTGCTGGTGGTTCTTAGGGTGTGTGGAAACAAAGGGAAGTGGGTGGGTGTCAGTCACTGATCGGGGAAGAGGAGAAAAGACTGCAGCAGATGAGGCAGAGGAAACGAGCTCTGGGGTCGAGACAAGAGAAGGTGCGTGAGTGAGAGTGCTGAAGGGTTAGGCAGTGTTTCTTAGGGCGTGTTTCTGGGAAGCCTGGTTGTCGTGTACGTGTGGTTAAGTGATAAGTTTAGTGAAATGGCTGCGTTTGAACCTTCTCAAATGTTGCTGTGGAGAATCCACTACAGTTTCCTAGGGTGTGGTGTGTGGCTGTGGGTGAAGTCAGGTTGTCGTAGACATGTGGTTAAGAAAAAAGCTTAGTAAAATAATGGCTCCAGTTGGATTGCCGAGATGGATCTCCAGTTAGTAAAATGACCGATATGGATTGCCCCCAGTCCTTCAGCATCAGCTTTACGATCATTTTACTAAATCCCTTTATTTTGCTGAATGTGGTGTATGAATGAACAGAGTGCTTAAGCTCAGACCTTCATGAGTGCTCCGTGTAATACTTCAGAGTGGCTTAGAATCATTTGTCATTCCAGTTCCTCTTCACCGTCCCTCCCTTGTCCCTCCCTTGTCCCTCCCTTGTCCCTCCCTTGTCCCTCCCTTGTCCCTCACTTTTCCCTCCCTTGTCCCTCCCCCATCCCTCCCCCATCCCTCCCCCATCGCCTCCCATCGCCCCCCCATCCCTCCCGCAGACTCTTGAGCTTCTGAACCGCTTCAAGTTCAAGCTAGCAGCTTCCAAGACAGCGCAGCCGAGAGAAAAACGCACAGACGAAGACAAGGAGGAGGGTGCAGATGAGGGGAGAGCAGACAGGAGAGAGAGGGAGAGGGAAGGAGAGAGAGGCAGGGAAGGGAGCAACAGCAAGGACGGCAGCAGAAAGCGAGGGTTGGTTGGTTCAGAGGGGGAGGGGCCACGAGCAGCGACATATGGGCCGGGAGGAAAAGCGAGGCAGGATGTGGAAGGGGAGGGAGAGGAGGAGGATGAGGAGGAGGGTGCGGGTGGATTGGATTGGATGGCTCATCGGTTGAAGTTTGAAGTGAAGAGGAACAAGCGGGTGAGTAGTGGGGGGTGGGTGAGTTCGCGGTGCATGATCCTTCCCGTTCTACACCTTCTCATTGTTGCCCTATAAGAAGGGACGCTTCTCTGCCTCTCGTGTTCCCCTATGCATGTCCGTTGCTTGACTCCATCAGGACGAGATGCTGCGCAATGACGACCCGGATCAGTACCCAATGCAGAACCCTCTTCTGGATATCCCAACTTCACACTCTCTTCTTCTCTGCTGCTAACATGCCCTCTGCATGCCTCTTCCCCATCCCCATCAGGACGAGATGCTGCGCAATGACGACCCGGATCAGTACCCGCTGCACGACCCTCTGCTGGATATCCCAGCTTCACACCCTTTCTTCTTCTCTGCTCAACATATGCCCTCTGCTTCTCGTGTGCTCCATGCATGTCCCTTGCGTGCTTCAATCAAGACGAGATGCTCAGAAATGACGACCCGGATCAGTACGTGCTGCACGACCCTTGGCTGGACATCCCAACTTCACACTCTTTCTTCGTCTGTGCTCTTCATATGCCCTCCGCATGCCTCTTCCCCATCCCCATCAGGACGAGATGCTTCGGAATGACGACCCGGATCAGTACGCGGTGCACGACCGGTTGCTGGATCACACCACACCATCTCATTCTTTCTTTACATGCAATGCCCACATGCCGCCATGTGCTTCTCTTGTGTTTTCATCAGGACGAGATGCTTCGGAATGATGACCCGGACCAGTACGCGTTGCATGACCCTCGGCTGGATATCCCAGCTTCACACTCTCTTCTTCTCTGCTGCTCACATGCCCCCTGCATGCCTATCCTTGTCCCATCAGGATGAGATGTTGCGCAATGACGACCCGGACCAGTACGCAGTGCACGACCCGCTGCTGGAGAAGGGCAAGGAGAAGTTCAACAAGATGCAAGCTAAGATGAAGAAGAGAAACAGGGAGTGGGCTGGCCGGTCACTGGACTGATGCAGATTTGTATCGATTGACAAAAAGCAGAATTTCGACAAGATGCAGGCCAGGATGAAGAGGAGAAACAGGGAGTGGGCAGGCCAGTCGCTGGACTAGTGAGGATTTGTATTAATCGACGTAAAGGATAAGTTCAACAAGATGCAGGCCAGAACGAAGAAGAGAAACAGGGAGTGGGCGGGCCGGTCGCTGGATTGATAGAATGGGGGTTTGTATCAATCGATGTACCGGAAAAGGAGAATCTTCACAAGATGCAGGCCAGGATGAAGAGGAGAAACCGAGAATGGGCTGGCCGGTCGCTGGACTGATTTGAATTGGAACGGAGGATGTTTGAAGGAGTTCTGGGTGTTGGCAGCTGTCATTGGCCGGATGGCGAGGTGGGTGAAGTGGGGCCCTTCGTGCTAGATGGAGATGAGGCACTATTGCAAAGGCGAAGACGCAGTGCAGTAAGAGGGTTATTGAGGTTTTGTGGAGAGTGCTACTAGGTAACTCAGCATGGACCAAATTTGCAAGATGTAACATCTACCTTAGTTGGAAAAAAAATGTTCATCACTGGAGGCTGGCCTTTTTCTTGGATTAGACCAGTTTATGGTGGTTTCCTTGTGTTAAACTCCTCTAGAATGTAACTTGGTATCCACTCTACCTTATGGTGGAGGTGTGGTGTTGGAACTGCCATGCTGATCCACACTGCTAAGGTTAAATTAACAGGAGTTATAATCTGAAGTTGAAACCTGCTTCATGGCCCAGAATAGGAATTTATTTTGTATTTTCTTGTGTGTTAGGGTGGTGAGGTTTTGCTGCTACGCCACTCAGTGTTTCCTTTGCAACATTGAACCACATTGAAGCTTCTTGTGTCGGGTGGAAGCCACGACTGGCGCTGAAGATAATTGCCCAATTATTTTCCAGCCACAGCTGGACTTTCGCGGTGCGCAGCGAGTTCACAAAGTTTGTAACAAATCTGTTCGCACGCTTTCGCTTCATGAACTTCGAATTTGGTTTCCCCGCACTTCGCGCCGCCATTTCACATAAAGCCTTCGTCATTCTGCTTGCTTCACCAGAAACTCAATTGCATCATCAATCCATCCACGACCAGTCAAACCCCGTAGTACCCGCATACAACTGCTACTCCTCAGGCACTTCGAAGCACGAGCCCGTTTCATTTCGATATGGCGAATCGCACCTACTACCTGCTACTCGTTTTCGTCGCGTGCCTCGTTTTTCTTGCTGAGGCAGCACCCCCAGCCACGGCGAAGCCATCATCCGAGGTATACTTTTCTCGTTGCAGTCTGCCATTTATCACCGATCCAGTAGCTTTCCGTGTCATTCATCGCGGAAGTGTCAAGCTCGGAATGTGACGTCAATGTGAGCCGATTTCCAAACGTATACGCAGTCGATTTCATTCAAGTATAACCCAAATGGCTGATTCGCAGGCATTCAAGCGACCCGGTTTTTATCTATCTACCTTTTCTCTCTACACACGTCATTGTTTTCATTTGGTTACCAATGGCTGATTCGCAGGCGTTCAAGCGACCCGGGGTCGCAAGGATCCTCAAGCGCCACAACCCGGCGGGCGATTCGTCGCATCATCATCATCATGGCGGCAGCCAGCGGCCGTCGGCCGGCGGGTGTAGTTCGTCGCCGTCGCCGTCCTCGTGCGCCTTCTCGTTCGGCGGAAGCGAAGGCTCCATCCCCGAGTTCGGGCTTCCCACGACCGGCGAGGTGCCCCTCGGCTCTCCCCTGGTCGCAAGTAGCCGGCGCGGCAACGTGGAAATTATCCGGCTCAACTCGAATGGCGTGGAATACCCGTGCGGCTCGCAAAATTCAGGCGGGAATTTTCGAAACCAGTTCTACATCAACAATAACGTAAGCCCAACTGCCGTGTCAACCCCTCGCTTCCGTGTCGCCGCGACCTTTACTAAACGTGTGTGCGTCTTATTCCTGCCCCTGCCGCATTGCCCCGCCTCCCCCTCTTTCCCACGCTCCCCACTGTGGTGCTGCACCTGGTGCGTCTTACAACATCTGCTGCTATTCAATGCTTTGCTTCCCCCACTCTCCCCCCCTTTCCCCCTCTCCCCCACCTCCCACCCCCCACGCCGGCTTGGGCTGTATGATATTCTCCCCTCCCTTCCGCAGGTGGTGACAATGCGCTTCGTGCAGAAGGGTGACGAGGGGAAGCTGCGCGGCCAGCTGGTGAAGTTGCCAATCACCAGCGCAGAGCTTAAAGTGGGCAGGAAAACTGTTAACCTCAACAACGACCAAGGCTCTGACATCATTCCTAAGAATCAGCGCTGCGTTCTCTTCAAGATCGCGGCATAAGCAGTGCGGGAAGGGCAGAGCCCTCTCCCTCCGACTGGAATGACAAGAATAGGAGAGAATAAGTGACGCAAGTCCCTGTGCGGTGCTGGTGCTGTCTTGCTGTTGTGATGGTTTGGTTTGGTTTAGTTGTCTGGGTTTGCCTTGCTTTGCTTTTGCGGAGTCTGGTTTGTCAGAAAAGGTTTGGGTGCTTGCATGGAACATTCGGTTTGTCTTGTGCTCTGTCTTGGTTATATAGTTATAGTTCCTTCATGTCACATCGCGAAGACAACTGTTTTCATACAGAGCAGCAGATGACGGACAATAGTTAATACCAGAAGTCCACCTTTTTCCTCTCCACTCCACTTCTCCTCTCCCCTCCTCCCCACTCCCCTTACCTCCATTCCGCGCCCAAAGAATCGTTCCGGATGCAGCACATTGGAGCAGCACAGCATGTGCCATAGGTTGAATGACAAATCTTATTATGCCAACCTATGGGGCACCTCAATACTTAAAGCAACACATCGAAATGCCTCATTCCGAACAATGAACAATATATATAAAAAATGCCAAGCCATGAGGCACTTCAAAACTTAAAGCAGCACAACACGTGCTTCAGGCTGAAAGATGGATATAGCTTTTACCGTAACTACGCCAACCCTTCTCTCTTCTGCACCACCTCTGCTTCCTCTCCCCCTCCCTCGTCCTCCTCACCATCCTCTTTCCTCCCCCTCCCTGAGTAACACTTCAAGATTCATGTTTTCTCATTTATCGCCTCTGCCTCAATGGCGGAGTTTCTGGAACATGCCAAGCTGATCCAAACCTAAGAGATGAGGCTATGACATATCCAAGTTGTAGATATCATGGATTCAAAAAACCTGGTACACGTTCACTAGACGATCTGGTCCGGAAGGTCCATTCACTAATTTGAAGACAAACTTAGATCCATAAATCTATGGTGCTACGCAACCAAAGTGATTCGTTTCTCAACGTTGACAACATCGAAGCTTGTTGTGTAGGGTAGAATGCGCGACTGGCGCTGAAATAATTGAGCAATTATTTTTGCGGCTCGGTCTGCCTTCCGCAATGCCCAGCGAGGTCCCCATTTGTGTAACACAGAAATTCGCAGAGCTTCGCTTCACGAATTCCGCGCACGGTGTCCCCGCCATTCACGGCGCAATTTCACGATAAAACGCTCGTCACTCTGCTGGCTTCACCAGAAACTCTCAATCCCACTCCAACCACAACCAGCCGAGCCCTTCAAACACATTTCGGCACACGCCACAACAACTACCACTACTGGTACTCATTCGAAGCACTCTCTTTGCTACCATTCAACATGGCGTTTCGCGCTTACCTCCTGCTACCGGTTTTCGTCGCGTGCCTCATTTTGCTTGCTGAGGCAGCGCCCTCAGCCAAGGCGAAGCCATCATCCGAGGTATTTTATTCTTCTCGTCGCAGTCTGCCATTTATCACTGCTCTAGTATAGCTTCCCGTGTCATTGATTTTGCGACCTCCGAGTGCTATTCCAGCCAATTTCCAACAATCTACATTTTCTCTCTACGCACGTCATCGATTTCATCTAAGTACTACCCAACGGCTGATTCGCAGACGTTCAAGCGACCCGGGGTCGCAAGGATCCTCAAGCGCCACAACCCGGCGGGCGATTCGTCGCATCATCATCATGGCGGCAGCCGGCGGCCGTCGGCCGGCGGGTGTAGTTCGTCGCCGTCGCCGTCCTCGTGCGCCTTCTCGTTCGACGGATTCCAGGGCTCCATCCCCGTGTTCAACCTGCCCAGGGGCGAGACGCCCATCGGAACGACCTTGGTAGCAGACGGCGTGTCTATTATCAGGCTCAACTCGGACGGCGCGCAGTACCCGTGCGCGCGCAAGGGCACGGAGAATCTCCGCAACCAGTTCTACGCTCGCGATAACGTAAGCTAAAACCATTTCTAAGCCCTTGCCGAGGGCTCCTAGGCTAACCTTTCCTATGCTAAACGTACAGACGTACGTTCCTAAGCTAACCGTTCCCCTCGAGGGCGTTCCTAAGCCCTCGAGGGCTCCTAGAGGCGACGTACATACGCTGGCGTGCGTCCTAAATCACTGCTCCTCCTCAGAGTCTGTCACGAATCCTTTATCTGCCCCTGCCGCATTGCGCCTCCCCTTTCCCCCCTCGGCTTCCTCCCCACACCCCTCCGCGCCTGTGGTGCAGTACCTGGCAGGCTGCTCCTCTTCCGCGCATTGCTTTCCTCCCCCATCCCGCCTCTTCCTCTCCCCTCCGCACGCCGTTGGCTTTGCGGTGCTGCACCTGGTGCCCTGCACGCGATTCAAACTGCCTTGCTTCCTCCGCCACCCCCTCCCCTCCTCTCTTCCGCAGGTGATCGTGATGCGCTTCGTGCAGAAGGGTGACGAGGGGAAGCTGCGCGGCCAGCTGGTGAAGGTGCCAATCACCAGCGCAGAGCTGAAAGTGGGCAGGAAAACCGTTAACCTCAATCAGGGACAAAGCTCAGACGTCATCCCTGAAAATCAGCGCTGCATTCTCTTCAAGATCGCGGCATAAGCGGTGTGGGAACGGCAGAGCCCCTCGACTCCGAGTGCGGTGACAAGAATAAGAGAGAATAAGTGATGCAAGTCCCGGTGGTGCTGGAGCTGCCCTCTGGGATTCGGGTCTGCTCTGCTCACACGTAGCTGGATAGCTCTTCGTCTTGTTGCGATCATTCGGTTTGGGTTTGCTTTGCTTTGCTTTTGCTGAGTCTGGTTTTAGCCTTGGTGTTGTGATGGTTCGGTTTGGTTTTACCGTAGTTGTCTGGGCTTGCTTTGCAGAGTCTGGTTGGTTTGGACGGAAGGGGTTTGGGTGCTTGCATGGACCATTCTGTTTGTCTTGTGCTCTGTCTTGATTACGGTACATCTACATCCATTTGGGAATAAATCATGTCAAATAGTGAAGACGACTATTGCTTTCCTGTCCACTCCACTTCTCCTCTCCCCTCCTCAGCACTCTCCTCGCCTTCTTTAATCAGCTCAGCACCCATAGAATCCGGGTCTGGGTGCAGCACATACGGTAGGAGCAGCACAGCAGCATGTGCCATACCTGGGTTGAATGACAAATCTTATCATCTTATTATGCCAAGCTACCCTAATAGGCACCTCAAAACTTAAAGCAGCACAGCATGTGCCACACAGGCTGAAAGATGGAGGTAGCATTTACTGTAACTATGCCAACCCTTCTCTCTTCTGCTCCACCTCTGCTTCCTCTCCCCCTCCCTCGTCCTCCTCACCCTCCTCTGCTTCCTCCCCCTCTTCCTCTTCCCCACCCACCTCACTGTCCTCTCCTCTCCCATCCTCTCCACTCCCCTCCACTCTCCCATCCAGCGCACACTTCACTCTTTCCAAGAATAGCTCATCAGAGCAGCAGAGCATGTGCCTCAGGCTGAACGACAGCCCTTGCTGCTGCAGCAGGCGGTGCCTCGGAGCAATGCGCGTGTCGAGGGCATAGCTGAAGAAGCTGGTTGGGAAGAGGGAATGGTGGGCGTGGGGGGAAAGCGGGCAAGGGGGGCGCGAGGCACAGGAGCAGCACTGAAGGACAGCCCTTGCTTCTGCAGCAGGCGGTGCCAGGGGGCAATGCGCGTTTCCAGGGCATAGCTGAAGAAGCTGGTTGGAAAGAGAGGGTCATGGGTGGGAGGGGAACAGGGTTCTCGTTATCAGACCAATTTGGTCTGATGGTCTGAGTTTAAGACTTGTTTTTTTGTATTCATCTGCTTCCTAAGAATCTGTGTTTGTTCTCATCTGATCAGTAAGATAAGCGATTTAGGTTCGTATGATTTTCCAGACCATGTAGTATGTTTAATTAATCTGAATATACAGATATCGAGTTCGGTTTCGTCTGAAACCGACATCTTGACCCGCTAGGCCACCCTAGGGTGTACTATGGCCTAGCGGGTGTGACCACCCGTAATCCCCCGCATAGTACACCCTAGGGTGTACTGATAAATACCCCCCCTTTAGGGGGGTGTTCAATTATGGGGGGGGTGTAAGCTTGCACCCATGGGTGTTATATAATGACATATCTTTTGTTTTAAATTCATTTGTATTCTGTTTTCAGCTCACTGAGCGTTATCGATTCTGACTGAAACAGCTTCCGCACTGCGCGTCTTGCTCAAGCCACGTCATTCGGGCACAGATTGGCTCAGAACAACACACGCTCAATGACGATCGAACAGTCCCTGCAGCTTGCGCGACAAACTCTAGGGTGACGCGAGCCTGTACATGTACAAAATCTCCGTTAAAATGTCATATTTCGTTAGAAATACTGATGAAATTGCCTCGGGGGGTGTACTAAAAACTACAAAAAAATATGGGGGGTGTTCTAACTGGTGTATTTTTCAGTACACCCACCGCAATTGAACACCCTTATGTGTTCAATTTTGGGGGGTGTTCTATGCGGGGGACTACGGTATGCCCACAGCCATTTGCTGCCCTGTACAGAAACAGCACGCGCATTCATTACACGTGTCTTATACACATGGTCCTCGCCAACTTCAATCCCACCATTTTCACCCCCTCCTCTGTCGTGACTCGAAGAGTCTGGGTAGGGTGCTGCTTTTGGTGAACACATCTGACGTGTCTATGCACGTGCTGAGCTCGAGCTCCAAGGTCAAAAAATGACAGGTCATTTGCACGAAGGATTTCAGTGCGCCTCGCCATCCCACATTTCAGGCGGAGTGCATAATCGCAAGAATGCAGCCAGAGGGGGGTACCACATCTACATGGCAGCTCCAGAGTGATCCGAAAATCCCCCACCATCTGGGGAAATGCATTCGAACCAGTAATTGCTGTTACAAACTGCCACGAAGCATTACTTTCCCAATACCTTCTGCCACGTAAGATTAGGTCGTGTTCACTTTCCACATCATGCGGTGAGTATGGCACACACTGCACGTGGAATTGGCCGCAACTGCAAAGTTGCGGCCATTTTCACATCCCTGACACTTACGACAAGCGTGCCACCCGCCCCCGCCAACGTGAAATTGGCGAGGGCGCGGTGTAGCAGCCTCTCGAGTCAGTAGACAGCCTCGCTGTCTAGTGACTCTGACTAGGTCCTTTGCTACTGCCTAGGTTTTTTGGTACTATGACTAGATTTGCTGGTAGGATTACAGTAGGTTGACTTTTAACAGGAAATTTTTTGTCGTCTTAGTTGTCAGACTAGAAAAAATATTCCAGCTTATAATGCAGACCACGGAAGTTTCGTCGTCCGAGCATAAGACGGGGGAAAATTTTTTCAGGGTACTGTCAGACAGCCCCAAAACCTAGCGAGAGCCCTGGAGGGGAAGGTGCAAAAGAGCAGAAGCTCACTGACAGCAGGCGGGATGCTGACAGCAGGCGGTGCCTCGGAAAGCAGAAAACTCACTAGCGGACGAAGCCTGTCGTCCAGATGGCACGCCACCACTATTGAGGCGCCTCAAAAGTCGGACAGCAGGAAGCGCACTAGCGGATGCAGCCCGACAGCCCCACAGGAAACCCTTCATGCTGCACTCACCGTGGGAAGGCCACCAGATGGTCGACGGTCAACCACATGGTCCGCTGGAAATACCGCCACTTGGGCCTCAGAATAGCCGGGTTGTACTTGAGGAGAGGGGGGAATTGCACCACCATGCTCGCCAAAATCCTCTGCTGATCTACACTAAACCACACTGAACCGTTCAGCACCATAGGAGAGATATTCTTTACCCCTACCTACTCACCATGGAAAGGCAACCAGATGGTCGACAGTCAACCGCATGGTCCGCTGGAAATACCGCCACTTGGGCCTCAGAATAGCCGGGTTGTACTTGAGGAGAGGGGGGGACTGCACCACCGTGCTCCCCTCTGCCTGCTCTTGACCGCGCTGAACCCTACTGCACCGTGCATCCGCACTCACCGTGGGAAAGCCACTAGACGGTCGACAGTCCTCTGGAAGTATCGCCACTTGGGCCTCAAAATAGCCGGATTGTACTCAGAAGAGACCTTGCTCGCATACCTACCTTGGCTGATCTACACCGCACTGAACCATAGTGCACCAAAGGAGAAAGACCCTTTTCCCCGCACTTACCGTGGAAAAGCCACTAAATGGTCCACAGTGAGCCTCATAGTCCGCTGGAAGTAACGCCATTTCGGCTTCAGAATAGCCGGATTGTACTTGAGAAGAGGCGGGAATTGCACCACCATGCTCCCAACATCCTCCCACACCACCCCCATCGACATCAGAAAGCGCACTAGCGGACGAAGCCATTCCTCCTCTGCCTGCTCTTCACCGCACTAAACCGCACTGCACCACAATATAAACCTTCCCCTACTCACCGTGGGAAGGCCACTAGATGGTCGACAGTGAGCCTCATCGTCCGCTGGAAATACCGCCACTTGGGTTTCAGGATAGCTGGGTTGTACTTCAGCAGCGGTGGGAATTGAACCACCATGCTCCCCACGTCCTCCCTCACTATTCCCATGGACAACAGGAAGCGCACTAGCGGACGAAGCCTGTCGTCCAGATGGCACGCCACCAGGTCCGGCCGAGCCACCACGACCTTCCAAACCTCGTGGTCCGGGACTCCTGCTTCGGTGACGAGGAACCGAACCTGAGAAAAGAGGGTTGGTGCGAAGCAGGAAGGGAAAAAAAATGACCCTGCCTTGTCAGCTGCCGCGCTGCCAACTCAGCTAGTATCAGCCAGTGTGAAGTGAGATGGCTTTTCAGGCGCTCAGCTAGTATCAACCAGCTTGTAGGGCTGTCACATCAGCCAGTACTTGCAAACTCACTAGCGGCCTTATCTTCTTGTCGAGGCTGTAGGTGAGGATGGGTGGAAAGCGGTGCAGAACTCCTGCTACATCTGCCTCGGGAATCCCAATCAGCCGGAGGAAGCGAACCTGTGGGGAATAAGTAAGAGCGGTACAAGGGAAGGGTGAGAAATCAATGGAAGGGGAGGAAGATTCTTAAGTAAGGAGCACATCAGACATATGAATTTGCTTCCTACCTAGTGACCAAGATGCATAATGAGTTGCCTGGTCACATGAGTTGCATAATGAGTCACAAGTCCCCCAGGTACCTCATCCATACCTTGACCTAGTTAGAGACGACCATACATTCACGGCTCATCCGTACCTCACCTCATCCATACCTCATCTCATCCATACCTCATCTCATCCATACCTCATCTCATCCATACCTCATCTCATCCATACCTCATCTCATCCATACCTCACCTCATCCATACCTCACCTCATCCATACCTCACCTCATCCATACCTCACCTCATCCATACCTTGGGAGACACGTCTGCTTGCACTGTAAGCTGCAGCACATTCGGGTGGCACACCACCACCACCCTGGTCTGACTCAAACGCTGGTCAGCCCCACAGCAGGCACTCATCCACACCCATCCACACCCATCCACACCCATCCACACCCATCCACACCCATCCACACCCATCCACACACATCCAAACCCACCCATACCTTGGGGAGACGTCTGCTTGGAGTGTTAGCTGCAGCACTTTCATCTAGTTGCATAATTGTAACCCTGCAATAACCTCCGTACCTTGGGAGACACGTCCACTTGCATGGTGACATGCTGCACATTCGGGTGGCGCACCACCATCACCCCGATCTGAATCAAACACTAGTCAGCCCCGCAGCAGGCACCCATCCACACCCATCCACACCCATCTATACCTTGGGAGACACATCCGCTTGCACGGCGAGCTGCAAAACTTTCGGGTGGCGCACCACCATCACCCTGGTCTGACTCAAACGCTGGTCAGCCCCACAGCAGGCACTCATCCACACCCATCCACACCCATCTGTACCTTGGGAGACACATCCGCCTGCACGGTAAGCTGCAGCACTTTCGGGTGTCGCACCACCATCTCGCCGATCTGCGCGCTGGTCAGCCCCAGCAGCGAGAGGTAGCGAATGAGCAGCTGCCACGTGGCGTCCAGCGAGCTGCTCAGCAGCTGCGGGCGGCGGACGATAACTTTTGCGAGGCCCACACCACGAAGATGTAGGGAGTCGAAGAAATTGATCTAGCAATACAATGAGGAGAGGGGACGTGGGGGTGGGGGTAGGGGGTGGGAGGGAGAGAACGTGGGTTGAAGTCAGATGGAGTTGGTTGGTTCCAGCAGGTGCGGGCGGTGCATCATGACTTTTGCACCCTGGATGGATGGATCATGTGCGCAGCCGTCTCGTTTGGATGGATCATGTGCGCAGCCGTCTCGTTTGGATGGATCATGTGCGCAGCCGTCTCGTTTGGATGGATCATGTGCGCAGCCGTCTCGTTTGGATGGATCATGTGCGCAGCCGTCTCGTTTGGATGGATCATGTGCGCAGCCGTCTCGTTTGGATGGATCATGTGCGCAGCCGTCTTGTTTGGATGGATCATGTGCGCAGCCGTCTCGTTTGGATGGATCATGTGCGCAGCCGTCTCGTTTGGATGGATCATGTGCGCAGCCGTCTCGTTTGGATGGATCATGTGCGCAGCCGTCTCGTTTGGATGGATCATGTGCGCAGCCGTCTCGTTTGGATGGATCATGTGCGCAGCCGTCTCGTTTGGATGGATCATGTGCGCAGCCGTCTCGTTTGGATGGATCATGTGCGCAGCCGTCTCGTTTGGATGGATCATGTGCGCAGCCGTCTCGTTTGGATGGATCATGTGCGCAGCCGTCTCGTTTGGATGGATCATGTGCGCAGCCGTCTCGTTTGGATGGATCATGTGCGCAGCCGTCTCGTTTGGATGGATCATGTGCGCAGCCGTCTCGTTTGGTTGGATCATGTGCGCAGCCGTCTCGTTTGGATGGATCATGTGCGCAGCCGTCTCGTTTGGATGGATCATGTGCGCAGCCGTCTCGTTTGGATGGATCATGTGCGCAGCCGTCTCGTTTGGATGGATCATGTGCGCAGCCGTCTCGTTTGGATGGATCATGTGCGCAGCCGTCTCGTTTGGATGGATCATGTGCGCAGCCGTCTCGTTTGGATGGATCATGTGCGCAGCCGTCTTGTTTGGATGGATCATGTGCGCAGCCGTCTCGTTTGGATGGATCATGTGCGCAGCCGTCTCGTTTGGATGGATCATGTGCGCAGCCGTCTCGTTTGGATGGATCATGTGCGCAGCCGTCTCGTTTGGATGGATCATGTGCGCAGCCGTCTCGTTTGGATGGATCATGTGCGCAGCCGTCTCGTTTGGATGGATCATGTGCTCAGCCGTCTCGTTTGGATGGATCATGTGCGCAGCCGTCTCGTTTGGATGGATCATGTGCGCAGCCGTCTCGTTTGGATGGATCATGTGCGCAGCCGTCTCGTTTGGATGGATCATGTGCGCAGCCGTCTCGTTTGGATGGATCATGTGCGCAGCCGTCTCGTTTGGATGGATCATGTGCGCAGCCGTCTCGTTTGGATGGATCATGTGCGCAGCCGTCTCGTTTGGATGGATCATGTGCGCAGCCGTCTCGTTTGGATGGATCATGTGCGCAGCCGTCTCGTTTGCATGGATCATGTGCGCAGCCGTCTCGTTTGGATGGATCATGTGCGCAGCCGTCTCGTTTGGATGGATCATGTGCGCAGCCGTCTCGTTTGGATGGATCATGTGCGCAGCCGTCTCGTTTGGATGGATCATGTGCGCAGCCGTCTCGTTTGGATGGATCATGTGCGCAGCCGTCTCGTTTGGATGGATCATGTGCGCAGCCGTCTCGTTTGGATGGATCATGTGCGCAGCCGTCTCGTTTGGATGGATCATGTGCGCAGCCGTCTCGTTTGGATGGATCATGTGCGCAGCCGTCTCGTTTGGATGGATCATGTGCGCAGCCGTCTCGTTTGGATGGATCATGTGCGCAGCCGTCTCGTTTGGATGGATCATGTGCGCGGCCGTCTCGTTTGGATGGATCATGTGCGCAGCCGTCTCGTTTGGATGGATCATGTGCGCGGCCGTCTCGTTTGGATGGATCATGTGCGCAGCCGTCTCGTTTGGATGGATCATGTGCGCAGCCGTCTCGTTTGGAGGGATCATGTGCGCAGCCGTCTCGTTTAGATGGATCATGTGCGCAGCCGTCTCGTTTGGATGGATCATGTGCGCAGCCGTCTCGTTTGGATGGATCATGTGCGCAGCCGTCTCGTTTGGATGGATCATGTGCGCAGCCGTCTCGTTTGGATGGATCATGTGCGCAGCCGTCTCGTTTGGATGGATCATGTGCGCAGCCGTCTCGTTTGGATGGATCATGTGCGCAGCCGTCTCGTTTGGATGGATCATGTGCGCAGCCGTCTTGTTTGGATGGATCATGTGCGCAGCCGTCTCGTTTGGATGGATCATGTGCGCAGCCGTCTCGTTTGGATGGATCATGTGCGCAGCCGTCTCGTTTGGATGGATCATGTGCGCGGCCGTCTCGTTTGGATGGATCATGTGCGCGGCCGTCTCGTTTGGATGGATCATGTGCACGGCCGTCTCGTTTGGATGGATCATGTGCGCGGCCGTCTCGTTTGGATGGATCATGTGCGCAGCCGTCTCGTTTGGATGGATCATGTGCGCAGCCGTCTCGTTTGGATGGATCATGTGCGCAGCCGTCTCGTTTGGATGGATCATGTGCGCAGCCGTCTCGTTTGGATGGATCATGTGCGCAGCCGTCTCGTTTGGATGGATCATGTGCGCAGCCGTCTCGTTTGGATGGATCATGTGCGCAGCCGTCTCGTTTGGATGGATCATGTACGCACCCTGGCTTGCAGTGTCTCCTCGTCACCTGGCAGGTCCTCGTCACCTGGCAGGTCCTCGTCACCTGGCAAATCCTCGTCACTCATCATATGCGGGTGGTTGCACACCACTGTGTTGCAGGGTGTTGTTGACAACTCTCAAAAACACATTGCTCACCGCTGTACCTGCCAGCTCCCCCACACTTGTAAGGAGTCCGTAAAGACTCTGGCATGTCTCTCACCTTTTCTTGCCACCCACCCTTAAGTCAGGGTGGTTTCCCCTACCTTAGGGCCTTCATGGTTAAATCCTCTTCGCTCATCACATGAGGGTGGTTGTACACCACTGTGCCGGCCAGCACCCGCACGGATATAGGCAACAAATGGTGGTGGAAGGATGGAGTCGGGCAGGCGGGTGTCTGGATGCACTCTCGATGTGCCATGTCTCTCACCTTGGCTTGTAGTGCTTCCATCGGTAGGTCCTCCTCGCTCATCACATGAGGGTGGTTGTACACCACTGTGCCCGCCAGTTCAAACACGCTCTTGGGCAGGGGGTGGTGCTGGAAGGAAGGAATCTAGCACTGGCAGGAGTCTGCACGGACTCTCACCTTGGCTTGCAGTGCCTCCATGTGCAGATCCTCCTCACTCATCACATGCGGGTGGTTGTAGACATCTGTGCCGGCCAGCTCAAATCGAACACACTCTTGGGCAAGGGGGTGGGGTGCTGGAAGGAAGGATTCTGGCAGGCAGGATTGCGCCATGTGTCTCACCTTGGCTTGCAATGCCTCCATGGGTAAATCCCCTTGGCTCATCACATGGGGGTGGTTGTACACCACTGTGCCCGCCAGCTCAAACACAGTTTTTGGCAACGGGTGGTGCTGGAAGGAGTCGGGCAGGCGGAGAGCTGCTGGGACGTCTCGAGAGGCGAGAGGGGGGAGAGATAGAACCAGCGACTCTGATTCTTCTTCTTCTGCTGCTGCTGCTGCTGCTCTTTGCTCTGTTTCTGATCTTTCGTCTGCATCTGCTGCTCTTCTGACTGCTGCTGCTGCTGCTGCTGCTGCTGCTGCTGCTACTGCTGCTGCTGCTGCTCCTGCTGCTGGGATTGTGGTCGTGGCTGTTGCCGTTGCTGCCCAACTCCCCCCCTCTCCCTCCTCGCATTCCTCCCTCACCTCCCTCCACTCTCTCAACCTCGCCTCCTCCTCCCATTCTGCCTCTCGCGCCCTCCTCTCCCGCTCCCGCTCCTCCCACTGCTCTCGCTGCTGTGCTGCCAGCGGCTCGAGAACAGCATGCAGCAGCCTACCCTTTTCTCGAAGCTGCTCAAAGGGATCCACCAGCACGCCTGGCGCCTTGCTGAGCACCACTCCTACCCACTCCCTGCGCACGCCCACTTGATTGACTAGGTAGTCTACCCGGGCCTGGAGCAAGGGAGAGAATATGCGACGCGATACACAGGAGATTCGATAAGATAGAAGGCTCACAGCAGCACGCCTGGCGCCTTGCTGGGCACCACTCCTATCCACTCCCTGCGCACGCCCACTTGCTTCTCCAGAAAGTCTACTCGGGCCTGGAGCAAAGGTGAAATAGCGAGGAAGAATATGGTAGGGAAACATAGAAGAAGCTATCAAAGATTCCACCAGCACGCCTGGCGCCTTGCTGGGCACCACTCCTATCCACTCCCTCCGCACGCCCACTTGCTTCTCCAGGTAGTCTACATGGGCCTGAAACAAGAAGATCAAGGACGGGAGACACACAGTGAGTGGTATGGCAGCAGGGCTGGATGTGAGAAGAGAAGCTGCTCAAACGGATCCACCAGCACGCCTGGCGCCTTGCTGAGCACCAATCCTATCCACTCCCTGCGCACACCCACTTGGTTGACCAGGTAGTCGACTCGGGCCTGAACGCACAGGGGAAAAACAAGGGGGGAAGATGCACAGAAGACGAGACAACACACAGCAGGATATGAGAGGGAAGGCGTTTTTGAGACGTCTCAAAAACACTCTCTCTACACGTGGCTATAGGAGAGCCCACCAGCATGCCTGGCGCTTTGCTGAGCGCCACTCCTCTCCACTCCCTGCGCACGCATACTTGGCTGACCAGATAGTACACTCGTGCCTGGATAAAGGGAGAAGAGCATGGAAGGAGATACATTTTTGAGACGTCTCGAAAACACTTCAGCTTCAAGGGAGAAGAGGATGGGAGGAGATGCACATATAATATTATAAAGCTTGGCTCTCACAGCTTGGCTCTCACAGCTTGGCTCTCACAGCTTGGCTCTCACAGCTTGGCTCTCACAGCTTGGCTCTCACAGCTTGGCTCTCACAGCTTGGCTCTCACAGCTTGGCTCTCACAGCTTGGCTCTCACAGCTTGGCTCTCACAGCTTGCCTCATGAGGGTTTCGGGATTTAGGGTTGTGCTTCACGCTTGCTCGGTGCAACCACTCGATGTACTCCCTCGCCCACACCACCACCCCACCCACCCACCCACGCCACCAACCCACCCACCCACCCCACCACCCACACCACTCTTGCTCCTCATGCCTTCCTGATGGTGCTGTATGGGCATGGCGAGGATGGCACGAATGAGGGTTTGGGGTTCAGGGTTGGGCCTGAGGAGGATTCAGGGTAAGCCTGAGTGTGAAGGATTACCTCAAGGTGGGGGATGGGCGTGGTCAGGAGGCAGGGTTGCGCACGACAATGAGGCCCACCACATCATGCTTCACGCCTGCTCGGTGCAACCACTCTATGCAATCCCTCGCCCACACCACGCCACTGCCCACAGCAAACGCCCACCGGCCCACCCACCCACCCAGACCCAACCTTGCTCATCATGCTTACCTGAAGGTGGGGTATGGGTGTGGCAAGGATGGCAGGGTTGCGCACAACAATACGCCCCACCACGTCATGCTTCACGCCTGCTCGGTGCAACCACTCTATGTAATCCCGCACCCACACCACACCACTCCGCCGCTCCTGCTCCTTCTGCTCACGTCCATATCCCCTCGCAGCAACAACTTGGAGGGCAGTGGCAGCAATAGTCTCAGCTCCAGCATCGGGAGCATCAGCAGGAACAGCAGGAGAATCAGCATTAGCAGCAAGAGAATGAGCGTCCGAGGCAGCATTAACATCGCCAGCACCGGCACCAGAACCAGCATCAGTAGAATCAGCGTCCATGGCAGCAGCGAGGGTGATGAGGGCGGCAGTGCGGGCGAAGGTCTGCTTGGCTGTTTGTTTCAGCCACCGCGCCAGCAGGTGCGGTGCAGAGCGGTGCACTGCGATGGCCGCGCGGTGGGGGAAGGAGTGAAACGCGTAGTGCGGATCAGACTTGAGGGCAACGGCCTGGGGAGGGATGAGTGGGGGGAGCGGGGGGGGGGGGGGGAAGGGTGGAAGAAATTTGAGAAGGAACGTGCAGGGAGGTGAAGGAGATGGGGAGGAATGGGGGGAAGGAGTGGAAGACGTAGTGAAAATCCGACTTGAGGGCAACAACCTGGTGAGGGGGAAAGAGGGGGGAAGTGAAGAGAGGGGGACCAGGGGAAGAGAGGGGGGGGGTAAAGGGTGAAGAGAGGGGATGGGAAGGGGGAGAACATGCTGTCTGTAAAAACACATTCCAATACACCTTCCCCAGTTTCACCTGCACAAACGCTGACATTTGCACCAGTATCAGAGACACCAGCTAGAGATGGTCTAGGGCACCTGTAACTCCACCTGAAGACTTACCTAACAAAGCACCTGAAAACCTACCTGGAGCACTAGTTGGTCGATGTAGGCGGGGAGGTGCCTGACCAGCTCCCTGGAATACACCTTCCCCAGTTTCACCTCCTCGAATGCTGACATCAGCGCCGCCCGCACCACCTTGCGCCTCTCCTGCAGCGCGAGCGCCACGGGGCTGTCCCGGGAAACTTCCAGGCTGCTTCCACTGCCGCCTCCCCTGCCACTGCTGCTGCCGCTGCCGCTGCCGCTGCTGCTGGTGGCGCTGCTGGTTTGAGATGGCAAGGAGGGTATACCATTTTCGGAAAATTCTAGCCTGGGTATTCTAGAGGAGTCGAAACGGGCATTGGAACTGCCGCTGCTGCCGTTCCTGGTGCTACCACTGTTGCCGCGACTTCTCCTGCCGCCGGTACTGATGATGCCCGTTCTAATCTGGGTCAAAATGGAAACACCACCACCACCACCACCATCGTTCGTTCCTGTACCTTGGACCTCCGCCTGCTTCTCATCCCACGGCCACTGCTCCTCCTGCCTGCTTGACTGCCCTGCCAGCCCACCGCCCTTTGAAGCCCTGTCGAGGGAAGGAGCCGGGCTCACAGAACTTTCAAGCCCTGGTGCGTGTGATTCTGCTGTGCCTCGCTCTGCTGCGTCTAGTTCTGCTGATGCTACCGTTGCTGCTTGTGATTCTGCTTGCTCTGCTGCATGCGATTCAGCTGTGTCAGGCTCTGCCGCGTGTGATTCTGCTGTGCCTCGCACTGCTGTGTCTAGTTCTACTGATGCTACCATTGCCACTTGTGATTCGGCTTGCTCTGCTGTCACACTGTAGAAAGACTTACCATCTGCTGCTGCGGTTGATGATACAGCGTCCTCCCATGGATAATAAACCTCTTCTCGTCTCTTCCTCTCTACTCCTTCTCCTTCTCCTGCCAGGCCTTCTCCGCCCCTCTCTAACCCTCTAGCCCTCCTCTCACCTTCTTCCTCAGACCTAATCGTACCCACATCCCCTGCAGTCCTCTCATCCGCTCCACTCCCGCCATCCTCCCCCTCCATCCACCATGCCCGCTTGCCTCTCTTCGCCCACGAAGGTGCCACCCATGCGTCCTCTCTGATTCTGGTACTCGCCCTATGCGCTCCTCCCACTCCTCTCCCCTCCCCTGGCCTTGCCCATGCCCCTACGCTGCCTCCACTCGTCCCCCTCCTCTGCCTGTCTTCAAATCCTCTTTTTTCTGCCGCCTCCCTTCCCCCTGCCGCCTCCCTTCCCCCTGCCGCCTCCCTTCCCCCTGCCGCCTCCCTTCCCCCTGCCGCCTCCCTTCCCCCTGCCGCCTCCCTTCCCCCTACCGCCCCCCTCCCCCCTGTCGTCACCCTCCCCACTGCCGCCTCCCCCCTCTCTTCCGCGCCTCTGCGCCAAACTGCGCCCCTCACTGCATTCGCTCCGCCCCTTCTTTCCCCCTCCCGCGCGGTCCATCTCCGCCCCTCTCCCACCGCACTTCGCCCCTGCTTTACCGCATTCCACCCCTCCTCTACCGCATTCTGTCCCTCTCCACCGGTTCTCTCCCCCTTTTCCCACACAACCGCCAGTCCCCTCCGCTGACCTTCACCATTCCGACCGCCATTTCTCGACCAATCGCTCTCGTCGATCGCGCGCGACCTGATTCTCCTCTGATTTGCTGGAACCAACAGATACCCTCCTCTAATCGCGCTCGTTAGAGTGTCAGTATGAAGGCGCACTCTAAACGGGTAAATTCCGTCCGCTATTAGTCGGTTCCTAACCGCCGGTAATCGCGCTCCGGACCCTGGAATTATTGGTCGAATCGTGGTTATGGGAAGTGCGATACGGTTTCCCAGTGGGTGGTCTGCTCGTTGGGGAGATCCCAAGGGAGACGCGGAGACTGCTCGCGCGGAGCACGCGCGCTGAACCGACATGGTGGCAAAACGATGACGAAAGAGACCGCGACGATGCAGAACTCACCGCTGGGCTTGGATGCGTTATGGAACGATTCTGAACCGGATCGAGGGGAGGATTGTATATCTGGAACAAAATAATGTGTAAAGATACACATCCGTAGTTATGTATTTGGAGTACGTACAATCATAGGACAATTGCGGAAAATTTAAGCAGAGATTTCAGTCATTATAAAGAGACCATGCTGCTCAAAAAACAACCAAGCCAAAAGAAGCCAAGGTAAACCAAGAAACACAAGAAACACTAGCATGACAAAACTGTTACTTTGAATGGTTTTCGTTCAAAACGATATTGGTGAGATGGTATGTACATAATTTACATGCATGATTGTAGAACAGGGGAAAGCCATACAAGTGAAGACCGCATTGCTCTGAATGTAGTGCACTGCTGCTGCTGCATGTCAAGCCAGAGAGCTTGAGGCTATACAGCAGACGTCCAGTGAAGCCAGGGATGCTGCTGCTGTGGAATCTCGTGAACACTACAATAAGCAGCCCATTCCCGCTTGTGGACTTGTGCAATCCACGGATGCTCTGTCCGTGGATTGGAGCACATACTGTCGGTAGCGATGGAGGTTAGGCTATAGAGTCAAGGGCCTTGCGGGAGTTAGGCAGTGGAGCTGAGGGGTGCTGCTGCCACGGTAGTACGGACGCACAAGTGCTGCTGCTGCGGCTCCTCACAGGGACAGCAGGGATCTTCTCATTGGTGCCTGTGCACTTGCTTCACAATCCATGGATGCTCTGCCAGGAAAAAAAAAATACAGAACACACTATGTCAGGCACACAGGGCACGATAAAACACAATATTGGGGCAGGAATGGGAGAAAATAAAACAACGCCATGGAATACTATGGAAACCTAGTCTAGATGCTATGCTCTCCGCAAACACGAAAAAGGAATGAGACATACCAAGGATTTCTGCAGGAGTGATGCGCTTCCTCCAATCCTTCTCCAGCATCCTCGCTATAAGCTCCTTGCATTCCTCCGACACCCCTCCCCACTTGGCCGGTCGGAAAACCACCGGCCGCGTAAGCACTGCTTCAGCTACAGTGCGCTCTGCTGTAGCCCAGAAAGGCGGCACACCACTCATTGCCACATACATGACCACACCCATGCTCCACACATCCACTGCCGAATTGTATTCCACTTCATGCTCCCGTGGTGCAGAGATTAGTCGATTGGTATCATAAAAAACTGCTCCCCACATTTCAGGTGCCATGTACTCTGGTGTCCCTACCACCTCTGTTATCATCTCCCCTTCCGTCACAAAAGCCGCTGCTCCGAAGTCTGCGAGCTTTATATTAGTGTCGTCTGAAGCGTCCATAAGGAGGATGTTTTCAGGTTTAATGTCGCGGTGTACGATTCCGCTTAAATGGCAATGTAGCACGGCGTGGGAGAGGGCTTGGCAGAGCTTGGCACTGGTTGGCTCTGAGTATGGCCCACGACTTGTGATCCTATCGAAGAGGTCTCCGCCTTTGCATAGCTCCATGACAAGGTGAACAGCCTGAAATGGGAGGTGAAAGAGAAGAAGAGAAGGACAGCAGGGAAGAGGTTAGAAGGAAGCAAGAACAGGAGGCCCAGAACAGGGCATGGCGTTTTGAGAAGAAAAGGGAGGAAGGGAGAAACAGGGAAGAGGAGGTGCATTGGGAGAAGAGGCTCAAATAAAATCATAAAGGGAGAACCTGAAAGACCGTCAGGGGAGGAGTAGGGGAGAGGCATATGAGCTGGAGAGTCGAGGGGAATAGGAACGAGGGGGAAAGTGAGGGAAGGGAGGGCGGGTGCGGGAGAGGGAAGAGGAGCTGCTGAGGAAGTGAGGGGAGGGATGGAATGGAAAGCACGAGCGGTAGATACGGTTAAGTAAGGTGCGCACTACATACCCTTCTGTCTTCAATTGTGTCATGGAGTGTGACAATATGAGGATGGCCACGTGCCAGAAACATGCTCGCCACTTCCCGCCTGATGTCATCCGCAGCCTCCGAAACCTTTATCTGATTCTTCTTTATCGTCTTGCATGCGTACACCCGCGCGGTCTCGATTTCCAAACATTTCCTAACGCTGCCGTATTGCCCGCTTCCGAACTCCCGGTGGTGTACAACGAATCTGGACGCGATGTCCTCGTACGGTTTCAACAGAACCGAGGACGACGCAGCTGAACAGGATTTTCGCCTCGCTGATGTGTACGTGCAGGAAATCTCGTCCGACGAACCAGCGGCACCGTGTTTCGCGTCGCTGTGGCACGCGTCTAAATTGCCAACGTCGCAGCTTCTCCTGCCAGAGATTCGAGTGCTTCTATTGCAAGATTCGCGTTTGCGATGATGTCGAGGCCGCCCCTGTCGCCACGTGCTTACGTCAGCGACGTTATGCGTGCTGCTCCCGTCTCTCCCTTCATTAGTATCACATCCGTCAGTGGTGCGCTCAGAATCGTCAACTCCAGTCACGATCTGGTTACCAGCACCACCCGCGTCGTCACCCCTGCTCGTCGCGGTAGCACGCGTCGTCGTCGAAACCGTAATCCTTCCCTCCCTGTCGCACACGTCAAGTACTTCATGATGATTCGAGTCGCATTTGGCATGGATTCCGCCGCCAGCCACGCGAGCCTCTCCTCTCCGCTGCTGCGCCGTCCCCGCGCTCCTCTCCTCTCCTCTCCGCTGCTGCGCCGTCCCCGCGCTCCATCGCAAGCTGCGCCGTCTGAGCGCGGCGCTCTCCGGAACCGTCGCGGGTTTCCCCGCTGCTGCTTCCGAACCTGGTTCCGCTGCGCCGCGTTCGAACCGCCAAACGTCTGCGGTTTCCGAGCCTGGGCTTCCGGTCGAGGCTTGTTCAGTGGAAGGCTTTCCGCCGGTGTTGCTCAGTTCCCCGGACAGCAATTCGCGCACGGTTCGAGAAGCGGCGAAGAAGAAATTAGCAGCGAACGACAGGGAAGGGGAATGGCTCGGCGGAGCGCCGTGATGCGCGGGCTCTTGCGCCTGCGAAGGCTCTTGCGCTTGTGCCTGCGCCGGTTTCGCTGTTTCTGACGATGGCTGGAAATTATTGCTAGCGCTACGAAAGTGCCATGTGAATTCGACTCCCTCGCTTGCTGGGCTTCTCAAATCAAAGGACAATTCTGATTGGTCGAAGGAGACGCCGGGGAGAGCACTGGCGTTCGAGAGGCGATTTAGGCGATGCGCTGTTGTCGCTAATAGTGGGCACTCGGTCAATTTTAATGGGCTTCGCGGAAAATAAACTCTTCGGGCCGTGGATTATCGTTCCTGACGCCATTCCCGACTCCTCCGTTCCAGAACTAATCGCTAGCGGAGTCCGGACTAATTTCGCAGTGTCGGTACTATTTTTGCAGTGACTAAGCACAGGTAAGCTGCTGTATTGGCGCTCAACTAAGCTGGATCGCTTGCTAGCTCAACAAAGTACGTGCTTTCAGCAGATAACTAACCTCCGTGGAAAAGAGCTCCTGGTTTGTTCAATGACGAGATGGGAAAGAGCTGGTCGCACAGCGTACTGTCGAAGGTGGAAGTGCGGAGGCTGAAGGTACTACGGTAAGCATGATCGCGCCAAAACTAGCAGCCAGTGGTAAAGAAGTGAATTTAACTCTGCTGACGTGGAGCAAGTCGTGATGACTAAAAGCCTGAGGTATGCAAAATACGTGTATAAGTTTCAATCGCTCGCCGTCACCTTCAAGACAATCAGCACAGTTTACCTTACTGTGCCCGACAACTAGCCGCCCACCACAATCACCACCGCCAGGCCATCTGGAAAGGACGGAGGGAGCTGAAGTGCAACAGAGCCTCAGTGACCTTCCTACGGAGTTGCGCGAAAGCATCATAAAATCTTGATGGTGGTGGCGGAATGCCGCTTGCTGGTGATTTCTGAAGCTGCTACTGTAGGTGCAGGATGAGGTGAGTGGGTGAGCGAGTGAAATGACGACTATGGGCTGGGAACAATGATGCGAATGGAGCAGAACCACAAGAGAGAGAGATGCGATATGCCAAGAGATTTACCGCGTGTAGAATAACCATCACGCGAAAAGCCCCCTGATTCTGCCCCGCGCCCAAGCCTGGTTGGGAAAAGATAGCTGTTCCGATGGATAGAAACTAAGTTGATTGATGATGAGGTGAGGTGGGGTGAGTTCCTACGATCTACGAGACGGGCAGCGCTGCTTGCAAAAAAGTGGACACCTGCTTGTCTGCGTGTTACTGGAAACGACACTTAAATCCCGAGTAACTAAGCACCGACCCCAAATTGGTCACTTATAAGGGCTTGTTTGTCTCTCGCCTCTATCTGCACCAGTTCGGAATTTCGATGCAGTGTACTGTACCCTTCAGGTTTGCGATGCGTTTGAATCCAAACAAGCAATGGGGCACGCTGATGTGTACACATCATCACTCCAGTGGTGGTTCTGCTGGATCCAGCCATCGGATCCTCGTCACAGGAATGTCACAAGAGGGGAACATGGACGTGTACGGGGGGCAGGCGGGTCAAAGAGTCAAGACAAGAGGGACACAAAGGGGGAGACCGCGAAAGATGAAGAGTGGCACGGCGCAGATCAGATGCCCTAGCTGGTGGGGGGTTTTCTTCGGTGCAGCTGTTATACAGCATAAGAGAGTGAGTGTTTCTACGTTCATACATTTTAAGACTGTATAATTTCTTTCTGTAGAAGCACAAAAATACCCGACCGAGGTGCTCGTGTTTCGACCTACATTTTTGCACTGAACCACACGCCGGATATTATAAAATAGCTGGTAGGTTATTTTAGAAAGCCGCCATTGCTTGACTTTATGGCCAATTGTTGGGTTTTCAAAATCTATTATCCAAGTTTCGAGCACAGAAAGGAACGCTTAAAACTTGCTTACAAGGGGGGTGTAAGAATCACTCTATACCCTGTATATAGTACAACCCAATCTGGCATACAAAAACATATGCAGGCATGTACTGAACCATTCTATACTGCAGCAAGTGACAACTGTCACTAGCGCGTGCAGAATTATTTCAAACAGCAGCCATTTTTCACTGCAGTCAGCACCAAAAGCTACGACGTGAACTGCTGGAAATTCGCTATTACCACGAATGCGTAGCGCGGTATCCTCGCGGCCCCGCGGACGTCATTTCTTTCGCCATGTCTAGTCAAGGCGTATGCTCCGCGCGTACCTACTCTGCATCTCCCCCCCATCGAGAACAGCGGCATCACCTGTCTCGAGGCCACGTGGCACTTCCCGCAAGCACAGTCCTAGCGCGAATACCATCGGAGCGAGCGCGAATGTCGGCGGCTCGAGCGCAGATACCGGCTGGACTCTATCCGTTTAGAACACTCATTCGAACTGACATTTTGACGAACGTGATCAGAAGAAAATACTCATTGATTAGGGTAGATTACCCGGCTGACGAGCGCGATTGGTCGAGGAATGGCGGTCGGAGCGGCGGAGGGGAGCGGAAGAGGGGAGCGGAGGACGGGAGCGGAGGAAATCGCCGGCTCTGTGGGAAAGGAGGGAGGGAACCAGTGAGGGGCGGAATGCGATGGGAGAGGTGCGGGATGCTCTAGGGGAGATGCGGGGTGCACCAAGAAAGGGGCGGAATCCTGTGGGGGAGAGGCGGAGATGGACCGCGCGGGAGGGGGAAAGACAGGGCGGAGCGGATGCAGTGAGGGGCGCAATTTGGCGCAGAGGCACGGAGGAGAAGAGGGGGGCGACAGCGGGGAGGGGGGAGGTAGGCTGGAGGGGCGCGGCAGAGGGAAGCGGAGTGGACGAGGGGCAGAGGAGGGTTTAGGGTTTAGGGTCGTGGAGGCATGGGCAAGGGCAGGAGAGGGGAGAGGAGGGGACGGGGCACAGGTCCAAAGGGCGGGCAGCAGTAGCTTAGACGCATTTGAGGCTCCTTCGTGGGAAACCTCTGAGTCAACTGAAGAGTTACCTAGAAGGGCGAGTAGCGGCAGCAGAAAAGCGTGGGTGCGGCAGCAGCAGAGCAGGGTAGACGCATGGGCGGCTCCTTCGTGGGAGAAGCGAGGGGATGGGGAGTTGAAAACAAGGGGGGCAGCGGAGGGGAGAGGAGGGGGAGGAGTGCAACGGGCGAGCAACAAGAGCAGGGTAGACGCGTGGGTGACGCCTTCGTGGGAGAAGAGAGGGGTTGGGGAGTTGAGACCAAGGGGGCCAGAGGGGAGAGGAGGAGGAGGGCTGCAACGGAAGAGCAGCAGTCACAGCAGAGAAAAGAGAGTGCGGCAGGAGAGAAGGGTAGACGCATGGGTGGCTCCATCGTGGGAGAAGAGAGGGGATTGGGTGTGGTGGATGGAGGGGGAGGAAGAGTGCAGTGGAGCGGATGGGAGGGCTGCAGGGGATGGGCTTTTGGAAGGGCCGGAGGAGGAAGGTGAAGGAAGGGCGAGAGGGTTAGAGAGGGAAGGAGTAGGAGTAGAGAGAAAGATAGGCTTATCTATGGGGGGGTATTGAATCATCAATTGCAGCAGCAGCAGCAGCAGGTGGTGGGTCTTCTGGTGGTGCAACCACGGGGTCAGTGACCGGAGGCGCTGACATATTGGATGGGCAACGGCGATCAGCAACGGTAGCATCAGCACCAGACGCAGCAGAGCCAGACACAGCAGAATTGCACGCAGCAGAGGAAGCTGAATCACAAGCAGCAACGGTAGCACCAGCAGAACTAGACAAAGCAGAGCGAGGCTTGGCACAACCACTTGCAGCAAGACACAGCAGCAGGCTTCAAAGTGCTGCGAGAGGGACTCCTTTCCTCGACAGGGCTTCAAAGGCCGGTGAGCTGGCAGGGCAGTCAAGCAGACAGGAGGAGCAGTGGCCATGGGATGAGAAGCAGGCGGAGAACCCAGGTGCAGGGAGCAGTGCTGCTGCTTATGGCGATGCTGGTGTGATGGTGGTGGTGTTTCTAGTTTGACCCAGGGCAAAACAGGCATCAACAGTAGCAGAACCAGTAGAGACAGCAAGAACAGTTCTAGCAT